ACCCTAAACCCTAAAACCCTAAACCCTAAATCCTAAGCCTAAACCCTAAAGCCTAAAACCTAAGTTGGAGAAAAGTCGAGACACGCATTGGTTCGAGCAGCAGCGGAAGCAAACGGTGTAAGGTGTTCTATCAGAGGACTCAAGAGACGACAGAAACGTTCCTTATATATTAATTGGGTCCGTTTCTATAGCCATACGAATAAAATGGGACGATAACAGACTAAGATCTCTATACATACTTAGCTCCTAATTTCTGTTACGTCCTTACCACTAAGACAGTTTTTCCGTGGCTGATATCCTTGTTCACTAAAAAGTGGACCCAAAACATGTTCACATTCATTCCATAACGGCATCTGTCAGCTAGTTGTCATGACTGTTACCACAGTATGGTGAAACTTCGATCTAATGCAAGGCTAGAAGATTTGGCCCCAATCCTTTTGATTTGCTCCACTCAAATTTCCGCATCTATCGCTAGCTAGAATGGCCGACTTTCAGTGATACGAATATACCCTCCACAGTTTTCCTTGCATGCATTGGGCATAACATTCCACCCTACAAACATCAATGTCTCAATACGGCAATTTCGAATAGAACGCGTATCTTTGATTCGAAATGGGGTGTCATGTAATAGGTTCAGCAGGTAACCTCACCTAGCCTCGAAACTATCAGAGTGGGCCGGTCTAAATTTGTATTCTGAAACCCTGGTTTTCAACTAGCAACTACAGACCGGCATAGTAAGCTCGGTGAACTAATCGACGCATACATGGTTCGACTAGCCCCTGATTGAAGTTACATGCTAACAGAGACTAAGAGGACCCAAAGCCTGTACCCAGGGGAAACTGAGCCGACCTCGATCCGTAGGCACGTTCTATATATCTTGATGCACATCCTGCGCCGTGGTACAAAGCTTAAGTTTATAGGTTGAGTCTTATTGTGTTATCGTTTAGCAACTATACGGAAGCATAAACCGTATAGACAGTTATCTCGGTCCCAATAGGGTGATGGATCGTTAGTAGTTTGAGCTACATAGTATTCTCTAAATCAAAGTTTTAATTCGGTCTCCTCAACATACGTTAAGAGATATATATATTACCGCTAGCATACGCTAACGCTATCAAGTCAGCTGCATGCTCGGACAGAGTTCCAACTCCCAGAGGTAGTGCGCCCACTTCCGGTCTTACCAGCAGAATTTTCATTAGTTCATATTTACTTTGTAGTTAGCAAAGCGCGAGATTATATGGTTATGCACGAGGTAATAACTAGACAAGTGGAATTAACTAGGCGGTCCAAGCGGTAGGGTTCCACATCAACTCATCAGAAAATCTGATTGGTCACTCGATGAGCTCCATCCCGAGGAAGAGCCAAGCCCGGATATTACGGAGCCTTCTCCGGAGTACGAAGTTCATAGATACATACTATGTACTCCGTACGAAAGAGTCGCTCGGTCAAACTTTGCAAGCGCCATACTGGAGAGTTACATCGCTTACCACTTTAGCTGTATCAACCGATAAAATTTATTCATAAAAGGGCAGCCATGTCGATGGATGCCTCCTCTTCCCGAATATTGGTTCCTGAGCTGTTTGGCTTTTCCTCCTATTGCAAAGACTTAGTGTGATTGAGTTCTTCCAATGTGGGCCCCTCGAAAGCTTGCGACGGCTTTTCAGCTGTTGCTTCTTTTGTCAGAGATTCAAGCTGCAGATATCGCCTGCTCAGTGGGAAACCCTTGCAAGGAGGGCTGTTGCTCAAGCGTTTCCCAGGTTTGTGGATATGGTCCAAGCTACTGCGGTAGCACTTGTATCGCGGGTGCCAGTTTGGATGGCACCTGTAAACATTTCGCTGAGTGCAACCCCGGTATCTATCCGGGTTGGGGAGAGCTCTGGGGTATCTATCATCCCTGGCACGCCTAGTGATACTACAATACATATCACTTGCTAACTATACTCACAACAGCTTCCAATTATTCGACCTCCCAGGCTTGTCCCCTGAATGTTTGCTGCAGTGAATATGGTTTCTGTAAGGAAACAGAGTGCCTCTTATACATGGAATGGAATCTCATATAACTTAACAGGTGGCACCACGTCTGATTTCTGTGGAAATACTGAATGGCCCTCCCCTTCATGCTCTGGTACTTCATCTGTTACGAAGCGAATTGGCTACTTTGAAGCCTGGAACCTGGATCACAGTTGCAATAGTAGGATTCAACCAGATGCTTCAAATATCCATATGCTAACTGTGTCTCAGCGATGACTCCAGAAGAAGTACAATTATCCTTTATAAAACAGGGAAGATCGATGCTAATTATTCCTTTAGATCCCCATTGGAGGATACACTCACTTGTTCTTCTCCTTTCTATACATTGACCCAGACACTTATGAATTGACGCCAATGGCATCTAATCAAACCGAAACTCTTTCTCGATTTGCTGCTCTTAAAAAGTACGGCGTCGAGGTCTGGATCTCCGTTGGTGGCTGGGCCATGAATGATCCGGGGCCATGGTCAGATGTCTTCTCCGAACTTGCGGCATCGGCTACAGCTCAGCAGTCATTTATTGACTCTCTCATTGCCATTCAACAGGAATATGGCTTTGATGGTATTGACATTGATTGGTATGTATTCCATCCTAGAACCTACGGATTTCGATAGTCTGGCTCTACATAAGTTGTTGTATCCGTGACTGATCCTCTCTCTAGGGAATATCCAGTTGCTCCAGATCGATTTGGTACACCCGATGACTACGTTAACTTTGTATCATTCTTGGAAAATGTACGTTCCGCCATGGGAAGCTCTTATGGGTTGGCGATCACCCTCCCGAGCTCCTATTGGTATCTTCAGTACTTCGACATTGTCAACATCGCGAAAACAATCGACTGGGTAAGTTCTTGACCTTTGAATTCGCAGTTAAATCTCAACTAGGCCTGACAAATGAACAGTTCAATTTCATGTCGTATGATATATATGGCACCTGGGACGCTGGGATTGAATCCATTGGAAGCTATGTCTATGCTAGCACTAACCTCACCATGATTGAATTGGGGCTACAGTTGCTGTGGCACAATGACATCCCGGCTAGCCAAGTTAACCTTGGCCTTGGCTTTTACGGGCGCAGTATGAGCTCTTGCTATCCCTTTCGATAGTCTATGCTAACCATACTTAGGCTACACCCTCGAAGATCCCTCGTGTGTGCAGCCTGGGTGTCCATTCACGACTGGCGGTATGTTTAAATTAACTCTGTATAACGAGTACCGAATCTCATGATGAACTAGGAAAGCCGGGGCCATGCTCTAAGACAGAAGGCATACTTTCTTATGATGAGATTCAAGACATCATAAATGACCCAAGCCGAAACCCGACGGTGTGGCTTGACTCTGATGCGGCTGTGAAAATTGCTGTCTATGATGAAGATCAATGGATTGCATATGATGACGTTGAAACCCTTCAAATAAAGCAAAACTTTGCCAATTCAAGGTGCATGGAAGGGTGAGTTGCCGCATAGAACAAATTCCTCTGCAAGTAACTTACCTGCTGATACCGTTGGTTGATCTATTACTAGTGTTTTCGTATGGGCTGTTGACCAGGACGTGTCTGGAAATCTTGCTGGTATAACTACTCTAAAGCCACTTAATTGCAGATCTTAGAATCTCTAACCTTTCACAGAGAGTATTTCGAACGCTACTGATCTATTCCCCGCTGGAGGAAGCGGAGAGCTGTATGTCTCGCCCGACATTTGGGATAGTGATTCGCCAGAACTTTCGTGCCAGGCTCCCTGTACTTTCATCTTGCCACTACTCCCGTTACCGACTCCAACAATTGTCACCTGGCCACCCCTCACTATCTCCCTTCTTGTCAGCGTCGATGGAGGGGTTTCCACCACGACAACCACAATTCCTGTTCCTGATTTCGAGATAACTGCCGTCCCCTTCTGGCCAGTAACCATTGCCAGCAATGAAGCAACAGGTGTCATGAGCCCCGTCCAAAGTATTACACCACCATCTCTCGTTCTAACTCTCCCTGGAAGCGTCACTCCGTTCCCGCCAGCGATCGTCAACTATACCCTCGTTGCGGAGAGCCAGTTGGCAGGTGTGACTGTCGCGCCCACGGCCACGGGAACGATTACCTCTGCTACCAGTTCAACTTCGACAAAGTCAGCTGTGGTGACCCCATCGCAAATTGCAGCCAACATGGCACAAGGCTGCACAGAGTTTTACGAAGTCCAAAGCGGTGACTCCTGCTGGAGCATTGAAAATAGCTTGGGTATTGCGGCTTCGGATTTTGAAGCTTGGAACCCTGACGTTGGTGATAGTTGTGCCAACGGTGTCTGGCTCAACTATTATTATTGTATCAGTCATGGCGACCCGACTGGGACCACGACGGGCACAGGAAGTCAGCCAACCTCGACAGTCACCACTGTCATTCCGGTGTTCTACAGCACATCGCACCCTGTCACTATCCAACCTCAGGCTACATATACCACGGTCAAACCTGAGAACCCCATTCCTCCAATCAATATCGACATCGGACCGCCGAAAGGCTCCTCCAGTAAAGGTGGTTGTGATGGGTGTGGTGAATTGGATTGTGGCCTCTTTGGCTGTGACGGCAAGTGTGGACTTTTCGGATGTGATGGGGGCTGTGGTCATTGGTGGTGTGGTGGAGGCTGTGGGTTGCAATATTGTGGACCTGGCTGTAGTACTGGTAAGAACACAATCTCATCTCAATACATTGAAGGCGTTCTAACACAGGCTTCATTTTAGGTGACTGCATCATCACAGGTGGAGGTGGTGGCGGTGGAAGCACCGGCTCCATTGGCCCTAAAAAAGGACAGAATCAAGATTGCAGCTCAATGGAAACAGCCGATATCTGCACGGTGTATGTGAAGAGTTTCTCTTCTTCGGGAATGGCTTCTTCATCAACTACGACTTCAGTAAGTGATCTCGAATCTTCCAAAACTAGTGTGTTCTGCATACCCTGACACTAGCGCTACTAGACGAACTGTGCTCCCACCCAGGGATGCTCGGTCACTGCATCGACCACGACTACCACTATCAGTACCACTGGAATATATTCCACCATCACTAACAGCTTCATGCTCGGTCCCCAGCCAACGTTGGCAGACTCTGTTCTGATGTCTATTTCTGCCAGCATCGTCAGCCAGCGAGAGGCCTGGGATGCCACACGCTGGTCCGGCTACACAATCACAAACAACCCAACATCAGCAAAGACATCCACTAGCAATTCTACTACCACTAGTAGCACTTCCACCAATACTACAACCACTTCTAGCGGGACTAAAACCACTTCCGGTACCTCATCCAGCAGCCCGACAATCAGAGCTAATGAACCCCCAAGCCCCGAGTACTATGAGTTGAACATGTATTCAACATCTGATTGCAGTGAATATATCATCGCCCAAGAAGGAAGTACCTCCGAGTACAACCTCGGTTGTTTATCCTGGTCTGAGCCAGAGTCGGCCTCTGCAGTGTACCCACTCTTTGACGAATCTGTTTTCTCAATCGCTGCCTGGACAGGGAGCTCTTGTGATTCACCGGACGAATTAGTACAATTGGAGTCTGGTACGTGCTATAGCCTGCCCATCAAAGCAGGTAATGGTGGCTGGAAGGTCAAACTGTTATGAGACTTTCTGGGATGTCTGGATTTGGATCGAAGAGAGGAGTTTGTTTTAAATGTTAGGAACGCAACCAGAATATAGTGAAGCCTAGTCCGCCTGGCCCTCGAGCTGTTCTCAGCATAGTCATAAGTAGAGTGCAGTAAAGAGTTCTCTAGTATTGTTACCGACTCAGTCCTGATTTGTAGCTGAATAAATGTTAAGCTCGTGGAGTCACAGACAGCAGCAGAATATTGATCGAGGTACAATAATAATCCAAAGACAATGTCTCTCATTCCCAATCCTTTGGCTTTATAAACAAGGTGTAGTACCCGGCTGTAATCGTTGTACCCGTCTTGAAGAAGAATGTTTTTGATATGAATGCACTGCATGAGACGTGACATTAATAATAACTCTGCTGCAGTTTTCTTTTCGAAGTCACACGAGTTAAACGTACCGCCTACAGTAACACATTGTCTATCCTATGTACGAGGGGGAACCGAGAAAGCCATGTGTGATTGTCACTTCCAAGGTTGCTAGATTTGATTGAGTCCGCTTTTAAATAGCTGGTGCCCACAATGTATATATCAGTGTGTCGCACATATATACTTTCACACATAATTACATAGTAGGGGCCAAATGGAATGTGTCTACTCTTCCGGAGCACTTCTTCCCATCTTCTCGGCGGCTCTCTGCTTCCCACCTTCAGTCACGTTAGGACTTTTCTGGGCGCTGTATATGAGCCAATTAGAATACAGAACAAATGGCTTTCCCTAAACGGTCATACTCACGCCTTAAGCCCAGCTTCGACTCTGACAGGGTCTTTGTTTGGATCGCCTCTTGCCTGATATATTTCATGGCGGGGTTTATCACCGCCGAGCTCACTAAGCTTGCCTTGTGCATTCTGCTTTGCCTCTTCTGAAACTCTCGGGTTGCTTAGTGTGCTACAGGTATGCTTAGCTATGCTCGTAAGTTGTATAGTGCGCACTGCGATACTTACGCCTTGTACCCACGCATCTCGTTAACCCTTTCTTCTGTCGCCATTTTTATTTGGATGAGTGAGAGCAGTTTCAACGAAGTGATACTGAGTGAACTGAGTTAGAGTATGTGCTATTGACAGACAATTCTAGCGCTTAAATGCGTTACAATCATGAGCAGGTCGTCTCACGTCAGTTCTCCGTCACTACATCCTGTGAGGATTTCCAAGGTTGCTCTCCCTTATGATATAATTATAATGTATTCATCACATCACCGCCTAGTAATGAGGAATGTCCTGAGGGTCTTGGCCAGATACACCAGGGGGTCTTATCTTTCATTAATTATTAATTCGTCCCTTGCGAGAGACATTGAAGTGGGAGGCTGAAGGAGCATTTGCACTTGCTATTGTCAGCCGTAAACCGCATGTGCACCTTCACTATATACTACGCTTCCGCTAACTCACTTTCTATACATTTAAGGTTCATGCAAGTAAGCAGCATTTAGAATTGCCAATATTCGCAAGGCACGTCCAAATTAGGGTTGTCCGTAGGACCAAGGTTGTCGCATTGTTCGCGTGGCGTGAGGCCTGATTGGGTTTTTACAAGTGTTCTCTCGGCTTCTAGTAGGAAAGCTTTGTGGCGAACCCTAATTTATCGTGCACTTATCCCGGCCAACACTGTAGAGTCCCATCCCACCTCAGTCTCCGGTTGAAGTTCAGTCATAAGATACGGAGCGTCTACGACTCCATACGTTTACAGCAAGTGAACGATTGTTATGCAAGGTTATGTTTCATTGCCATCCATTGAGAAGCCACCACAGTAAACGTTTGCATATGCGTAGAAAGTGGCAATGCGACATGCTAAAGGTAAACTCGAGTATACCAAGGTTGCAAATACAGATAGTCGGCTTTTATATCCAGCTGAAGCCTTATGGAAATGATACAATAGCACGACTTTGATATGTTGACTTCTCACTCCATTTGGATAGGGGCTATGTGTTATCGACAGCATTTCCAACAAAATCAAGCGAATTCGCTGAGCGGCCACCTCCATGCGGCTTGTGACCTCACATCTCTGGTGACCACAATCCTTGCCACAATTGCCCACGCCTCGTGGCTGATGACCCCAAATTTCATGGACCTGATCGACCTGAATGTTTTGAATAACCGATCATAACGACGTATGCTTGCCACAGTCTCTGAGTTACGTACTTCGTGCGTCAGAACAGTTAGACAAGTAGCACAGCCAAGCTCCGACTATATAATGATTAACTTGAAGGACAGTTTTGGGAGTTTAACCACTAGTATATATCCTGAACGCCTCACTCTTCCTTTACGGCGAAATTGCGTTGAAACATTGCACACAACTGCTCAAATTACAAAATGTCGAACCCCGCCGAAAGAATTGCAGAAGATAACTATGAAAGAGAAAATGATGCTTCGCCCGTGCCAGGAAACGTCACAGATAGCTCCTATGCCGAAGAACCCAACCCGAACCTGAGAGATAAAGTCCCTATCCAGCCAGACGACCAGTCATTCGAAGATCCAATGCAACCTCCTTATTCCAATTCTGACCAGCAGCTTGGTAAGACCATATTCTACAATTTTACAGTTTAGGTGTCTAACAGGTTACAGAGAAGGACGAAAGCGAAGCGATCGATAAGTCCAATGTCTTAAGGGGAGAGCGTCTCCGTCATGCAAAGCCTAGAACGGCGAACAGATACAATGAGGGGCCAGATGAAAATGATCTACCGGCCGGGGCGGAGTGATTTGCGATCGTTCTCTATCAGTTTGTACGGGATCACCCATATATTGGATGGGTAGACATTCTACCTCGCGGATCTTTAGCTGTCTATACATGTTATAAATGAGACCGGTAGTGCTTAGAGATAACAATGAATTGAGCCAATGGATGTTGGCGTCAGAGATGACTGTGCCATGTTGAATGAACAGAAAAGTATTGTAAAGGAGTGTTCGACTTCGACGCTACGTTGAACAGCGACGAAAGTAGGTAAGAAAGGAATCAAAGCGCTGCAATCTAGGTGATGCCTCAATAGTCATCACCACGGCTGATCACTTCCTTGCATGATTCTCGCAACAGAATAGTCTAGAAAGTTTTAGCATCGCGGGTTGTCTCATGAAGAAGGTTTTACAAACATGTTCGAACTGCGCAGAATACGACCCTCTAACGTCCATCAAAGGCTGGTAAACCTCGACATACCCGTTAGATACAAGGTTATTCATCTGTTCATTGTAAGCACAAGATTTCTATAATAGAATGAGAAACACTCACACCAGCCAGATAACGTTCAACGCCAAGTCGTTCAAGATAGCGGCGACAGAAGACAAGTGAGCCGAAATTTTCATTGATTTTCTGATAGAGGGATTTGGCGCTGGCAAGGTGCGATGTGATCCGTTTCGGTGCGGATGGGTCTTTACCATAACCATAGACTCCAGGCTAAATAATTGCGTGAATATGTGACGACTACAGGGAACGAGGATGAAACATACCCCATCAAAAAGATAGCCACGGCCGGTTGTCCCGAATGTCTCAATGGCAAATATCTCTCCCTCTTCCATCTTGCTGTTGTCATTGTTCTTGACAAATGGTACAGATTTCCCAGCGTGAATGCGATATTGCTCGATGTTGTGTCCAGTGATGTTGCGCACCGCCTTGACAGGAAACGTCCGACCATTGATGTCAACCTCATAGCTTTCCATGGCTTCTTGTATGGCAGCGCTGACATCGCTAATACGGACATCGACCCCCGCATTCTAAGAGTGGTCAGCGGTCAGTCTAGCATAAAAACGGATAATTGTTTACCTTGATGCCAGTATTGGTAGCGTCCTTGACAGCAGCAAGCAGATTATCATAGGTTGGGTCGAATGACATTGTGAAAGCGCTGTCCACAATCCAGCCGTTTATGTGAACGCCAAAATCGACTTTCATCACATCGCTTGAGTCGAGGACCACCTCCCTTTGGCCTGGGTTCGGTGTATAGTGTGCAACACAATTGTTGAGTGACAGTCCCGTGGGGAAGCCCAATCCGGATATGAGGCCTTGACCAGTATCCAGGCCGGCATTATCGAGCAACGCTCTAACGCCATCCTCGATTCCCACAGCAATCTCCGTGAGGGCCTGGCCAGGACGCACGCTCTCTTGGGTCCAGCGTCGGACTTGGCGGTGTACCTCTGCAGCCTTCCGATAGTCATTCAAAAAGGTGTCGTCTTCGATGTGATGACGGGAGTGGTGTCGGACTTCATCGGCGGTTGTTCGGGCCGTATTTTCGACCACCGGTTCATAGACTTGAGCCTCGCCATGTGGATACCGACGATCAGGGAATAGATAGGCAAGAGGGATTCGTGGAGGTGAAGATTGCTTCAACGCAGATGACTTCTTCTTGGGCCTCTTTTTTCTCTTCTTCGAATTTGTCGAGGGGGCAGTTTGCGGATTCAACGGCACGGCAGGAGTGCAGGAGGTACTGTCGCCATCGGCGTCATCATCTCCTTCTCCTTCTCCAAGCGTGCCATCACCATCCCGTGACCAATGGGCGCCCCGTGGTTCCCCACCAGTGGCGGTAGCCTTGGTTGAGCTGGGATGAGCATCTGCTAAACGTCAGTCGACTTCGACGGACGATTGTTGTGTGACTTACTACCACCTCCTTGGCTCTCATTCTCAGGTGTTTTGGAGCCCATATCGACATGAAGAAAAGTGACTCGGGGATAATTGACTGTAAAGACTATCTAGGAAGCAAAGTTCGGGTCCGCGGGTGTCCCCGCGGTGTTTCTTGTGTTTGACTGGTTTGAATGGTTTGAATGGTTTGACTTGTCTTCGCCAGATTTGCTGTGTTTCCTATGTTTGCCGTGTTTGCTTGTCTGCCATTTTCGCAGGGCCCCTAACAGAACGCGGTATATACCACATAAGGGGCTATTCGTTTGTTTCTGTTTTGTTTTTTTCTTCTCAGCAGACCAAAAAATGATACCCGCCAAGAAGCATCAGGGAAGGCTATGGTCGCTTGGACGCTGCTGTTCATGGAGATATACGATTCCTCGATCCTGGAGAAGGTGATAACAAAGGAATACTAAAAGACTCATGGTGAAAGGCAGATACTAAAAAGTACATAGATATTCTTCCTATATGCAACATTCAAGTATTCCCCCTCCTATGCTAAGTACCTAAGTACATATAGATGGTAAACTTCCCCGCATTTTCTGCGATTCGCCATTCGACATGCATATCCCGCCATCACATTAACCGATGGTCCGAAACTTCTAAAGTTCCTCTCAATGTTCATTACACTGAATTTGGTGAGTCCATATGAGTTCAAATAATAAAACATCGCGATCACGGTTCGGTAAGTAATTCCATTTGTAGAATTCAGAACTCCACGCTTGGTCACTTCGCTAATTTGTGCAGGCTGTCGCACCTGTCGCGCCCGAAAAGTGAGATGCCATCTTCCTGTTCTAGGGGTCCTGATATTCTAAAACATATCACAATTACACAGGTCAAATGTGACGAGACACCTGGCGAATGCGGCAACTGTGCTCGATTGCGGCTGGTTTGTTCCGGCTACACAACACCTGTGAGGTCTCAAACAATAGGGGGTGAAACAGACCTGCGACATTCTACGAGAGGAAAAAGGACATATCGCTCTTGCACGGCATGTCGTGCTTCGAAAACCAAATGCTCCGGTGAGCGCCCATGCCAACGATGCCGCTGGAAATGTTCAACCGAATGTGTTTACGCCGAGTCTACACAGCCCACTTGGGTGCGCAGAGTCAACATGATCCAGACAGACAGCCCAGACTTCTCTTCATCCCGACCCTTCATCCCTGGACAGTCTTTCGAGGAGACACCATCCAGACAGGCCAGTCCGCCTAGTCTAATGGATACGCCGTCTACACCACAGGCTTTCCCTAGGAGTTCATCATCTCCACTTGACTGGTGAGCTGTGGAGATTTTCGCTAATTTATCCCATCTGATGGACTCCTGCTCACTCGCTATAGGTTGGCTACCGATTACCTTCCCAGCTCACCGAGAATTGTGATGCTAGTCGAGGCGTACTTTAACAATATCCACCCTCTACGTGCCTTTGCTTTTATACACAAGCCGTCTTTCCTACAACAATTGGATGGATACGTCTTGGAGAACCACCACAATCATGCTCTTTTACATATTATCTGTGCATTAGGAGCCCAGTAAGCCCAACTGACTTCTCGGAGACAAAGTCTTAGGCTTAATGGTTTTAGGTTTTATGCTCTGTCATACAGCGAGACGACAGCTCCACTTGAGCCCAAATTCGTCCTTCTTGCAGGCACTCAATGGGCTAAAATTTCCCAACGCCTCATCCTTGAGACCATAGATCGTGTGACTATTGAAAGTCTAATGGTGCGCCCTGCAACCAAGCCCCTATATACTGCAACTAACGATATGGAAAGGCTTCCGTTCTGCTTCATGATTATGCAGTTCGATTGGGGAACTTCTCAAACGCGTTTATGCTGAGTGGGCTTACTACACGCATGACCCAGGCGCTCCAAATCAATCTTGAATACAACACCGACATCCTCTGCCAGAATACTGATAACGGTCTTCCAGTCACAGCAAAAGAGTCCCGTCGGCGGTTGATGTGGAGCTGCTACATAATGGATGCGCTTGTTGGCAGCGGAGTAGACCAGCTGACGCTGATGGATGAAAGAGATGTCAAAATCCAGCTTCCATGCAATGAGCGCAACTTCACTCAGCAAGTCCCCTGCCTCACAGAAACTTTATATCCTGGAAGTTGGCTCAAGATCCTGCCGGAAGATTTAGATACAAAGACTCTGTCCCCCAACATGGGAATAATGGCATATTTCATTCGACATATCTCAATCCGCAAAAGGGTTCTAAGGTATTCTCCCCATGGAACCTATATTTCCATTCTTGAAACTTACTGTTGAACAAGATATATCAAGCATTTGGGAGATGCTATGGTCCCGTGGGACCCTGCATCGGAATTTGCGCTTCTAGATGCAGATTGCCGGGCATGGTACGACTCCCTACCAGCAAGTCTACAATTCACACCCGATGCAATGTACATTCGCAAAGAAACATCTCAATTAGGAGCCCTATGTTTGCTCCATTGTGCGCACTATCAAACTGTCTGCGACCTATATCGACTAGGTGCCCCTGCGCTTTACAAACTCCGAGCTGCTTTCGACTTCCCTCCTGAACAAGCGGACTTCCTTCAACATCTCCAGCAAGTTCTCTTTGATGCAGCTCGGGCTTTGGCAACTATCATTGGACAGGCAGCTGGACATGGTCCTCAAATGTTGGCAGACTCCTGGCTTCCCACCATCGCGTATGACAGCTGCCGGATCATGGTATATCATTTGACTCAGATCCTTGATCCGCGCTCCGATAATGCAAAGGCGCTTGCGCTAGCCACCATTCCTCTCCTCCACAGTAATATCAACGCATTGAAGTCAATGGGATCACTCAATGCAATCGCCAGTACACTTGTCAGTGCTTTTCAGGCTTTAATTTGAATGGGACTCGTTGCTAATCTACCTGCCAGTCCTCTGCAGCAGAAACAATGCTTGATCGTTCTGGTATTGAGTCTGAGGTTGTCAGGCAGAACATCATACCCGATGACCCCTATCAATCAACTGAGGAGGAAGACACGAGGTAAAGATGGCTGTTTCTTGAAACTTCTCCTTACTTGCTAAAGCTGGATTATAGTACCAATATTCGAGGATCCCCAGTTCAAAGTGCGCCGGATTATGTCCTAAATCCGCTGACGATTTTCCGAATGGCACGCAAATCTATACCAGAGCGACATGCCCCGGAAAGGGCGAGCACTACGTCGGCACCTAATAGTGTCCTTTCTGAAAATAGGGTTTCCCCTTGCGAGGTTGTTGGCTCCTCCAGGACAGATCCACCTGACGTAGAAGTTGGCCAAGCGAGCCTTGAGGAGCTACAAACTCTATTCATGTCCGATCTCGGATGGGCGTGGCAGCCCGCAGACACGGCAGTCGGATCAGGAACAGAGGGAGCTGGACTCTTGCCATGGGCAGGTGGATATCCCATCGCTCAAACACAACCCTGGTTGCCTGTGTTTCCATTCCCCCAGCAGGGCTGACAGCGTCCGGGGTAAATTTTCCCTTTATACATGACGGCATCCTTAGTATGGTCCTCTGAAAGAACGTTTAATCCATGATGAGCACAACACCCATCAGAGCAGTAGGCGTTGAAATAACAAGTATAATTTCAGGCTCAATAGGTTGTACTTGACACAGCAATTTACACATTCACTCCGCGTCCAAGGGACAGACAGGAGGAGTGTCATTAACCTGGATACCTCCGCGCTTCTTCTCCAAAGTATCGTGGTATGGGAGTTTCCACCCTCCTTCTGATTCCGGAGCCGAAAGCCAAAGTCGCATCAAATGCCGTCGTCGGGCAGGCCGACCATTCCCATCAACCGCCCCAGGTGGATGATCGGTGTAGGCAGTTCGTGCATGGAAGACATGTGTATTACTCAAGAATTGAATATCACCTGGAGCTAGAATCATGTGTAGGGACAGCTCAGCGCAGGTCTTCTCAAATACCTCTAGGGCATGTTTCTGTCTGTCTGACAAAGGGGGTATGCATGCACCAGGCCCTGAGTTGAAACGTGCTAATGATGTCACGTTCATAGGATCGAACCTTGCGTAGACTCGTGGGCTGGGGCTGCTGGTGTCGTTTTCGAGGTAAAGGATGCTCCCTCGAATCCACTCTTCTTCGCCTTCGGATGTTTCGCCCTTCCGATCAAAATACCAGTTGGGCTCACATAGTGTTCGTACCACATCAGGATATCTCTCCTGTAGTACGTTGAATACATGATGCGTGGAGGCAATGTCTGACTCCCCGCCAGACAGAGATTTGGCGATACAAAGGAGGCCAACAAGATCGGCTCCATCCGTGTGAAAGTATTGACTAACAAATTAACCTTTGATCCATAACCAGTATGAGTAGTTACATACCGAGCATTTGTTCGATAGATTCGAACTCTGTCAGTTTTGGTCGGATCTTCTCCTAAATCCTTGACATGGCCAAGGACATGCCCTCGGCCGTTTTGACTGACAAAGTAGCCTAAGTATGTGCCAAGGCCCATATACGCTGTTGCACACTTCTGAAGATCCCACTCCTGTACAGGGAGTCCTCTAAAAAGGAAGAATCCTTTGCCATTAATCAGGTCTTGTCGAAGCGCTTCCAGCCGCCCGGACAAATTGGGCAAAGGGAAATTGGCCTATGGACAAGTTAGTTTCGGTCGTATGCGTCATATTCTCGCGGATAATCACACCTTTGATATTCCAGTCAAAGGAGCTCCACCCTGGATGAACTGATCTGTAGCATGGCTGATCTCCGCAACCTCATCTGCGGTGAAGCGATGAGTCCAAAGTTCAGGATACTCGCGATAATCTTCAGGTTTCCACACTGTAGGCCCCGTATGAATCTTCGGGAAATCTGCATAGGGCCGAACTTGTGAATACACTGGGGGTGCTGGCCAGATGTTTTGAACCCATCTGGGAATACAGAGAGCTTGACGGGGCGCGACAGAGTCTGTGAGCCAGTAGCTTCCACAAGTCCGGGGGCCATGGTTAAATGAGATTTGACGTGAATGAATGATAATAGTATTCTTAGTGCAGGAATCTGTTTGCCAGTGTCCTTGAATGAAGAGGTTGATCTATCATCAGAAATAGATGCTGCTATATATACTTTCACTCCGCGGTTTCTCGGCTCGTCGTCCCGATCGGTCTCGGCCTATCGCTTCATTGCTGGTACCTCGTCGCTTGCGATTTGCAAGTCCACGTCGAAGTTCTGAACGGTGGAGAAAATTTGATTACAGCACGATGTAATCTGATCAGAGCTCCAATCAACACCTAAGGCGATGTGCATTTAATGGGATGACAACCCGAACCCCAATGCTTGCTTGACGGCTTGTCGGCCAACAAGCCGAGATATGCCAAACTGGCATCACGCAATATACCTCCATATAATCGCAAGATTTGGCGAATTGAAGAGTTGATAAAGGAAATCCATCGAGGCTGTGGTAGTCATATCGGAATTCGGAGAGTAGTATTATGTATGTATGCTTCAATAAACATATACTCCGAGTTCCTGAAGGTGTTGTTCCAATTTAATGCCCAGAACGGGCCCGTCATTAATTTATCATTAATTCTACTCTTTCATATGTGGGTTCTGGTCATCAAAGCCTGCAGCCGATGTCTCAATATCCGGTCGCTTAGTGCCAGCTCGGTCTGAGCATGACGCTGACTTCAGTGAGTTACTCCGAGTTCTCTCCTCACCATACAACGGTAGAGTATTTAGGTCGACAAGGTACATATACCAATAATAAGTTCCTATAGTTTCCATTAGTCTAGGTGCTTTATTTGCGAGAATGAGTGATACTGACCACAAAATACACCTCCGCCGATGATATTTCCTAATAAGGTTGGGATGATACCTTTCCAGATGTACAGGCCAATTGTAATCTGTGGCGCTCCAAGCCAAATGCCCAATGGAATGAATGTCATGTTTGCAACGACGTGGTCGAAGCCCAGGGAAACAAAAGCGAAGGTGGGCAACCAGATTCCAATAATTTTGGAGGCCAGATCACGGCCTTGGATACCAAAAAAGCAAGCTAAACATACTAGCCAGTTACATCCAATGCCACGCAGGAGTATCATGTGAAAATCAGGGGTGACCTGCTTTTTTGTGGCAAAGGAAATAACAGCGGACCTGAATGGCTCTGCGGAAAATGCATTTCCATCTACGGAACATTAGCCACATTGTTTTACAATAGGGAAGCGAAATCCCTACAGCCGAAGATGATAGCCACGATAAATAAAGATCCGGCGAGGTTGCCAATGAATGTCACAGCCCAGTGAATCAGCATTCTTGACCAAGGTAGGCGGCGATGGAGCACAGCTAATGTAGTAAACTAGTACATGTTAGTCACTAGACTTCCAGCAACAGTCCAATTTGTGCGTAGACATACCATAAATGATCCAGTGCAAAGGTCTGCACTTGTTAGGAGGATCATACACAGACCGTAAGGAAACACCAAGGCGCCGATAGTTCGAATCAAACCCGGTGCATTGTCTTGAAACCAGGGTGTGGCCGTGGTACTAAGAGTAGTCCCGCAAGCGAATGCAAGTAAACAACCAGCTGATACTGCACTCAAAAACACCTTGTCCAGCCGCATATTCCCTTTATGTGCCCCCGTTCTTGAGACGGCTTCAGTCACCTCTCGAGGCGAGAGTGCATCGAAAGTCATTTTGATCAGAAGACAATCCCAGTCTGGAGATAATGGTTTGATTGTTCTGAAGGATATATAAGTCTAGAGAGCCAGGGAAAATATATCATTGTGGCAAGAGAATTCTCTGCGATGAATGGCTTATCTCTCACCCAGCGGAATCCCGAATAGTTCCCGACCTCGGCTGCTTCAAGTCTGGATTTATCAAGATTATTGAACTCAGATAAGAGCCTGGACATTGGTGAAACGATGACTGGCTAGAGAGTAAGTTCACACAGTAGAGATCATCGAGTCAAAAGAGAATGAGTTATCAGAGTCAGGGGTCTTGGCAAGATAAGGGTTGTCCTCGAGATCCTACATCTCCGCGGATGTACGGAGTAGTTAATGGAAAATACCCTATGCCAGCTAACTTTAGTAGTATAGTACTACACGGTGTATCATTTCAAATGTTAGATGGCTACAACATAGGGATGCACCTTTAAATTTTATGTAAAGCCTCCGGGATGTACTCCGTAGCCATTGTACATACTAGCCTCCTTATCGTGACATACTGACCCGGGAATATGGGAATATGGGAATACGGGAATACCTTTGTGCTTCCGTGTGACCTGTGAATGAACTTCAATAAGTCCATAACAGCGAAATCAATCCTACTCGTCACTCGTACCATCAAACCGGAAATCCAGTACTCATTTTTCATCGGGACAGACCTTGGATTGGATGGTTCCGGGGACACTTCCTACCTACAACATAGGTACCTAGGTAGGTATTGGTCACGAAATGTTAGTAATCCTTTCCTTGGCGGTCCTCGGCCGCATAATTCTAGTGGCTAGAATACAGAAACTAGCATTACATATGGCGATACTGTTGTACAGAGTAGTGGCCGATGCATTGTGCGGATCCATAAGCACAATCCCACAACCCGTCCGACTATAGCGATCAAGACATTGACCACATATGTCGCGTGCACTACAAGCACCTATTTAGCACAAGAAAGCCAAGCACGACACGAGTAGCAAGAGTTGCCAGCCGCGCAAGAACTTCATGGTTTCACTCAAAGTATGGTCTTCTCAAAATCTGGAGACATCGAAACTTTTTCTAGAAGGGAAATGACTCCTCATGTTTTATTATAATGGACATGGTATTTATAAAGTGGCAATATAGTAGTGAAGTGATTTGCGCCGAATGATGAGGAACTGGAACCGGTTGACCCCAATATAAGTGACCTCTGGAGACGCGTCGTTTGACTTGTTTATCTTGTGGATTGCCTTGGCGCCTCAGGCGTAAATAATAATCCACAACCAACTTGCAAGTTGGTTGCCCATTCATTCATTCGTGTTTTCTGAACTGCATTTTGATAATACTTTGGAGTATAGTGTGTCAATAATTTGGCTGAGGAAAAGGGGGGAAATCATTGTTTTCGTTTTCTTGGACTGCCTTTTCGGTCCTTACCTAGGTAGAAGCGAAGAGGGGAACTATATATATCTATATAATAGACTGAAGCATGTTATTGTAGGTATCTATATCAATATTACCTAGCCCTTGGGTTTCTCTATTCTAAAAGAGCTGATCTAGGTCATCTTTAGAAGTGTGAGACATGTAGTCTTCCTCGCGAGAATAGGCCGATTATACTCAGATCTATATTTTCGGCCAGTCCGCAGCAGCTTGACTTACAATTCTCTCCATCTCCGGCTGTCAGATGAACAAGGCTACATAATACTACCCTCTTATCCCCAGTTACGGGTTCAACCCCCACGACCCTCGAGTTTCGGTTGGTCTCGGTAATAACGGGAGTTCCGAATGGGATCTCCGTCGAAAGAAAGAAGGATATCCTAACTGGAAGACATAAACAACGCTAATCAATATAAGGTAAGGCTTGTTCGCTAAATGTCTTGGTTAGCATATGGCGCGTTTACACTTTCGTGGGGGGAGACCTTGGAATGCGGAGACGTGGGGAACATGGGGAAACATGGGAAATATGGGGAAACCCAGGATTAGAATTGATGACGTGGGGTGGTGCAATTGACCCTATAGAATATATATATATATATCCATATATTCTATATGGTTTGAGACGTAAGACCAAGATAAACAGAACCTCCTATTCAAAGACCCCACCATGTCCAAACCAGATGTTGTTCACAATGAAGCGGCGGATCACCAGAAGGTGGACAAACTCGTGGACAATAGTGGCATTGTACGCGTCCCCTTGACCGAAGAAGACAGCAAGCGCATCTGCCGCAAGACCGACCGGACTATTCTTGTTGTGCTCGTCTGGGTCTACTTCTTGCAGATTCTCGATAAGACAGTCCTGGGATACGGTGCAACATTCGGTTTACAGGAAGACACAGGCCTCACCGGCAACGAATATTCACTCGTCGGCTCTATCGCACCCATCGCACAACTTGCCTGGCAGCCCTTTTCTTCATACCTGATTGTCAAGGTTCCCCACAAGATCCTTATGCCAGTGCTATGCCTTGGATGGGGTATTGCGCAGACATGCATGGCTGCATGCCACAACTTCGGCACCTTGATGGCGGCTCGATTTTTTCTCGGTCTGTTTGAGGCGGGGTGTCTCCCTCTCTTTGGTGTTATCACAAGTCAATGGTACCGCCGTGCGGAGCAACCGATACGGATCGCTGCGTGGTATAGTACAAATGGCCTAGCAACTATCGTCGCAGCTGCTTTATCGTATGGATTGGCACAGATAGAGTCAGACGTGCTCGATTCATGGCAGATGTAAGAAGTCAACCCGTCCAATCCTCGAGAGTGGTATATTCTGACTGCGTCTTAGCATATTTCTTGTGGTTGGCTTGATAACTGTCGCATCTGCCCCAATCGTCTACTGGCGCTTGGACACCGATATATCCACCGCTCGCTTCCTCAGTGAGGAGGAGAAAGCCCAAGGGATGGAGCGCCTGCGAGCTAACCAGACTGGAACCGGAAATACCGAGTTCAAGTTCGGTCACGTCCTCGAGGCCTGCTTAGAACCCAAAACATATCTCTGGATCGGAATGGCAATGCTCCTCAACATTGGTGCCAGCGTGACCAACGTCTTCGGTCCGCTGATTTTAAGCGGCCTTGGCTACGATAAATACAGGACAACTCTGCTGACCATGCCATTTGGCGCGTTGCAATTCGTCATCATTCTGCTGGCAAGTTATCTTGCCCAAAGCGCTCGTGTGAAGGGCGTCATTATCGCGGCTTTCATGCTGCCCGTGATAGCCGGTCTAGCAATTCTGTATGCAGTGGCTCGGACCAAGTCTGTGCAGGGCCAGTTACTTGCTGGCTACTATCTACTCGCATTCCTATTTGGAGGCAATCCATTGATTGTGACCTGGATCATCGGTAACACGGCGGGCACCACCAAGAAGTCCGTAATCATGAGTTTCTTCAACGCAGCAACCTCGGCAGGGAATATCATTGGCCCGTTGCTCTTCAATGAGAAGGACAAGCCAGCCTACCACCCAGGCCTGCGGGCATGCCTCGGAATTTTCTGTACATTGGCCGCTGTTATTTTCATTCAGTGGGGAAACCTATGGTTCCTTAACAAACAACAGGCCCGCCTACGTGTACAGAATGGCAAGAGAGCTGAGATAATCGACCTTTCGATGCAAAATAAATATCAAGACACGCAGGATAACCAGGAGGAGACCGGACGTGAGACTGTGCAAGTTGGGGATAATGCGTTCCAAGATCTGACCGATCGGGAGAATGATGAATTTGTATATATCTATTGAGGCTAGTCACCATTTGCTGTCCAATATATGCGAGTTAACGGATACTATCGGCAAGTGAGTAGTGTCTCATTCTTCTGTCGATGGGTGGACTGAAATTGAGGCCTCAGGCCACATTTAGTGCCTGGGTCACGCAAACACGCGTACCGGTGCATGTGGTTTTCTTTCTCTTCCCTCTTCTCTCTTCCCCCTACTTTGATTTCCCTGCCTTCTCTGTACGCTCCGTCTCCAGCAAGTTGAGCCTTCGAGGTTTTATTTTCACCCTGCCTATCCTGATCTCGGCTGCGTTCCCTAGACAGGGTAAGATAGGGAAGATTTTCATCTCCTGCCTAGAGAGGATATATTTCACCCCTGCCCACAGAGAGGATGAGATATATTCCCACCTCTTGTCTATCCTGACCCTTGCTTCATTCCCTATGGAGTGCTGGATATGGATATTTTCAGGTTTGGTGTATTTTCATCTGCCTAGAGAGGGACAGAGAAGCAAACAACCCGTCCAGACCACGTCAGTTTACCGCGTGTTGACCGTTCAAACTACAATATGTAGCTTGTAGTCGGACATTACCAGTTGAGACTCGAATACCTTCGAGGCTAGCACTCAAATTGAAGAAGACTCATAGCACATGGGAATGTGGTCGAGAACTGAAGCGTGGGCATGATCCAGGAAAGCAGGGTTCTATATTGGAACCCAGGCTAGGTATGTAGGCTTTCTCGCAGTTTAACCATGGTGATAAACGTCCCGACTGCTGACTTGTTAGGAATATTATTATTGGGGTATATCTTCTATTGGAGTCTTTTTGCGCAATACCGCCATATAGTGGACCTCATCGGCCATGCGACAAATGCTTACGAACCCTGCGCGCATGCTGGCAAGTCGTGGATGGTTTGATTCTCTTGATGGGGTCTGGAACATGCAAATGCGACAGGGCGATGACTTTCGGACTCGGACTCGGCTCTTTCAGATTTCAAATTAGCCGGACTCGGATCCACTGGAAGACTAGGATCTTAGGATCTCTAGATTCCCAGAGTAACATGAAGTGAGCAAATACAGCGAGATTCTCTCCACACTTGGGGAGAACTGGTGAATCACATACCTTTGCCATGATTTGTCTGGTTTCATATCACAAACCTGGAGGCAGGTCTCGGAGTCGGAACCAGCTGAAAACAACGACAAGCTGACCCGAGATTGGATGTCCGAACTGTCCCAATCTGACAAACAAAGCGAGCCTCGGCACATTGATATGTACCGGTCCCCGTCGCTGCTAACTGGAGTGTGAATTTCGCGGAGAAAATCTTGTCCCGATTGTTCACGATTGATACCCTATAGACCATCCATTGCAATACACGAAGTCACACATTGGTCGTACCAGCCTGTATAGAGCCAGTGAAACCCGAACTACACAATGACAGGTGATCATCAGTACACCGGGGAACCGATTGCCATTGTGGGAAGTGCTTGCCGCTTTCCTGGTGATGCAACAACACCTTCCAAGCTATGGGACCTGCTAAAAGCACCTCGAGATGTCCTGAGCGAGATTCCGGAAACCCGCTTTAGCACCAAAGCGTTTTACCACCCCGATGGGCTTCACCATGGCACAACGAATGTTCGGCATTCCTATCTATTGTCCGACGATCATCGACTGTTCGACGCCCAATTCTTTGGAACCAAACCTGTGGAAGCAAACTCGATTGATCCCCAACAAAGGCTGTTGCTAGAGACCGTTTACGAGGGGCTTGAAACGTCGGGCATTCCTATGGAAAAGCTACAAGGGTCAAACACCGGTGTATATGTTGGTTTGATGACCAATGACTACGCCGATATGTTAGGTCGGGATGTGCAGAACTTTCCCACTTATTTCGCATCGGGAACTGCTCGAAGCATTCTATCCAATCGAGTCTCCTACTTTTTCGACTGGCGCGGGCCTTCCATGACCATCGACACGGCGTGTTCCTCGAGTCTGATTGCCCTACACCAGGCTGTACAGAGCCTACGAAGTGGCGAGATTGACGTTGCAGTGGCAGCAGGAACCAACCTTCTGCTGGGACCAGAGCAATACATTGCGGAGAGCAAGCTGAAGATGCTTTCCCCGACGGGCCGCTCGCGCATGTGGGATAAAGGCGCAGATGGGTACGCGCGTGGTGATGGAATTGCTGCCGTCATACTCAAACCATTGAGTGCAGCATTGGCCAATGGTGATCACATTGAATGCATCGTTCGGGAGACAGGCGCCAATCAAGACGGTCGCACTAAAGGAATTACGATGCCCAACCCGGTAGCCCAAGCAGACCTTATTCGGACTACGTACGCTCGAGCTGGACTCGATCTTTCCAAGCCCACTGACCGACCTCAATATTTCGAAGCTCATGGTACTGGTAAGTAGTCGAATTAGGCTTACGGTTAGTGGTCTTGGCTGCTAACGAAATCAGGAACTCCAGCAGGTGATCCAGTCGAGGCGGAGGCCATCAGCACTGCATTCTTTGGACAAGCAGCCAATTATCAACGCGACAGCAACCAGGAGGACCCCTTGTACGTTGGGTCCATTAAAACAGTGATTGGGCACACCGAGGGAACGGCGGGATTAGCAGCCGTCCTTAAAGCATCACTTGCTTTACAACATGCCGTCATACCGCCAAACATGTTGCTCAACGAGCTGAGCTCCACGGTTCTCCCCTTCTATAACGACCTTGAAATTCTTCAAGTTGCGAAAGAATGGCCACAGCTTCCGCATAACGCCCCTCGTCGTGCTAGTGTCAATAGCTTTGGCTTTGGTGGTGCAAATGCGCATGCAATTTTGGAAGCATTCGATGCGCGCCTACTTGATCGTGGTCACAACGGCGCAGATGGCAGCTCCGCAGCAGTGTCACCCTTCAATTTCTCCGCCTCATCCGAAAAGTCGCTTCTCGCCAATGTTGCAGCTTACTCGGCATATTTGCGAAATTATCCGGATACCAATATGCGTGATTTGTCATGGACATTGAACTGTCGGCGTTCCACTCTCCCAGTACGGCTGTCCGTGTCTGCATCAAGCTCAGGAGAGCTTGCTACAAGACTGGATGAAGCAGTAGCGTCCTCAGCAATAACACCAAGCACGCAAACGGGAAATATCCGCGAACCGAAACTCCTTGGGGTGTTCACAGGCCAAGGAGCACAGTGGGCAAGGATGGGTGCTGAATTGCTCGAAACCTCACCAATGGTAAGTGATTGCATCGCTCATCTCGATCGGTCTTTGCAGGGACTACCCACTGAGCATCGCCCGGTTTGGGCGCTGAGGGATGAGCTTCTTAAAGACAAGTCCTGTTCTCGTATTGGCGAGGCGGCGTTTTCGCAACCTCTTTGTACCGCGATTCAGATTGCACTGGTCCAGCTTCTCCGGGCAGCCAATTTGAAACTTACTGCAGTCGTTGGGCATTCTTCTGGGGAGATTGCCGCAGCGTATGCCGCGGGATATCTCAACGAACAGGATGCTATCCGCATTGCCTATTATCGCGGATGGTCTCTGCAATATGCAACCGACCAGGGAGAACGGAAAGGGGCAATGATGGCTGCAGGAACATCGTTTGAAGATGCAAAGGAGCTTTGCGAGATGCCGTCACTCGAGAACAGAATTTGCGTGGCGGCTAGCAACTCTTCCGCCAGCGTCACACTTTCCGGGGACGCCGATGCCATCGACGAGGCCAAGGAAATCCTTGAAGACGAGAAGAAATTTGCTCGCTTGTTGAGAGTTGACAAAGCTTATCACTCACATCACATGCTTTCTTGCGCAGCTCCTTATATCGCAGCGATCCGCAAATGTGGTGTAACTATCCAGCGTCCACCGAGCGGTAGTGCTACCTGGGTCTCCAGCGTACATGGCGAGAATATTGATGACGTGGATGACAGCCTTGTCGACACTTACTGGAGCAACAACATGGTCAAGCCCGTACTATTCTCCCAGGCCGTCACTTATGCAGTTGGTGCAGCTGGGCCATTCGACATGGCTTTGGAAATTGGTCCTCACCCAGCATTGAAAGGACCCGCAATGGAAACAATCCAAGAAGTGTCTGGCGAGACAATGCCTTACACTGGGACTTTGAACCGTGGCCGAAATGACAGCGAGGCTTTTTCATCCGCTCTGGGTGCCCTATGGATTGCGTTGGGCGAGAGCGTCGTGGACTTCGCAGGGTTTGGAATGAAAGCAATGCAAAAGCAAAACACTCGAACCCCAAAGCTCCTCAAGGGCCTTCCATCATATTCTTGGGACCATGATCGTGTTTATTGGCACGAGTCTCGATCATCTACCGCAATTCGCACTGAAAGTGAACCGTTTCACCCTCTACTGGGTGTCAAGTGCCCCGACGGGACAGACAATGAATTGCGCTGGCGGAACTATCTGCACCCTAGGGAAGTTCCTTGGCTGGGTCATCACCAGGTCCAAGGTCAAATGGTATCCCTGCGGCTGGCTATATATCGGCAGCGGCTGAGTCTATCATCCAAAAGTATGGCCTGGGTTCTGTGCAACTGATCGACTTCCATGACGTGATCATCGGACAAGCGTTGGTGTTCGAAGAGGACGGAGGGGTGGAAACAATATTCAGACTTTCAATCGATCAAGTTCAACCCGATCACGTCTCTGCGTCCTTTACCTGTCATTCCGCCGCCAATAAGGGGTCGTCCAACATGTCTCTTCACGCATCTGCCACCCTGCAAATTGTTTTGGGTGACCCCAAACACGATATACTGCCACCATACTCCCAGCCGCAAGGTTCATTTTTGGATCTGGAAGCCGACCGGTTCTACAACTCAGTTTCAGAGCTTGGGTTTGGCTACACCGGCCCCTTCCAGGCCCTTTCCAACTTGCGCAGAAAGATGGACGAGGCATCGGGTTTGATCGCTGTCCCAGTACAACCCGACACGGAACGACCATTGATCATTCACCCAGCCTCTCTTGATGGAGCCATTCAGTCCATTATGCTTGCCTATTCCTTCCCAGGCGACGGCCGTCTACGGACCCTTTACCTTCCCACTCGAATCGACAGGCTCCGCCTCAACCCAACCGCCTGCGTCGCTCTCGGTGCTCCTGGTGCACATCTCCCCTTTTATTCGGCGGTCACGGATGGCCGCTTCGCCGAGCTCTCTGGTGATGTTGATATTCTTTCTGTAGACGGGAGCCACACTTTGCTTCAACTGGAAGGACTTCATACCACACCGTTGAGTCCATTGACATCAACAAATGATGTTCCCTTTTTCACAGAAGTGATCTGGGATGTTGATAGGCCGGGACAATTAAAGAAAGCTGAAGGCATGCACGACCGTTCCATGGCCATGGATCTCGAACGCGTCGCGCACTTTTACTTCAGAAAACTCCAAAATTCACTTCAGCACTCCGATCGTGCAAATGCTTCATGGAATCATACACACCTTCTCTCATATGTGGAACATTGTACGAAGTCTGTTGCCACTGGGAAACATAGATTCGCAAGGCAGGAATGGGCCAGTGACACCATGGCCGACATTGCTCCAATTCTGGATCGGTGAGAATACTTTGCCCTGTCCGACATTGAACCACACTGACTGATTTACGTAGCCATTCCGACAGTGTCGATATCAAAGCGCTGTGTGCAGTTGGCGAAAGCCTTGCTGCTGTCATTGCCGGGGATATGAATTTGCTTGAAATCCTCGTGCACGACAATATATTAGCGGAATTCTACGCCAAAACACTTGGAATAGACCCATATCTGGATGCTGTTGCTCAAGCCGCTCGGCAGATCAGCCACAGGTATCCCCATGTTAACGTTTTGGAGATCGGTCAGTCCACGCACATTTTCCAAACTGTGTTTCATACTAATGTATTATAGGAGCTGGCGCTGGTGCTACTTCAAATAGGGTAATTCGTTCAATGGGCCCTTCCTTTGCATCATACACCTACACCGATATTTTGGATTCGCAATTTGATGACGCACGCGAAAGATTCTCGGATTATCAATCCAGAATGGCTTTCAAGGTGTTGGACATCGAGAAGGATCTCGGGGAACAAGGCTATGAAGAGGGTTGTTTCGACCTTGTTATTGCTCCTCTAGCCCTGTACGCCACTAGAAAGCTTGAAGCAACCCTCACAAATGTACGTCGGTTGCTCAAGCCTGGTGGGTACCTGGTTATGCTCGAACTCACCGACCCTGATGTCATGCGCTTCGGGCTCATTCTTGGTGGCCTACCGGGCTGGTGGTTAGGCTACGAGGAAGGAAGAACATTATCACCATGTGTATCGGAGGAAAAATGGGAAGGACTGATGCAGAAGGCCGGATTTTCTGGGTTCGACACCCTGGTATCGTCTTCCAGAACATCGCCTCTGCCATTCTCTGTCATGGTTACCCAAGCTGTCGATCACCGTGTCAACTTCCTTCGTGATCCCCTGGCGGCGGGTCACATACCACTGGGTGTGGACTCGTTGACAATCATCGGAGGGAAAACAACCTTGACCGCGGATATGGTACCCGATATCAAAGCAGCTGTCCGTCCCCACTACAGCAATATCTACACAGCCAGTTCTTTAGATGACCTCGTCTCAGCAAGCTTGCCCGTGATGGGGTCAGTGATTAGTTTGATTGAATTGGACGCACCAGTTCTCAAACATATGTCTCCTGAGAATCTGAAGTCATTCCAGGAGCTCTTCAAGCAAAGCAAGAATGTTCTATGGCTGGGACACGGTGCCCAAGGAGAAAACCCCTATGGTAACATGTTTTCAGGAGTCCAACGCACCTTGGCCATGGAGATGACCCACCTCCATATCCACTTCCTTAACCTCCATTCGCTCCACGACGCTGATGCGAATATCATCGCAGCAAAGCTTCTCCATTTAGAAGCTGCCGAAATTTGGGATCAGAGTGGACAGCTCGATGGGATATTGTGGTCTAACGAGAGGGAGCTGCTCCTGGAGAGTGGACACTTCAAAGTTCCTCGATTCCGCCTCAATTCTAGTCGGAATGATCGATACAATTCGTCAAGGCGTCTCATCATTAAAGAGGTCGAACGCGTCGGGTCTGTGGTCACCATTCAGCCAACTGAAATTGGATATCAAATTGAAGAAAAGGACCCTCGATCGCCGCCCTCTTTCCCGGATGATGTGCATATAGATGTGACTCACTCTATGCTCCGTGCTGTGCGCATTACCGCATCTGACAATTGTTTCTTGGTGATTGGGAAGAATAGGTGGAATGATGAGCGTATGATCGCCCTGTCGCACACTCTGGACTCTCAAATTCATGTGCCGCGTGGCCTGGCGGTGCGATGTGGAGATTCCGAAGACTTAGCAATGCGATCGATGCTCACCCTCTATTTCCATTTCCTTACTCTCTCTATGCTGCAACAGCTTCGATCGGGAACGACATTGGCTGTGTTGGACCCTGATTTTTCGCTGTCACCCGTCCTTACGAAATACGCTAGTGAAAAGGGTGTCCAACTTGTGCTTTTGACAACAAAGGAAGGGCATTGCTCGTGGCCGTGGGTCAGAATTCACCGGAACTCCACCCGGCGTGAAGTATTAAGCAAGTTACCTGGCAATATTTCACGCCTTGTCAATATGAGTGGCAGCTTTGATGTGACTGGCCTCCTGAAGACATGCTTGCCGACAGACTGTCATTTCGCAAGCGAGACTACTCTGACTGCGGGATGCTCCCAATCTCAGTACGCCTGGGATAGAGGCCAATTGGCTATGCAACTGCAGAATTCCTGGTCGAGAGCACAATACGACCTGATGCCAGTCAATATGCACAAGCTTGCTCCTCTAGGCCTTGAGGACCTGATTCGCGCACATTCGCCGCTTCCAGAGCAGTCTTTAATTGCATGGGGTCAATCACAGCTTGCTGTCCAGGTTCGCCCTGCTACCAAACAAGTCAGATTCTCAAAAGACAAAACCTACTGGCTAGTTGGACTGACAGGCGGGCTCGGTTTGTCGCTTTGTCAGTGGATGATCGGACAGGGAGCACGCTACATCGCGCTATCAAGTCGAAATCCAAACATTGATAACCAATGGCTGCAGAGAATGGCTGCGAATGGCTGCACTGTGCGGGTCTTTTCCAAGTAAGCCCTTCTATTTTACATTGGTCGCACTCGCTAACAGATACAGTGACATAACGAATCGGGAATCCGTTCAAGCAACCCATCGCAATATCAGTGAAACCATGCCGCCCATCGCTGGTGTCGCACAAGGTGCCATGGTTCTCCAGGACACAATGTTCATTGATTTAGATCTCCCTCGCCTCGAGAAGGTTCTCCGTCCTAAGGTTGACGGTAGTATATTACTGGACGAGTTGTTCCCAGAGGATACGTTGGATTTCATGGTTTTCTTTTCATCTATGGCTGCGATGACGGGAAACCCCGGTCAGGTTGCGTACAATGCCGCGAATATGTTTATGGCGAGTCTTGCAGCCCAACGCCGAAACCGTGGCTTGGCAGCACATGCGATTAACATCGGCGCGATTGTCGGTAACGGCTACGTGACGCGAGAGCTGAACATGGGCCAACAATCTTATCTTTACCGAGTCGGCCATTCATGGATGTCTGAGCAAGACTTCCATGAGGTGTTTGCCGAGGGTGTACTGTCTTGCATGGAGCGGGTAGGAAGCGCTGAGTTGTGCTGTGGACTCAGAATTGACGATGACGAGTCAAAGAGTTGGGCTTCTAACCCAATGTTTCAACATCTGGTCTACAAGTCTAGTAATCTCGTGGTGACAGACAAGAAAGGGAAATCTGGCGTGTTGATAAAAACACGTTTGTTCGAGGCAATTTCGCATGAGGAAGTCATCGAGATCTTGCAAGGTACGGGCATCGGAAATTTTACATCCAGTTGAAACTAATTCTTTAGATGGCTTTTTGTTGAAGCTCCAGTCAGCACTTCAGGCTGATCCCAACAAGCCCATGTTGGACATGAGTCCAGATGAGCTTGGTGTTGATTCATTGGTCGCCGTTGACCTTCGATCGTGGTTCCTCAAGGAGTTGGGGGTCGACATGCCGGTACTGAAAATCTTTAACGCGGCGTCCATTCGTGAGCTCTTGGCCACTGCGGCTGAAGTTGTGCCAGAATCTTTGATTCCCAATTTGGTTTCCGGCGAACAGACTGTAAAGCCACCTGGTCATCTGCCCAATCCTCCGGTGACTGCAACAGATTATCCCACAGACTTGCCCGTGGATATAATAGTCCCAGAGACCAGAGCCAGTTCCGTGGAATTGAAGTTTGCACTTCCGGACGCGACAAATACGTACAGTGGCAGCTCGTCGACGTCTTTAATCACCGGAGACTCGAATTCCGACAATAATGACGATACTTCATCTTCCATTTTTACTGACGACAGCGAAATGGGATTCCCAAAACGTGAAATCCAGAGAACTGTGCCAATGTCCTACGGACAGTCGCGCTTCTGGTTCCTAGAGCATCTGGTCGAGGACAAGACAGCATTCAACATTACACCGACGTTTGAGTTGTCTGGTCACCTAAAGATTGCGGAATTTGTCAATGCTGTGCAAGCCGCGGGACAACATCACGAAGCCTTGCGTACTTTCTTCTTTACTGACAGTGAGCGGAAGCATATGCAAGGTGTCTGGACGACATCTTCGCTGCACCTGGAGCACGTTGCAATCTCGGACGAGACTGAAGTTGAAGAGGCCTCAAAGCAGATGGAGGCACATGTGTTCAATCTCTCTGATGGCGAGGTCATGCGCGCTCGGCTGCTTTCGCTTAACCCCGAAAGGCACTGGATAATCTTCGGCTTCCATCACATCAACATGGATGGTATTAGCTTCGAAGTATTTTGGTCAGACGTGGAAAAGGCATATCAGGGCCAAATCCTTTCCGAAGACGGACTTCAATATCCAGACTTTACTCTGCGGCAGCTTCGCGAATACGAAGAGGGCGCCTGGGCAGGGGATCTCGCCTACTGGCGGGCACAATATACAGAGATTCCACCTGCAATTCCCCTTCTTCCGTTTGCTCTACAACCCATACGTCCCAAGGTTGCTCAGTTCAGGTCTCATACTGCCCAGATTCGTCTCGATGTAAGGTTGACGGATTCAATTGACCGGTGTTGCCGGATGTTCAAATCAACCCCTTTCCACTTCCATTTGGCAGTCTGGAAGTCTCTTCTTCTACGGTTCTTCGATATGAAGGATGTCTGCATCGGCCTCGGAGATGGAAATCGTACGGATGCCGACATCCTGCGGAGCATGGGGACTTTTCTTGAACCTCCTTCCTGTGAGGTTTTCTCAACAGCCAGGCCAGTCATTTGGGGAATCTCTCAAAGAGGTCCGGAACGTCACGCAGGGTGCATTTTCCCACTCGCGTGTGCCGTTCGATCTGATCTTGACGGAACTCAATGTTCCGCGGTCCGCATCACACAATCCCCTTTGCCAAACCCTCTTCAACTATCGACCCAAGGTCGAACAATCCCGGAGCTTCTGTGGTTGTGTCGCCAATGGCGCACTCTTGGGTGGCGGCGAAACTTCTTTTGACCTCGGTCTAGATGTTGGCAACGTAGGTGCCGGCGAGACGCTAATTCACCTGTCTGTTCAGAAGAGCTTGTATGGCATGGATCATGCGGAAATTCTTCTCAGTTCCTATGTCAATATCCTCCGGTCTTTTCTTCAAAATCCAGCCACGCGGGTGACCTGGCCAGAGTTACATTCCAAAGATGACCTTCAGAAGGCAGTGGCTGCGGGCCGAGGCAAGTCAATTACCCCTTCCTCGTTGTAGGTCTTTTGCTAAATATACGTTATACAGGGCCCGAGCTCCGAAGCGAATGGTCCGCGACTATCGTCCACCGACTGGATGAGGTTGCGTTGCGCTATCCGGACCGTGTCGCATTGAAGAACCCCCATGGGAGCTCCTTGACTTATATTGAAGTCCAGCGTCGGATCGATGTTATCGCCAACGAACTTCTACGCAACGGGGTTGGTGCAAGCACCCGTATTGGGTATTCCAGTCCCCAAGTTCAGACTGGATATGTTCTCTCATGGCCATCTTGCGCGTCGGGTGTGCTTATATTCCATTGGACAAAAAGGTGGGGATGGACAGGCTCGCGATGATCATGAAAGAAACGCAAGCACCGATGGTATTAGTTGATACAAACTCCATGTCCGACTACGCGCTTTTGCACACCACGGCGAAACCCATCGACGTATGTAGCCTAAACGGCTCTACTGCACGTGCCGTTCGAAATATGGCTGTCCCAAGCCAGACAGCAGTAATCATGTATACCAGTGGATCAACTGGTGTCCCAAAGGGAATTATGATTGCCCATTCAGCATATGTTCATCACGTCCAGTCATCCAGCGTGGTCTGGAAACTTAAGCAGGGAAGCGAGACCATCCTGCATCAATCATCCTATGCGTGGGATGCGTCTTTGTGGCAGATCATGGTCTCTCTATGCTCTGGCGCGACCATTGTGATTGCATCTGATCTGACACGAGGCGATCCCGTTGCTCTCACAAGACTCATCGCATCGGAGAATGTGACATGCACCCTTGCGACGCCCACGGAATATCTCGCTTGGCTGCGTCATGGTCGCTCCCACCTGACTAACTCTCGCTTGTCAACCGCGGTATGCGGTGGTGAATTCATGTCAAGTGGCCTGATCAAGGAGTTCAGAAACTTTCATCGACCAGACCTCAGACTGATCAATGCTTATGGGCCGGCGGAGATCAGCGTTGCATGCTCGGGCAGCGAAGTTCCGTACAATCTGGATTCGACATCGACATCTCTTTATACTCTACCAAACTACTCCGTTTACATTGTAGACGCAAACTTGAACCCTGTTCCCATCGGAGTTCCTGGTGAAGTGGTCGTTGGTGGCGCAGGACTTGCCCAGGGCTATCTTGACGGCAGCAAAACAACTGAACGGTTTACAAATGATCGGTACGCGAGCAAATTTTTCCAGGAGAAGAACTGGACTACAATCCACCGCACTGGGGACCGCGGAAAGCTCAATCGCGATGGTGGGCTTATTCTCCTCGGGCGCATGGACGGGGATAACCAAATCAAACTGAGGGGAATGCGCATCAATATTGAAGAAATCGAGACGGCAATCGTTAATTCTTCAGCTGGGGCTATCACACAAGCTGTGGTATCTGTTCGTTCAGATGCGACTGATCAATTCCTTGTTGCCTTTGCTATAATGGCGAACGCCCACGAAAATGCCCTTCAATTTCTCGCCCGCCTTTCCCACGAACTGCCATTGCCGGCTCATATGAAACCCGCTGCTATCATTCCAGTCGAAAGCATTCCCCAAAACACGTCAGGCAAAACTGATCGCCTCGCAGTCAGCTCACTTCCTATCCCGTTGATTTCTTCCCAGCTGCCGGACGACAGGACTCTCACGGCATTTGAACAGTCCCTGCGCCACCTCTGGCAACAAGCACTGCCACAGGAACTTAGGAGCTTTCACTCCATCGATTCCCAATCTGACTTTTTCCACGTTGGTGGAAGCTCCCTCGCCCTTGTCAACCTGCAGGCTCTGATCAAGGAGAACTTTGGTGTGTCTACGGCATTATATCAACTTTTTGAGGCCAGCAGTCTACGTGGAATGGCGGCCAGGATTCAAGATATATCTGATCCGGCACTTGAACGTGCGGTAAATTGGGATACAGAAGTTGAAGTCGCCTCCAACCTCGCTTCATCCCCCAATTATCGTGGCACTCACATTATCGCCTCGGGGGTCAAGACAGTGGTCCTTACCGGGGCCACGGGTTTCCTTGGCAAAGAAATACTTCGAGGACTCTTAGAAGATGAAAAGGTCTCATCCGTCCATTGTCTTGCTGTCAGAAGACGGTCCTCGGGTTTACCTGAACTATTTTCCCATCCAAAAGTCCATTTGCGTTATGGTGATCTCGGGGCTCCTCGACTAGGACTATCTGAATCTGAGACAATATCGATATTCTCCTGTGCAGACATTGTGATTCACAATGGCGCAGACGTGTCGTTCATGAAAACATATCAGACTCTCAAACTGATCAATGTGGCGTCTACGAAGGAACTCGTCAAACTTGCCCTGCCCCGGCGTATTCCATTCCATTTCGTCTCGTCGGCCGGAGTTGCACGACTTGCTGCCCAAGAAAGCTTCGGGGAGGTGTCTGTATCACCATATCCTCCTCCATCTCGACCAACAGATGGGTACATCGCTGCAAAGTGGGTGAGCGAAGTCTATCTCGAGCACGTCAACCGCCAATTTGGTCTGCCCGTATGGATACACCGCCCATCGAGCATCACCGGTACCGATGCGCCTGAACTTGATCTCATGGGTAATGTCATGCGGTTCACCAAAGAAATTCAGAAAGTGCCAGATTCGAGCTTATGGTCGGGGGTTTTCGATCTCATTTCCGTCCAGTCTGCCGCAAGCCAATTGCTCGAAGCCGTTCACCAATCCGGTACCACCGAAGCTGGAGAGACTGTGACTTATCTTTATGAATCCGGCGAGATGAAGATTGGACGTGATGAGATTATGCCCTTGATGGAATCGGGCTCGGGCAAACAGTTTCAAATCGTTTCGCTTGACGAGTGGGTGGATGCTGCTGAACAAGCAGGAATGAGTGTGTTGCTGGGAGAGTACTTGCGCAGGGCCTCCGAGGGGCAGGTGCTCCTTCCCAGGTTGATTAAAAGTACTGGATTTCCTGAGGATGAATGAGGATGAATGAGGATGGATCAGGATGGATCAAGGTGAACGTGAATAGTTAGAAAGTTACAAAGCGAATCAATTACCATCGATGGTGCGCAACATCATTCCCGCCATATTCCCTAATGCGGGAATGGACAGGAAATATATCTCAACGAGCTCTTTGAGATTCTCGTCTAAATCATTGCTCGTTCTCATTCTCCGTAGGCATACGTTACTGGGGCTTTTTGGATTGCTGTTATCGAGATATTCGTAGATATTTGCCCAAGTCAAGGGCGTCTTCCTGGCTCTACAGTTTCACATCCTAAGATTCTCCAGCTATTCTCGCAGCAGAACAGGTACTCCCATGACCCGGATCAAGTAATTCTGAACGCTTAAATTTCCAGACGGAGCGTTATCATTCTCTACGTAGCAAAGTCACACACATGGGTGACCAGGAGCCATAAAGGTCACCCCCTAAAATGAGGTCTTTCATCCCATCTACTTTTTTCTTTTTTCCTTTTTTCCTTTTTTTCTTTTTTTTCTTTTCTTTCCTGGATGTCAATATCAATACCTGGCTATGCGGTACACTTGAATGATATTTTGATTCAAGCCACCAAGCCAAGGGCTTGGTATCCCAAGGTTGATTGTTGCCCAATCCTTTAGAATTAGACGAACTTATTTTATCTTATAATGTCAATGAGCAGGTCAGATTTACAGGGAGATATAGGGAAGAAATCATATTGCCTTCCTGAAAATCCAGAGTCAATCTCTTTCCTTTACACCAGCCTATGTGATACCTTGCAATGACAACATATAGAATCACATTACCCTAATCCATCCGTCGGCAATAAGTGAGTGCAGCCTGGATTGAACCACACTCCTGCGATACAACATAAGGCACACTGCACATTATATGCAGAGGAAGGCGTAATTTCCAACTTCATCGGCGCTACTAGTATCTTGGATTTGTACGGTGTTACCATTCATAGCGTTGGAATAACCCCTTCAGATTAACTGCAAATCAGCTAGAATTCTCAGGACATAATAAACTCTACTTTGTCATTGGGGCCCTAAGAGTGATTATTCCAATGGATATGTTTAGAAAAGACTGGTTGCGACTTTGACTATAATCGCCAATTTTAAACCCGCCATTGCATGCCCAGGAAACGCACTGTTTCCGTTAATTTATTTATTTTTATTTTTATTTTTCGTTCTGGTCTTTTTCTAGTTTTTTTTTCTAGTGTTTTATTATGATTATTATTCTTTTCGTTGTACGGTGAGGCTCGTTGGATTTTATATAAACGAGCCTCCTCAATTCACACGTACAATTCCACCAGCTTTCATTCTACAACAAGATGGCATCTCAGGATAAATTACCCTTGGATCAGACCGGCATTATTCAGCATGAAGGTGGTATTCTTCAAATCACTCATGGTCTGCCCATCCCAGAACTTGGCCCCCACCAAATGTTGGTGAAGACTGCTGCTGTGGCCCTCAATCCATGTGATTATAAAATGCCACTGAGGTTCCCGACCCCAGGTCTCTGGGATGGGTGTGACTTTTCAGGCACAGTGGTTGCTCTAGGAAGTGAGGTTGCTGCGCAGGGACGATTCCATCTTGGAGATCAGGCTTTTGGTGCCGTTCAAGGCTCAAATATGTCAGATCCGATGTCTGGATCATATTGCGAGTACATTAGAACCGAACCAGGTCTTACTTTCCATGTTCCTAAAGGAATGGACCTTGTCGCTGCACCCTCCCTTTCGGGGACCGCAATTGCCACTCTCGGGGTTGCTCTTTTTTGGTCACTTCAGTTGCCCGGAACATTTCATACCCCAGCATCCAAATCCGAGGATGTCCTGGTATACGGCGGAAGTAGCACCATAGGTCTACTTGCAATCCAGATGGTGAAGCTGTAAGTAGTCCAGTTCCCTCCTGTGGTTTTTTATTCTCAACTAATTCATATTGCTTAGCTGCGGCCACCGGGTAATCACCACATGCTCCCCCCACAACCGCGACTTGGTGACTTCATACGGGGCAGATCTTGTCTTCGATTACCACTCTCCAACCTGTGCTGAAGATATCCGAGCAGCCACAAAGAACACCCTGCGCTATGCCCTTGATCCTTTTGCGGAAGCCAAGACTCTACGGCTGTGCCATGCAGCCATTGGTCGCACTGGAGGAAGATACTGTGCACTTGAGCAGTATCAAGAAAGTCTTTGCTCGCGCAAGACAATCAAGCATGAACTAGTCATGGGAGGTGCCATCTCCGGACGAGGTGTGGAGCTCCCTGACCCATACGGTATTCCACCGCGACCCGAGATTGGAGTCTGGGCTCGGTCGTGGTACCTAGAACTCCAACAATTGATAGACCATGGGAAGCTTAAACCCTGTCCAACTCAAATCATTCCAGGCAAATTTGCAGGGATCTTGGAGGGGTTAGACATGCTGCGAAATGGAAGGGTTTCGGGAAAGAAGCTCGTCGTCCCTATGACCACGAAGTGAAAGCTTGTGTTGAGTTGGCTTGGAGCATGGCCCAATACCCAAGTATGTAAGAGAATGTACCTTTCCATGGACCGTTGGAACTGCATGTCGCGTCATAGTCTAGGAAATGATTGACATATCAGGCATCTATATCTTTGTATGGTTACTGCTTGGTGTGGTGGGCTTTGGACGGAGAGAACTCGCTATTAGCGACTAACTCAAGTAGAAAATGGTCATCCTATTCGAACCAAAACTAGATGCTAACTTAATAATGAGATGTCGTTAAGAATGCCGTTTGTAGTGGAGATATGCGTATTTAAAGATTCGATTTGCGTTGAACCAAACTATCCACATAGACAGGAGGTGAACTAATTTGACTAATTTGGACCATCATAAACCATCTTAGCAATCACCTTCTTCTCATCCTTGGTCGTGTTAATGTTCCGTGTCATACATTTCTTTCCCTCGAGCTCTTCAAATCCCCAAATCACTTCCGCGTCCCATCCCTTTGAAGCATTGTGGGCCAATTCTTGAATGACCTTGTCGCTCAAGCTAGCCGCCTCCAGGGTTTGACGAATGGAATCTTCCAGTATATCAGATCTGTCAATAAATTGGAGTTGCATCTGAACATCTCCGAAGATAGGCAGCGAAACGTCTTGCGGAGTTCCGTCGACCGAGTAACTTCCTTTGCTGTCAAAGCCCCCTGGGTGGACAGTTTGTGTCATATGAAGAGTTGTGACTAGTTTCAAATTGTCGGCCAAATCAGAACTTTTGGAGCTTGCATCTATGCATGTGCTTTCCTTGGATAGTGAAGTGGTCTGGTGGATCTGCAATGAAAGCCGGGCGTGTCGCAAGACCTTTCGGACAACCCAAGGTACGCCTTGCTAATTTCTTTTTCTTAGCAAAGAAAGGCCAGCACATCAATTTACTATTGCTCTTACCAAGACGAAAAGTTCATCTGGATCGGTTGAAAGCTTTCGGTTCTAATCATCATGTTAGCCCATGCGCTAGGCAAGTCAGGAACTGAACGTACCAATACCCAGATTCCAGTAAGATCAGGAACATCTTTGAAACCAGGTACAGCCATCCTCGGGGATTTAAATTTGGCAAATCAGTTGAGAAGATGTGTTTCCTTCTTCCTTTGGGAATGTATCGCTCCGTGATAATGCGACGAATGGTCCCTTTTAAGGGTGTAGTTGAATAATCACTCCATCCAGCAGGGTTCGATATGAGTTCTAAACCCAGATCGGACTCGGACTCGGTGTCCGAATATGCAAGGAATGTCGCAGCTATTCATTCGACTGCGGTGACCCGTGAATGCCATGACCTTGTATTAGAACCCAGCGCGGCGTGATTCCCATCTGAAATCAATAGGTCTTGTTTCGCAGGAGGGTAACCCTACATCAGCCTTTGCTTACCTGGTTTGGTGATTTTCTCTTTTTCTTGCTTATTACTTCACGATTTTTGATTAAATCACGCCAGGTCCTAAAAGCAAACAGGAACAAGTAAAACTTTTTTAAATATCGAAGATCATAAAAGAGCATATTAAACAACCACTGGGTCTTTAACAAGTTGCCGCAAACACTCCATTATTTCCATCAAAGACATTTCACAAGGATCCTGTTCTTGTGCCAGGACAGTGTCGCGGATTGAGCTTGACCAATCTTTCTGCACTGTATCAGATGAATCGAACTCCCGATCCTCTTGCGGTTGGGGTGGGCCTGACCGCAATTTAAGGGCTCGGTCAAGCTTTCCCATCATTGCAGAGCTGAAATCGACCAATGATTGCACTTGGGTAATGAGATTTCCATCCAAATAAAACTGCCCGAACCGCACCTTCGGTAATAGCAGAATCATAGCTGCATCAGTGGGAGAAATGATGAGAAACAGCTGGTACAACCGCATGAAGACAGCACGATATATTCGAACAAGTGAGCAATGTGCCTCCAATATCCCAAGCCACAGTGCTATATCACATTTCGGGATTGTGGGAGCTGTCGTTCGATCCGGAGATGTCGTTGCGGTATGGTATCCAGAATCATGCGGGGATACTGTGGTAGCATCTTCATCCAAGCCATTGCCAGCGTCTGGGAGGATAAACAAAGGGTCGTCGTATCTGCTGCTCTCCAATTTAAATCGTTGTGTAGATGTAACATCCAAGCTCTCTTCCGTACCACACGACGATCGAACAATTGTCAAAAGCCAAGAGGAGTGATTAATGAGACGATATATTGGAAGGTCGAGTGTTTCAATTGACAAATTAGAACTTTCATAGAAAATGGATGAGGATTCCAGGAGCATCGATCCTGTCTCAAATAGCTCCAAATCCTCTACAAGTCCCATCTTCAACCTTAGCAGACTCTTGCGAATGTCGTTCGTAGAGGACAGAGCCTCTTGGCTTGTTGTCGCCGGGGGAGGCTTGTTTATAGTTGCAAGATCTGGGTGATTCATCCACGCAGGATCTGGACGGTCCTTTATTGCAAAGGTCAATTCATTCTCGCCAAGGTTGAAGCACTTATTTTGAAAAGGCTCGGAAATTGCCATTTCAGTGGCTTGCCTGGCGCTTGGTGCAGCCCCACCGGTAAAAGTAAAGGGAAAGCAAGAATTTGCCTCGCAAGGATATACTTGATTTGACGGCACCCAAGCAGGAGGCTATAGCGGTTGATAGTCAGTAGATGAAGGTTGTGTATCTTTAGTTCCAACTTACTAGGTTATAGGCATCGGTGGACCAATTCGAATGAGGATTACACCATTGCTCAGCAGGAGGTATGATATTTCCAAAATCCAGGGGCATATTAAACCCAATGTCCACTGAGGGCGAATATAAGCTGCCTCCGGGAAAAGCTGGCATTGACCCAACTCCTCCCCAGTAGTGTTCTTGCATATTGTGTCTCCCCGAGATTGGAGGAGGATGCAACTTCTTCACTCTGGGAGCGGATGATTTGTGAAGGACAGACATTGATTCATGCTGTTGATTGAATCTTTCGCTCTGGCGGTCTTCTCGTCCAAGTAGATTCTGACCATGGTTTGAGGGTAATATGACCGGTGCAGGCTGGTTCATACTGGTAATACATATTTCTTGGGCTTTAAGGCATCTCTCACAAGACATGCCATGCAAATGATCGCGCTCACACCGTAACTTTTGCCCGCGGCAACGATCACAAGCAGACCGTCGAGAGTGCCGATAATTGTGGGTTGTATGCATTGTGAGTAACAAAGAAAGAAAGAAAGAAAGAAGTAGAAACACGAAACAGGATTCCCTATAGCGGCCGACAATTGCAGAGATAGACCATCGATAGGAAGCTACCAAGGGCAAATATGTACTTCGTTCTCGCTCTACTGAAATTCGATGCAATATAGGAATCAATTCCTTTGAACCATTCCCCATCACCTCATCGAAACAGACTTCAGACTCGAAGAAAGATAGTTCTATTCAAAATTAAAGCTCGTGGGTTGGTATCACCGCGCCTGTATAACTCTCCCTTGGAACATGATCCAAAACATTCTTGAACACCCTCCATGGTGATTCGTTGGACACTCCCAATCTTTCCATGTCCAATTCTCAGGTGTGACAAGTTCCCAGGTCATAACAACCTAGCCCTTTCACAGCATGTGTATAGACACGCGAACATGCAGACAGAAGTTTAAGGGTATTTTCATCGCATCCATGAACTGAAGGCTGAGCCCCAGAGTCCTGGTACGAGGTGCATCAATATTCATGGAAGATGTTACACCATGCTCAAATGAGACCAATGTATGAGCGAGCAGATCTGCTGTGATACGATAAAGGTGAATATTGTCTCACATCGCGCTGCATCTGAAACTTGAACTCCTTTTTATGGAGGGCTAAGAGATTGAGACAGCTTCAACAGCCTTGGGCCCGAGTCGAAGAGATCAGATGAAATGTTGATAACCTGCTTCTGCGATTAAATAGAAAATATTACGGACCTAGTTTCAAACAGGCCATCTCACCTACGGCGCCTAAAGTCAGCCGGTTGATCAGAGATATTACCATATACTGCCTCCGTTGTAGGTATTGGAGGCGGACTTGACGCCACTGGGCCAAATGCCTGACCTATACATCAACAATTAGACATAGACTACCTTAATACGGGGTAGATAACTCAGGTTTGAAAGCAGTTCACGTTGGGCCCAGGCCACATCGAAGTTCGGAGAATTAAAATCATCCTAGGAGCTGAGAATTTTCCGGCTTGACAGTTTGGGACCGATGTTTTCTTTTCTTTTTTTGCCCTGGATGTCATATTTTTACCTCTCCATCCTGAAATACACTGATTACGGAGTATTCTAGTACCAACTGTCGAGGGGCGGAGAATGCAAAGTAAGGGGTTGAAAGCCCAACTAAGCCCCTGGCCAGAGAGCGGCCGGGTTGCCAACACTGGAAACGTCAATCGATTATAGCAGGCAAAAGATATATCAAGTATAATTCAAGGACATGTCCACTTTCCTTTTTGGATTCCTGTCGTGTAGATCCCCCGTGCGCTTGACCTTCAGGTGAAGATGCCCATGATATGTATTATTTACATTGAGACCGCGAGCCGCTTATATCCCGGGTTTGCGCCTAATATCCGCCAAACCAGCCCCAGATGAGAAAAGTCCATTGCAATGTTTTGGGAATTTGGCGTAACATCTGTTGTAATCAGCACTGCTAGCAGAGTTACTTCTTCGTGGAGCTCGCTTAGAATCACAAGCATTCATTCACCAATAGAGGACAAAGTCAAAAGAGCCTTTATGAGGAGGCTGCACTCTGCCGAGGGTGTCCATTGCAGTCCTTGATCACAACGCGAACTCCCTGACTCCCTTTTCGCGGGTGACCATTGAACATGTCTCGCACAATTCGAACGTCATCTACTGTAGTCTCGTATAGTTCCATCTCAAATTCCCGGAAAATGGTGGCGATGGCTAAAAGAATCTCCGCCCGCGCGAGGCTGGTCAACAGATGTTAGTAAACATGTGCACTAGAATGAAACAATCGAAGAATAATCACATACGGAATTCCGATACACTGTCTTGATCCCTTACTAAAAGCAACCAGGTACTTCTCGAGCTTTTTTCTCTGCTCAGGGTTCAACCATCGCTCCGGGATGAAGCTTTGCGAGTTTGGGAAAATATCTTCGTTGTGGTGCATAAACATGCTGGTCATCCCCACAGGCGTCTGATCTATTTTGTCAAATGAAGGCCTAGGCAATCACAAAAAGGGGGATGCAGATATCGTACCCCAGGAGGAATGATCCAGTCCTTGTATGACATGACTTGATCTGGAGAGCTTCGTTGAAGCCGTGTTGCCACAGCGTTGGTGATTCTTCATGAGGGTCTAGTAAGCAAATGGTAAAGTCGTGCGGGGGGAGGAAACACAAAGGCTTTACATACCTTAGGCCCTCCAGCATCACAGATGTCTACCATATTGTCAGATGTCTTGGTTAGATCGGGTTGCGAATGGTCAACTCACAAGGTACGGCATGGCTTCGTATTCTACCAAACTTGCGGTTCCATCGGGGTCGAGTCGGTTGAGCTCGTCCCGTAGTCTTTGTAGCTTTTCTGGGTTGTTCAGTAGATGGAAGGTGAGCGTCGTCAAATTCTTCGCGGTTGTTTCTCCTCCGGCCGAGATGACGGTGAAAACCTCTTGACTCAAGCGACCAGGGGCCTTCTCCTCCGGGGGAAGCTTGCTGTCTAGCAGCGCATGAAACAATGTACCTTTCGGCACACTAACCTGATCATCTGCCGGGTTCACACCGGCGGTTTGGCTATCGATGACCGTTTTCGCCAGTCGCAAACTTTCCAGTTTTTGGTCAATTACCGGGCCGATGTGAGGGTTGATACTCACAACTAGCCACCGTGGAAGCAGTTCGAACAAGCTCAAGACCCAGCGAAACTGTTTAAATTGAACGCCGACTTGCACAATTGCTTCGATTGTCTTTGACCACTGCGGTGTAAAATCAGGGTCATCCAGATAATGGAATGATTCGCCCATAGAATACTCCGCAATCACGTCTGTCGTGTAGGCATTAAACGCATGATAAACATGCAGCGGTGTTTGTCTCTCCTTCCAGTCTCGCATTCCTTTGCACAGCTTATCGATCATTTTCCGAAGCATGGGCTCCAACTGTCGAATTCGCTGCTGGGAGAAGAATGGGTTCATAGGTTGTCGACGTATCCGATGGCGGCGGTGATCGACTGAGCCGAAAGCCGAGGCCGGTGCTCCAAACATACCAGTCAAATGTAAGGATTTATTCCTTGGTTTGTCACGAGAGTATAAGATTTCGTAGTACTCTGGGTCGTCGATGTGCAGTTCAAAGGGACTAATTCTCACAATCGGGCCGTATTTGCGATGCATCTCAGCAATTCGGAAGGTGTACTGCCCTTCTAGGAATGAATCGTAATAGAACTCATACCACATTGTTAGAGCAGCTAGTTTTGGCCCGGGGAAATGGGCGAGTGGTGAAAACCATAACCGATATGTTGCCAACCACACCCCATAGGTCACTCCGATCACCCCAAGTGCCACTATGGGCTGTGCGATAATGACATTCCACCAATCCATGGTCCCTGGATTCAAAGAGAGAGGAGAAACACGTCGACAAGGAAAGACGCAAATGCTAATTTTCCAGTGCTCCGTCCCTTTTTATTTTGGATTGTTGCCCCACACCTGTCAAGAAGGACACTATCCCACTAGGCTGAAAAATGGATACCGGACGATGATTGGAATCCATACTGTCGGTAACCTCGAGCGTCGTATGGAGTCCATTTGTGGATGGGAAAAGGAGCAAAGCAAGAACATCTCCGGGCGTGTCATATCTTCTGCAACCTATGACAGCACATCCGTGCCAATAGAAATGCCGGATCATATGGACGGTTGGTCATGTTGTCTGAATAATGTGCCTAGAGCTTAGGATCATCAATTTCACTCCTTCTAAGAGGTTCGGATTAATCACTTTCAATCCCCGTGCAAGGGCACGGGGCCTCGGTGGAACCTTTGTGGACAAAGCGTTGAAACTGAAAAATCACGAGAATAATAACCATAGTGGCATATACTCCGTAGTTCAAGATTGATTTTCGCTTCTCTTTCCCAGTTGGTACTTGACTTCATTTCTTTTGCCTGAGGTAGACATGTAGAGGGTACCTAGGTAGACAGAAGTTAAGGGGTTCCCATTTGGGAATAGCCGAGGTGTCGGGGAAAAAAGGGCCCCCATAGACAACGCCATTGTTCAAAAGTCCCTGAGACATCTTTAGTTTAGAAAGTGTCGAGATCATTACTCCGTACGCCTAGACGTAAAGGTTAAAACACGGCACAACAGGTGACCCCAGAACAAATTCAACAAGTATTTCTAATGCATGGCCGTAAAATAGGGGAGTTTCACACAAATCCCCCTTAGGTAGCCATTTATATTGTCTTATCACATATGCATGAAACAGCAGGTTTGCTTCCAGTCAACTCGTATTTCCAAGGTCGATCTTTTGAATTTGGTAAGCGTCAGTCATGCCGGGTAGGGGGCGAGGCGCTGAAATGGAGGGAATGAAATCTGAGCCCCCACACTTCCATACTTGCCGAACATTAGGGGCCTTTTCCCCGGGATTCTCTGATTTCCTCTCCAAGGTAAAAATATAGAAATTCCTTGTGACTAAATTAGAGATGCACTAAATGCATACTCGGGTATTAGGAATTAAAATGAGATGCATAGTCGCCGAGGTCCGAATGCGGGGAAACAGCCCAATATATATCTATACATCTAGACTTAGTATGCATGTATATATGAGTTATTGCTAACATCAAAATGAATTTCGACTTGCCAGCAGATCTCAAGGCTCATTTAGAGTCTATAGATTCATTTATCCACTCAACTATTCTCCCACTGCAGCATTTCGATGACAATAACCGCTTCTTCGATCACCGTCGTGAGTATGCACGAACCGACTGGGAAAACAATGGGAATCCACGAAAGGAATGGGAAGAGCTATTAGGTCAGTTGAACGACAATCAATGACGAGCGGAACTGATACTCGGTAGGTAAGGCGCGCACCCTGGCTGATTCCTCGGGTCTTTACCGATTCGCCCCTCCCCGAGTCTATGGGGGCCAGTCACATCCGGACGTGAACTTATGGATGTCCGCCATTCGCTATCACTTGTCCTCGAATGCTGTGTACGGTGGTGGTTTGGGGCTGGCGAATGATTTACAAAATGAGCATTGTATCGTTGGGAACTTCCCGGATGTTTTGATGCTCCATCATTTTGGCAATGAACGACAAAGAAATACCTTGATCCCTGCACGTCTGCGAGGGGAGTTCCGGACAACATTCGGTCTTACTGAACCCGACCACGGGAGTGATGCAACATTCATGTCTACTACCGCTCGTCAAACTCGGGGAGGGTTTGAAATCACGGGGGCAAAGAAGTGGCAGACAGGGGCGCATCACTGTACCCACTTTCTCATCTTTGCGCGTACTTCTGGCAAAGCAGGATCAGCACAAGGCATTACTGCATTCTTAGTTCCGCGTGACACAAGAGGGGTTCACATCGTCAGTTACGAGTGGACGCTGAACATGCCGACCGACCACGCAACGGTAGAACTGAATAGTGTATGGGTGCCTGAATCGGCGGTTTTGGGATCGGTCGACCAGGGGCTAGCCATCGCCCAAACATTCGTGCACGAGAATAGAATCCGTCAAGCAGCCAGCTCCTGCGGGGCTGCACGATACTGCCTGGACCGAAGCATCGAGCGCGCACGGGCGCGGAAGATATGGGGAGAGGGGAAATCACTGGCTGATAATCAGGCTATTCAATTCCCAGTGGTTGAGTTGATGACACAGGTGGAGATGTTGCGACTGTTCATATTGAAGACAAGCTGGGAGATGGATCGTGTCGTGGCGGAGTGTCAGTCGTCCAAGGCCCAGCGCGCGCCGTGGGTTGAAATTGAGAGCCGTCTATCCGACCAGGTGGCCATGTGTAACTTCTGGGCAAATCGATTATGCTGTCAAGCTGCCGACCGAGCGATTCAGGTAATGTCCACACCGGCTGATTGTTGCGACATGGCTGACCGGTCAGATTCACGGGGGTGATGGATACTCTCGCCACTACCCCTTTGAACACATATATCGTCATTTCCGTCGCTATCGAATCACGGAAGGCGCAGAGGAGATTCAGATGCGCAAGATTGGGGCATACATATTTGGATTTGCTGGCCCGAAGAAGAAGGAGATGAAACATGAGCATTCTAAGGCCCGAATCTGATCTGACCCCCTGAAGCAAGGGTACTTCAGGTTGGGACCAGGCCATTCTAGAAGTACGAATCTGCATGGATACATATATCTCAGTGAGGTGAAGTACATCGCACTGTATGAAACATGGCCATTTCACAAATTTCCATTATTTTGCTTACAATAATAGCACATCAATTGATCGATGGAGTTGACATCGTCAACTTGTGAGTTGGAATTTTCAATGTCATATATGGCCTGGTATTTCAGGCATCTAAATCGCGTGACTTCTTTGGCCTTGTTGCCTGATTTCTGAGGATGCAAACTTTAAACCTTCCGAGGTTCTCCCGAGATGCAAGTTTATTGTCTTAATATGGAAGTCGTGGCCTTCAACATACTCCGTAAATATACCAGGATGCAAAACACATATGTAGGTATAGTATACATGCAAGATTGGGTGTATATGTGTGTATATATTCTTAGGAGTGGGAGTTGTTTTATTAAGTAACTTGGAGATACCCCAGCGTACTTTCCATGTGATTCTTGTCCACATATCCAACATATGATGAATATAGCTACATGTACCTACAACATTAGGTACCTGCATAGATGTAAATACATGTATGTTGTAGGGATGAACTTGATAGACAGCAAACTCTCCCCGTCCTTCCCTCCAGGGCTTCCGAGTGGTCTTACCTAAACCATTTAAGACTTTTTTTTACTCCACATGTCTGCTCGGAACCCCACCGAGTCCAAGCCTTCGCAGAAAATTCTCTTTACTCCCTTTGATATCAACATTTGAATGCTGTAACCTCAGCTCGTCTTATTTAAATTCAATTGGAGCCGTGGTGGCCCTGCCATTTCCGAAATGGTCTCTCCCGATGCCTCCGTCCACGATGATACCAAGACCTCTGCAAATGCAGTCTCTGCAGAGTCGGATAATGTCTTTCAAGATACAAAGGAGCCTGATGCCGAGCAGAATCATGCCGATACCTCCAACAATAAGGAACTGAAGCGCAAGCTGAAAAGCAGGCATCTGCAGATGATTGCGATTGGTAAGATTTTGGCTTTCTTGATCGAATTTAGTACCGGAGATTCTAACACAATTCTTTCGCAGGTGGAACTATCGGCACAGGTATATACTCTTGCCCTCAATTCTCCGGCTTGACGAAACCCGGAATCTAACATCTCTAGGACTCTTCATTTCCAGTGGCACTGCCATCGCCGAATCCGGTCCAGCTGGCGCCCTGATCGCCTATATCTTCGTCGGCTCCATTGTCTATTCGGTCATGAGCTCCTTGGGCGAAGTTGCAACCTACATCCCAATCCCCGGTGCCTTCACCTCATATGCAGCCCGGCTGATTGACCCAAGCCTCGGATTTTCCATGGGTTGGATCTATTGGTTCAACTGGGCCTCCACGTTTGCTGTCGAATTAACCGCCACCGGTACCATCATCCAATATTGGGATTCTAGCCTAAACATTGCCATTTTCATCGGAGTATTTTGGGTGTTAATCACGGCTATGAATTTTCTCCCGGTCAATTTCTACGGTGAAGTCGAGTTTTGGTTCTCAACTATCAAAGTGGCCACTGTCATTGGCTTCATCATTTTCGCCATTTGCATCGATGTCGGGGTGGGGCAGCAGGGATACCTGGGTTTCCGCTACTGGAGCACGCCGGGGGCTTTTGCCTCATACAGTCCCGACTTACCAGTGTCTGTAGGCAAGTTCGTCGGCTTCTGGGCGGTGCTAATCCAAGCCGGATTTTCCTATCAAGGGACCGAGCTTGTCGGTGTGGCGGCTGGAGAAACCGAAAACCCACAAAAGACAGTTCCATCGGCTATCCGCAAGACATTTGTTCGAATTCTTCTCTTCTTTGTCTTGACGATTTTCTTTATTGGGCTGGTGGTCCCCTATACCAACAACCGCCTCACCACTGCGGAGACCAACGCATCGTCCTCGCCTATGGTTATCGCCGCCGATTTGGCCGGAGTTAAGGTCCTTCCAAGCTTGATCAATGCTGTGCTCTTGTCCGTGGTCTTATCAGCTGCAAACTCCAATGTGTATAGCGGCAGTCGAGTCCTGACTGGATTGGCACATGAAGGATTTGCCCCGGCCTGTTTCGGTTGGGTGACCAAGCACGGTGTTCCGTATGTCAGTGTCACATTCACCGCTCTGTTTGGTTTGTTGGGTTTCATGAACGTTTCCAATGACGCTGGACAAGTCTTTACTTGGCTCGTGAACCTTTCTAGTGTTGCGGGCTTTGTGACCTGGGCCTCGATCAATGCGTGCCATATCGCGTTCATGCGTGTATTGGCAAACCGCGGGATTTCTCGTGATACCCTTCCATACAAGGCCATCTTGCAACCATATCTCGCTTGGTACGGCCTCTTCTTCAACATCCTCATCGCCCTCACCCAGGGTTTCACTTCTTTCATCCCTTCATTTCCGAGTGACCGACTTCTTCGTTGCCTACATCTGCCCCATCGTTTTCGTAGTGCTCTACGTCGGGCACAAGGTGATTTTCCGTCCGTCATTTATCCGTGCCGCCGATGCCGATATTGACACTGGTCGCTTGCACTACGAAAAGGAAGTCGATGCCCCCAAGCCATGGTACTCGAGGGTCTGGGGCTGGGTCGCCAAGTAATACGGCACAGTTATCAATGCTCGATAACTTGTATATGTGATTCGTTTAGCGCGGGGTGCCTGCGCACCTGGACATGGTTGCTGCCATCCATGGATATTTACAGTACCCTTATGTAACATCATGTTTTTTTATATATATCAAGCCATTCTCGAAATCATGCATTTGTTATCCTTTTATGCTCTTTTGGATGATCATTTAAGACAGGTGTCCTCAGGTATCATGGAACATCCCTTAATCACAACATCATCGGCTCACAGGGCATGGTTGTATGTTGCCACAGTTTTTTATATCCACTTTAAATACCGGGCCACAACAGAGAAGCCACCAATCAATGCAGTTGCGCCGGTGCAAACGACTAGTGTCCCGTATCCAGTTCCATATGCACCCAACGCATGGCCTCGCCAGTTGTCTGCCTTGAGCAGAGCCTCACTTAGGGGTCCACTTGCCACATTTCCTATTCCGCGCCCTGTTTCCATGAATGGGAAAATGACAGTGGCATCTGCCAATGGATTGGCCTTCTGGACCTCGTGGGAGACCCCTGCCCATGTGGAGGAGAACCCACCGGCGAGCAGACCATAGGCGATACAAAAGACATATAAAGGGGGGATAGTGGCAGCGAACCCCCAAATGAAAAAGACCGAGATGACGGTACCGACAGTCGACATCAAGATGCAGGTAGTGATGTGATATCGGTCGGAAAGGAATCCCATGATGACAGATCCAAACACTGTGAACAAATTGACGAGGATTACTGTGAGAGACGCCATGTAGTCGCTCGCGCCTAGGCTGCGCGCGTATGTCGGAAGGTAGATGGTCGGCAGGAAGAATCCGATTGCTTCCAGAGTGTTGCCAAGCTGGTAAATTATGAAGACTTTGTTGTACAAGAAACGAAAATTCAGACGGTGATACGCGATTTCTGTCGTATGCAGCCTCGGTCGATGAAAGTAGAGAAAAGGCACAGCAAGGATGAACAATGCCACTGATGATATTTGAAGCGTGGCTTCAATCCCATACTGGTTCAAAAGCCACTGGATGGCAAGTGGGAAGATTATCCCGGACAGCCCAGATCCGCCCTAAGGATAATTATCAGTTCGGCTTGCCATAATGAGTTTGTGGTGCTTTATAACTCACCCAGACAATACCAAAGGCAAGGCCTTTTCGTTTATCGAACCACTCCGACATGAATAGGATCGTGGGAGTGTAGGCAAAACATCCGCCAATTCCAAAGCCAATTCCTTGCGACAAAATAAGATGCATGACGTTGGTGGAAAAGGAACTCAGTGCCAAAGACAAACACATGATAACAACGCCTATGGTGGACACCCAGCGAGCAATTTTAGGCACTAAGATCATCAAAACAATTGCCAACGGGGCAATCAAGTATGCGAGACCCTTTATGTTGTGTTAGCAAGAGCAGGGCGACCTTGGATTTCTTGACTAACCATCGCACAAGTACCAATAACTGCAATATTTTCGGATCCTTCAAAGGGTTTGTGTGTACTATAATAGTCTTGAAATATACCGAAGGCGAAGGCATAACCTGCTCGCATGTTAGGTTCAACAACAATCTATCTTTGACTAAAGAACAAATGAGCACGTACCCCAAACTAGAGCTTCGAGCATTGCAGAAGCCATAAGGAACAACCATGCTTGGACTCCTCCATCGACTGGCGGCAACTTCTCATCGTCTAGAATGATTCTGCTGTCGGACTCTTGGTCGAAGGGTATGAAGGATGTACTGCGGCTGGTGAAACTGGGAGGATACTCCTTAGGCTCCATGGTGCGAAATACCTCACGACTGTGACCACAGGTGTGAGGACTATATGGAAGTACAACGGGTTTGCGTGCGGAAGCCACGGGGAGATCCTCCTTTGAAAAGGGTTTATGTTCAATGCGGTCGTTTGAAAAAGAAAGCCAGGATTGGCCTGGGAAAAGGAAATAAGCTAATGAAAGCTAGGCGCATGACAAAAAAAATATCCTTGACAAGGCAAGGATCCATCCAATCGGCGTGCCAGGAAGGTAGGGCAAAGGCACATACCTGGAATCCAGGTAGCCCGGGGTCCCAGCAATGTGATGTTGAACCCCTAGATGTCTGATATGGTCAGTTTCATAAGTCACGCCCAAACAGACCGTACGGCTGTGATTCCTCAGTTTCCTAGGCCTTCACTTGATGCTAGACATACCCTCAACCAGGTGTTTCTTCCTGTCCTTCTTCACTGGCTGTCGACATATTAGGAAGAGCGTTGCGATTTGCTGCAACTCGAGGTCGCCGATCAGGTGTGGGATCTGCCCCGGAAATAATCCGAGAGACATGACAATAGCCTCTAGGCTTGACTCGCTGTGTGGGCGCACGAACCGCCCCGCTCTGCAGATAAAACGGGAAATGGAATGTTGATCGGGAACACTGCATAGCAGAGCTGGTGGGCTCGGAGAATTCCATGTCGATAACAGGTATCCGACTCGCCGTCATTGGCAGAGATAAGAACCACAGGAGACTCAGCTTTCCCCTAATGGATGAAGCTTCGTGGCTGGGTAGATCCAATCAGGATAGATGCTCACACCTATAGACTGTGTCATGTATGGACGCAATTTAGCAGTCTTTGCATCCATCAAGCTCGTCCGATGCCACCGAGTGACATAACTGTCAGAATAACATAACTTTGGTAAGATATGGTCAGTGAATGGGACAATGTGCAACATACAGTGTCATGCCTCTTCAAACGCTGTGCGGAGAGATTTAGCAGCATTCCAGCCAACAGAATTAACCCAAGTTTATCCATCAAGCTAGACAGGGTGATCTCCTGGCGTTACGTGTTGGGAATCCACTCTATCATAGTCGAGGAAGTTCATGTTCGTCAATCCTTGACAAACCGGATCTTGTGCTAACCTGAGGTTATGGTCATCGTGCGTTTAGTCTCGGTATTTTGTTGATTCGGGAAACCGGTCCAAACATGTTTTTTCATATTCATACAGGCCCTGTGTCTGCTCTATCATACCTTGGCTGGTCAGATTCACATTTTATAGACGATTTAAGAGGTTATGCACCTGCCCAGGTGTGCAGGTGGGCGAGGTCTTGAGGTTTGTTTATGTAATCGGGTGATTCCGGGGAGGTGCCAGGAGCACGGGTGGCCCCGGGATGTCCTGCTCTCTGCCCAATATCAAGTCTAAGTTACTCTATGTTAACGAGTTTCCTGAAATATCTTAATTTGTAGAAGAGTGGATGCATCATTTCACCAATATATTCGTGACCAAGCGTGGGTATTATATTTTCATTATCATTATCATTGAATCCAATTGAGCTAGGAGTTCCGGACTACGACTATTCAAGAGAGTTGGGATCTAAAAGTCCGCCGCGTCCGGCAACTTCTCTGGAGTATCACTTCGGAAGCTGTTCGTGACCAGGTTCCCGAAGGAAGGCGACCAGTCCACGCGCGGGGATAGAATATCCAATCCCCAGAGCTCAGAAACGAATTTGAGGATAGAAGTATGCGTGAACTCATTCCCATCGCTAGGCTTATGCTGGACCAGGCCCTTGGAAACCCAGGGGGAGATCAACACTGTAGGAACACGAATTCCCAGGCGATCAAAGTGGAAAGTGTATGGCTCACCGTCCCGAGCGGTCTCCGTATAGGTCAGGCTGTCGCCAGCAGGAACATCAGTTGGGGGCGAAACGTGATCAGCGAAGCCACCATGTTCATCCCAGGTCAGAATGAAGAGGGTCTCATTCCACTGCGGCGAGTTGCGTACAGCCTCGTAGATGCTCTTGACGAAGTTCTCGCCCATATTGATTGGGGACGGAGGATGCATTGACATATAGGAGCAGCATTCGGGGTTGATCCAAGTGAATTGTGGCAGCGCCCCAGCTTTGGCATCACTATAGAACTGGGAAATCGGAACGACGTTCTCTTTGCCATTCTTCGCGGTCCAGTCATAGAACATAGCATCGGGCAAAAATGAGGGTTTTGACTGGGTCGAGTTCTCGTAGTTCTTCCAAGTGATTCCCTTCTCTGATAGCTGCTCGAAAATGGATTTTTGTGGCAGCGCAGAGTTGAGGAAGTCATCGTCATTGTGGCCATGGCCATGCGAAGTGCCAGAGGTCAAGTAGGCACGGTTGGGGTTGGTAGGACCGGGGACAGCAGCAAACCACCGATCGAACAAGACAAAGTTCTGAGCGATGGTGTCGAAGACAGGGATATGCTCTGGGGTGAAGTAATTGATCGCCTCGGCTGCCCGGTCTAGGTCATCCTTTGGGTACGAGGCACGCTGCTCACTAATGAAACCCTCCATGGAGGACTTGGCTCCCGCAAGGGGGTGGTAGGTCCCAAACACTTGCATGTTACCACCGGCGATGCTGTGGTTGGGATCGTCCGATGCGATGTTCTTCGCATCTGGGTTGGCGCAGACCTGCTCGGAGGGGGATGAAACATTGGCAGGATTACAGTATTGAGGATTCCGGGGGCCATCAATGCTAGAATCATAGTCAAGACCGCCAGCGAAGTGGTCGAAGGACAAATTCTCCTGGACCAACACCACAATATTTTTGATGTTGCTCATACCCGACGCAGCGGGCATCGCCGCGGCACCCAGACTGAGGGCAACGAGGAGTAGAGAGCGCGCCATATTGATGGCAATAGAAAGCTGGGCATGACTTGAGCGAGTCTACGAGTTTATAACTTTTTTCCATTTTATTTTATTTCTTTATTTTCTTTTCTTTGAACCTCTCAGAAACTTTTTTCATCGCACATGCTGCAGGTCACAATTCTGCGCTGTCTATTTCTCTGTCGATCAAAAAAGCCCTAAACGCCCCCCCGCGTCGTGGGCCATGAGCTGACTATTATTGGCCAACACGTTTAACAGAAGATCAGATGTTCTGATGTTCTGATTTTCTAGTTTTTGTGACTTTTAAAACTCTTAGGGGAATATTATAGACTGGTTCATGATAGTGTATTTCATTATTTTCCAGTGACATCCTAACATTTACTTGGAATACCCTTGTTTTCGCTCTCCAAATCCTAAAATGTTCTTGTCACCGTATATTCGCTGTATGCATTTTATTTCGGAATTATTATTCGATTGTATAACTACATATAATGTTGTTGATCGGTCGATCTTATGACTTTTATACTTCATTTTGCATAGTCGCTGCATGACCAGTCGCACTGCACCGCTTTCCCTTGCCCACGCGAAAAGGTCACATCTCTTCAGATCATCTCTAGGTTAATTTTTACCTCGAGCTAAGTTGAGGGGTAAAGTCAGCAGGAAGATATGAAGTTCAAACGGTCGGGGGGTTGTGGTCACCTGGTAAATCTCAGATGGAAAGGCCAACAGAACTTGAACGTAGGAAATGGAAAAAAGGAAAGAAAAAGAGAAAAAGAAATGTTCAGTATAAACAATGAACACTATATGCCCCTAGCCTTAGCTTGACTTGCCGCTCTCTCCTTGTTGGTTCGTTTTACCGTTAAAAAAGGGGATATGTGGAATATATATCTCATCGAATCCCAAACAGAGCAAGAAATAAGTGAGAATTTGTACAAATCTAAAGTAAATATAAAATTTCAATCCCATACCCGGCGCATTCCTATCAGACATCATGCTCATAGGTCAACAAACTCTCCACGAAGCAGCTCATCTTCCTGGACCCGTTCCAGATAGCTCACCACCTTGGTTGTCAATGTAGCAATCTCATATCCGAAAAACTTGTATGCCGCCTTACCCGGTAGACTTTGACCAAAGCGTGTCACGCTGATGCCCGCATCTGCGTACCGTTCCCACCCATTTGGCGCGTAGGGCTCAATCACTACAGCTGGTATGCCCCGGTGGCGCTGCAGCGTGGCACGCTTGTAATCGAGTGACTGTTTCTCAAACAGGCGCTGGCAGGGGAAGCTGACCACGCGCGCGGTGATACCTTTCTGCACCTTTAGTTGCTCAGCAACCTCCAATGCGAACGAAAGTTCAGCTCCAACGCCGATCAAAGTGACAGCAGCCGATTCAGCTTCAGATAGGACGTATGCGCCGTGGGCTACACCATCACGACGCGTCTGGGCGAGCTGGGGCAAAGTCTGACGAGAGGTAGAAATGATACTTGGGGTCTGCTTGGCACCAATCGCAGCAATCCATGCACCAGCCGTCTCCTCACTATCACCAGGACGGATGTACAGGAGGTTTGGCATCGCGCGATACAGGTTGGCCAGTTCAATAGGCTGGTGGGTCGGTCCATCCTCGCCCATACCAATGGAGTCGTGAGTAGCGACGTGGATTATTTGAAGATGCTGCAACGCACCCATTCGGACTGCGGGTGCAGCATACAGGTAGAACATGAAGAACGTCGACGTGACCGGAATGATGGTGTTCGGGGAGTAAGCTGCCAGACCGTTGGAGATGGCAGCCATGGCATGCTCACGGACACCATAATGAATATAGCGACCGGAGTAATTACCATTGATACCACACGTTGTGCGGAGTTCGGGCTGGTGATACAGTTAGCATTGTCCCTAGTTATGGTAATATCGGTTGTTCTAACTCACATGCTGGAAGTCGACCTTGCCAGGCCAGATCATGTTTACGGATGGCGAGAGATCCGCAGTACCAACCATGAAAGAATTGATGTCTTTGGCGATTGGGTTGAACACCAAGCCAGATGAGGCACGGGTGGCAGTGGGTTTATCAGGGAAGGTGGTTGGGATGTGCTCCTGCCAGTTGGGCGGAAGCTCGCCACGCACGCGGGCCATGAACTCGGCCGCTAAATCTGGGTGCTGGAGAGCGTAGTCGTTTACCAGCTGATCCCACTCTTGAACCCACTGCTCTCCACGCTCAGGAATCCCCTGGAAGAACTGGCGCACAGATTCGCCAATGACAAAATGCTCCTCCGGGTTGAAGCCGTAGGCAGTCTTCATATCACGGATACTCTGGGCGCCAAAAGCAGCACCATGAGCAACAGCAGTTCCCGCAACGCTGCTGTGCAGACCAATGACCGTCTTGATATTAATGAAGGTGGGCTTTTCCTTCGATGAGCGGGCTTGCTCCAATGCACCAACAATGGCCTCAATATCAAAGCAGCCGTCTGCCACCTCGATCACATCCCAGCCACAAGCGCGCATCTTTGCGTTCACATCCTCGGTGTTGGTAAGGTCAACTGATCCGTCACAAGTAATCTGATTGTTGTCGTAGATGACAGTGAGGTTGTTTAGACGGAAATGTCCGGCCAGCGAGATTGCCTCGAGACCAACACCCTCTTGCAAACAAGCATCGCCAATCATACACCAAGTATGGTTGTTTACCACATCAAAGCCGGGGCGGTTGTAGGTCGCAGCGAGATTCTTCGTCGCCATGGCCAAGCCTACAGCATTCGCAATACCCTGACCCAATGGTCCGGTTGTCACTTCAATTCCTTCGTGCTCAATCTCCGGATGTCCGGGGCATAGCGCATCGACTCGATCGGAGTGGTATGATTTGAGTTGTTCGAAGGTCATGGCCTTGTAGCCTGTAAGATGCAGAAAAGAGTATTGGAAGAGGCAAGTGTGGCCTGTAGAAGGTTATTTCAGTATACATCCCTAGAGCCGTATCAATTTAGAAATATATATGCATAACTAACCGTTTGACAAGACGAAGCGATCCCGGTTGAAGAATCCCGGAGTGTGGGGTGCATAACGCATAACATATCTCCAAAGCGCAACACCAATTGCAGCCATACCGATAGCACCACTAGCACGCGATCAGCTTGTGCTCAAATTAAGATTCTGTTGCGAGGATCATACCCGGGGTGTCCGCCATTGAATTGCTGGCAGAGGTCTGCAATCAATAACCGAAAGGTCTTCAATACCAAGTCGTGGTCCTTGGACAGCTTGTGGACTAGAGGCATTGCAGAGCTGTGGACGCCATTGACGCCGTTCTGTTGAACTTCGACTGACATTGTAGGAACCGTATAGAGATGAGCAATAGAGAATGTCCAAATGCCCAAAGCTGGAGGGAAAGCTCATTGAAATATTGTAAGTGGTGGTGCTTAATATTTCCTAATCGGGCGATCTTCCCTAAAGGGTCGACCCCACCTCCGCGAGTTGGCAGCTCCATCCACACCAAAATAGGTAATTTGAGCCACAACTTACTAGATCAAGTACTTATTGGGCTCCCATAGCGGCTTTAAAGAATGGAACTTGCCCACTTTTGTAATGCACAGAAAACACACAATGGCTCCGGTACTTCTCGATCAGCCGAACGGCCAGCAGATGGTGAAAACGGCAGACGATCGGGTTCCCCTCAAAGTCTCCCATCCCAATCCCTCATTGCAGATAACCGCCGACCAGAAGTTGAAATCTGTCGACACGCCTGTTTACGCCCCCAAACCAGGCGAGGCACTGGTTCATATCAAAGCAACTGGAATTTGCGGGTCGGATCTTCATTTCTGGAAGACCGGGCGCATTGGATCATTGGTGTTTGAAGGTGACTGCACCATTGGCCATGAAGCCTCGGGTATCGTTCTGCAATGCGGCGAGGGGGGTCAACCATTTGAAGCCAGGTAGACATGATTCATTTGAGTTTGAAGATTTTTGAGCTGATACTGTGACAGGTGACCGGGTGGCCGTCGAACCTGGTGTTCCCTGTGAACACTGTTTCCTCTGTGATGAGGGCCGTTATAACCTGTGCGATGATGTCCAGTTTGCCGGTGTTTACCCTTATGAAGGTACCATGCAGCGTTACAAGAACCACCCTGCGAAATGGCTGCATAAGCTACCCGACAATGTCACTTTCGCTGAAGGCGCACTTCTCGAGCCTCTTTCGGTGGTGATGCACGGCGTCAAGTCGGCTGGTCTTTCGTTGGGCCGCGGTGTAGTTGTATGCGGTGCAGGCCCAATTGGCTTGATCGCCTTAGCTGCAGCACGTGCCTCGGGCGCACACCCTATCGTGGTGACGGATCTCGAACCGGCTCGACTGGCGTTTGCGAAAGAATTTGTCCCTTCCTGCATTACCTATGAGGTGGACCGTACAAAGGATTCGCAAGGTAACGCAGAGGCCATTCGTGCTCTCTTCGGGTCTGGCGAATATTTTGCTCCGGAGACCATACTTGAGTGTACCGGTGTCGAAAGCAGTGTATGCACTGCTGCATACACTGCACGGCGGGGAGGCACCGTCATGGTGATTGGTGTAGGAAAGGCGATCATGAACAACTTACCTTTTATGCATATTTCTCTCGCCGAGGTCAGTTGCATTAGTGTCCTGATGGAGTGAATATTGAATTTTTTTGCTGACTCTGCTAGATCGATCTCCGGTTCATCAACCGTTACCGTGACACCTGGCCGCCAGCAGTCGCCTGCCTAAGTGGTGGCATCTTGGACCTGAAGAAACTTGTATCGCATCGTTTCCCTCTTGAAAAGGCCCAAGATGCGCTCCACCTTTGTGCTGATACTCGAAATGGTAGCATCAAGGTGTTGGTTGTCGACGAGCAGGATGTTTCGTTATAGATGTGTTAAGGAAAATTTGTTTTCGATCGTTCCGAGGCTGAGCACAGCTGGAGTTGGTGCTCTATCGAGACAATCTTGTTTAGTTCCGTGTAAACTAGGAGAGTGGCAAAGCGAAGTAAACAATATTCAGCAATGCAAATGCTTGATTTGATACTATATACCAATTCAAGCCAGACACAATGCCTGCACAACTCTCAACCCCCACTTTGACCATTGTATTCCCTCAAAATGATGACTGGCAAAATATGGACTCGATGGCCGGAATTGGGTCCTTGGAAGAGTGCTCGCCAGGACTCAAGAATGTGTTATGTCCGGTGCAGTCAGGGCCGCTGTACTACAGTTAGTGAGAGTCCACTGGCTGGATTGTCATCAGACTTACGTGAAGAGACGACATGGCTTTTTCAAAGACACAGTAAGGACGTCCCTATGACGCGTTAGTCTCAGCCGAAACATGGTTGCTAGAAACCAATCTCACTCTTCCTCGATGGGATGGCAATCATTCAATGGGACATCAATACCACGGCTCTTTTCTGCTGTTTCGATTCCCACCTGCACGGCCATGTTAGCAATTGGGCGTGGACCTGAGGACGGACATCCGCACAATTGTTCTTTTTGGATCCTTCGCTGCCGATACAGAGAGAAGCATCAAGCTTAGAAGCGACAGCTGTTTGAGACCGTACATGACGCAGATACAAGCAGAGATCCAATAATACTAGATCTGAGGGTATGGGATGCTCGACAGTGTTCAAAGTACTCCAATATGGTGCAGCAGTTCGACCCTTCCTGCAAGAAGATGCCATCTGTCTTTTCTCTATCCCTTGCGTCTGTCTCCTCTGCAAGGGCTAGGGTTACGGCTAACAGCGTTGGAAGCTCACACCCCTTTTTCTTTGCAGTGATCTTCCCCGTACACAGGTGCAGAGTACTCCATAGCGAGGATCAGAATGTGACTGTTGATTTGAGCTGTATGGAATACATCTTAGGTTGTGATCGAGGTGCAATGTCGATCGATGAGTACTGTTGAACATTGGGAATTCTGAATTCCGTACTCCGTACTGCGTAAATATCGAGAGAAGATAGAGCAAATCATGCAACTAACATAGTTAATTAAAAGAAATGCTCAAAAGACATCCGAAGTGTCCGAGTGTCAAAGGAGAAGTGAAAGTGGCCGATGTCTCCCGAGTCCCAATCTCCCCACTTCAACTTTGCAACTTCTAACTCTTTTGGATATTCTTTGGATATTCTTTCCATTTTCTTGATTACATATTCGCAGTTCAGCACAGACTCCATGATTCCATAATTGGATCACAACCCCGGTGAACTGGGTGAGCCATCGCATGTCTCCAATTACGCCATGAACGACTGGTCCCAACCCGAAGCGACTCCGTCCAATTCCACCGATGCTGCATTTGCGTCTCCATTGGGAGCTACCAGCTGGGGTGATGGATTCTCCCATGATCCAGGCTTCTTAGCTTCTCAGGAGGAGCTACGATGCATGCTTTTCAATCTCGCGCAGTCTGCAGCCCCGACCCGCGCGCCGAGCCCAGATACCCAGGAACAAGACGCCACACAATCGCGCGACAGGGGGCAGACACCGACGCGTCCTGTGCTGTCAAATCCCCGTCGCATCGAGTACTTGAAGAACTATGTCGGGCAGGTGGCACCATGGGTAAGTGGCATTGCTGGTGATGATCTCAATAATCGCTGATGGCCGACCGCAGCTCGATATGTTCGATTCGCAATGTACCTTTCGAGTGCAGATTCCCGCGCTGGCCCGATCATTCCCTGCCCTGCTGAATGCCATCCTCGCGATATCCGCCCGACAAATGGAAAGGAAGGAGGGAATTCAAGACTCATTTGACAGCTTGGAGCTTTACCAGGAAGCAATTCGCCTGCTGAGCCCACTGTTGCAAATGCGTGATCCTAAAGTCGTGGCCGCCTGCGTACTTCTCTGCTGTCTCGAGATGATGTCTGCGCGTGCGCAGGATTGGCACCGTCATCTGGAGGGTTGTGCAGCACTTTTTGACGCATTCCAAATGAATGGGTTCAGTGAGGGCCTTCTACAAGCAGTATTTTGGTGCTACGCGCGCATGGGTGAGGATCCATATTGATGGTCGAATGAAAGGGATATCACTGATTTGGAAAAACTAGACCTATGTGGTGCGTTGATCTCTGATGGGACACAGAGCACTCTTCTTCGGCCTAGCAAATGGCTCGCACCTGGATGTCATGAAGATGATGCTGCACAGCTCTTCAAGGCTGCGCAGTCCCCGGACATGCACGCCAACTACGCGGTATACCTGTGCGCAAAATCCTGCGAGCTGGTGGCTGATCGTACTCAGTTTGTGGAGCTAGCCGTTCAGAATGACTGCGCCGGAGAGGCCTTCAATCGCCGTTGGCTGCGGCTCTGGGGCGATTTGCAGAATTGGCTTGACAACCGACCACCGGAGCTGTTACCAATAAACACAACAACAACCAAACCATTCCCCCATATCCTTTTCCTACAATGGGCGGCTATATCCTCGAACCAACTATACCACACAGCATGCATTTTGCTGCTCAACTTGATGCCCAAATCTATCAAACTACAGCCAACACCCGCAATGTCTGCGTTGTGGCATGCGAGGCGTATTTGTGGAATCTCGCTCGCCAACCCGCACCACGGATGCTTGAACAACGCCATCCAGCCGCTATGGATTGCTGGACGGCTGTTCAGCCATGTATCCGAACACACCATTATAGTCGAACTGATTCGCCATATTGAAGCCGAGACTGGATGGGGCGCTTGCTGGCGCATCCGCGACCTGGAACTAGCCTGGGGATATCAGGTCTCACGCTCAGACCGGACTATGGATAGACCTCGGTTTCCCGTAACAGGGTGAGCATCGGTATCAACTTGAATGATCTTCCTTTACTATGTCTCATCAAGAAGGCACCACTCGACTCGCAGGCTATGCAAGCAGTTTTTCACGTTCCACCCTGTCACAGTATGAATGCGTTCTAACCCACGCACAACCTCGTGTTGTTGTGACTCATGTGTCATCCGACGAGCTGCCAGCAGAAAGGATGCCAATAGACATGGATCCCAGCACTCCCGACGATCATTGTGGAGAGCAATACTGCATATCCGCTGCGTATGCCACAGTGGTGACATGGCAACGGAGCGGAAGTCGGCGATGCGTGCAGTGCGAGGTCGATTGTGTAACAAGATCAACATGGCCGTATGGTATAACTGGTTGCCGAACAAGCTCGCTCCGTTGGCAAAGAGAATAACGGGGAAACTTCTTTCTGGCCCAGCTAACTGATCATCCATCTCTATTTCCAGCATGGGCTCAAACTCCCGTGGTCGCTCTCGATACCATTGTTGCAATTCCTCGACCAACTGTATCCATATATGGAACGGAGGTCGATCGGGAGGAACCTCTTCATTGTGCACAAATTGGATCGCTCTCGCGCAGAGCCATAGCGGGCGATAGGCGTAGAAGAAAACCATCTCAAACGGGTCAGCCACAAGATCTACTTGTGTGAAATACGGGAATGACGGGGGAAGCTGCATGCGCATATCGCTATCGGTCGCTAACGCTGTCGCGAGATCTGTGGTACGCGAACAAGTCAGTGAATAGTGATCAGAACTACCTGTGTTGTTTTGGAATCCATACCCAGCCTGAAAAAGAGCCAATAGATCGCGGAATTAATATCTCTGCCCACCGCGTGGGAACTTAGAGCCCCCATGAGGTCATGATCGCACTGTCTTTCAGGGTTCCACGTGGTTGTGATGTCCAAGATACAATATTTCACTTGATTTATAACTTTCAACAGTGCGACACGTGTAATGTCAACCTGCATTTCCGAGTCGGCGTGCCGAAGGAATGTCTTGCTCCTGTCTTCGGGTGGCTTACGTGGATCAAGCTGGCGGACAGAAGTCTCGGATAGGTCAAGGATGGAGTTCCAGATACGTGACGAGACCATCGCAAGCTGAAGACCCTGGATTCCAAATGATTGACCAAGATCACAAATGTCCAACTACTGCAGTCAGCGTGGTGTAGTCCGTGGTGGTTTCAAATAGCTCACCCAAGAGGCTACCTCATAGCGATAATGTCGTAGCAAGGCTTGTGTTTCGGTGGGTGAAAGTGTCTCGAGACTTGACTCTGGTGGTTGTTGTATACTTTGCGGGCTGAAGGTTAATTGATGCGAAACATTCGATGGTATTGTTGGAGTCTTCAAGGTGGCTCTCGCTGGTGATGGAACTCCCAAGTCCGACAGCCCCAGATCGGGTCCATTCATACCGAGAGCCAACAACCCCGCGACTGCCGATTCATCATTGTCATTGAGGATCGTGTAATTCTGTTCGGCCACAGCATGGGGGGGGCTGGCTCTGACCAGAATGGCTCATCTTCATCTCTGGCGTCACTAAGCGTAATGGGGTCGGCTTGTTGTGGTTGTGGAGTCGTATCAATCCGAGAAAATGCATCTACCAGTGGATGATCCTCGGTTCGGTTGGAATCTTTTGTGTTTGCGGTCTCTTCGGTGACAAACTACATGTATATGGATCAGGTCTCTACCCTGCGATAATCACTGGAAAACCTACCCGAATCGCTTCATAGCTGGCAGATGGTGTCTCGGTATCTGACGCTTGAATAGTGCGTGCATTCTTCGTCAGAAAGGTCAATTGTGGACCATATTGGCATTGGAAGTTCCGGTCAATGCAGTTCCGACACCGCGGTTTGCCTTCATCGCCTGAATAAATATTAGACTTGAACGTTCTGCAGATTCAGAAAAAAGAACATACATTTTCGCCTACGAACGCGACAGCGCATGCACCCAGTGCGACATCTGGTCAGTCGAGTTTCTCTTTGACGCTTCATGGCAGGATCCTAGAGGCTACGGAGTACAGTGCTGTGAGACGGGAGCTTGCGGGATTCCAATCGGGAAGGTGCCGAGCCAGATTAGGAAGGCGCAAGCACCATCAGCTGACCATCACATGACCTTCTTTGTCATCCTGTTTACGTCAGGGGTTCTACCGGGCCGGGTCCACCCTGACAATCAGTCCATCCATGGATGGATTGGAATATATCAAGTGACAAATCGGGAAATTATTAGATTGAGGTAATCAAAACCTGTTGCAACTACAGCTTCTTCTCCGCCAAACTTCGACTCTTCTTCCACTCGTCCACAATTCCAGCATAGACCGAAGGGGCATACACCCCTGTCAGCTCAGTGTAGAACCCGCCCCCGAGTCGATATGGATTCAGACCCAAATCGCGCAAGAGCATATCGTTATACTAATGCAGTAGTTAGTTTACGATATCCTCGTAGTTTCGCGCAACAACCATACCTGAATGGCCTCTACTTCAAGGCCAGTTCCCGTCAATGAGCCCAGGACCACATCCTCGGAGATAGTATTCTCCATAGCCTCCAGCGAAAGATTTTCGAGCGAGAGGGCCTTATGTGGGGTTGACTTAATGTCCACGGTGGAGTTGAGCCCCCCCTGTCAAAAATGCCGCCACCCAAAGAGCTTGAACCTCTGCAACAACAGCAATAGTGGAGGATAAAATAACCCCGAGCGTTGCAAAGGAGCGGTCGCCTTGTGCGACTAATTCAGGTGCAACCATACGGCGGAAAAGGCGATATGGTACCAGCTTGTGAGATTCGGTCCATGAGGGAGGTCTCCGATCTGGAAGAGCGCATCTCGTCGCATTCAAAGTCTTCCTGACCATGACCTCGGAACGTTGATCTAGATCCTCCCAGTATTGGATGCGGTCATTTATGGTTGATTCGAGTGGTCCATTGATTCTCTCCGCTGTTTGCGCTGCAATTTCACGATTCTCGTGGATATTGTCCACCAGGGCCGACAGACCCAGTTCTAGACGGAGACTTGCAGGTTCAAACCGAATCGGGACTATTGGCTTATATCCGGTCGCGTGGATGACCAGATCAATCTCATCGATACAACTACTGTCCGCTAAGTGCACCGCAGCTTTTGTGGATGAACCCGTGGTTTTCTCCCTGACAGTGTCGATATCCGTGATCGCTGATCGGTACACATTGACATGGGATGATCTAATTGTTTCCCAGAGATCTCCTTGGTTTGCGATGCCAATACCGGATGCACACGAGAGAACACTGGAGAGTATCAGTCACAGAATATTCCAAGTGACATCTCATTTGGACTTACCTGTTCTCTGGGCGAAGCTTTTCCATTTTCGGATCAGAACCGTATTGTGCCATTTCCTCCAGGCCTTTGTCAATTGATCGCCAAAGCCAACGAATCCACCATCGACCTAGTGGGTTGCCGTGGAATAGCCGCGCTAGCCATGAGCCTTCCCAGTGAAGACCCCCGGAGGGTCCAAGAGACAGACGTCTTGGAGTCATGTAGCAGCACGGGTAAGATGGGTGAGCAGTCTGCTGCTGGCAGCCTTATCGCTTGCGACGGTGTTGCCATCTGGGAGAGTAGATATTGGCGGTACCATCCATGCGGGCCCTGCACCTCGATCACGGATGATCCAGTGTACTTCGACGGGATTCTCCTGTGTGGACTTCAGATGCAGCTTTGAGTCGTTGCGGTGTAGAGTCGCAAAGAAATGCACCAGATCAAATGATGATTTTGCACCACCATAAATAGCAACTGATCGCAGCTGTGGATAAGGAGAATCTTTCGCTGGAATGCTAACAGCTTCGGAGTCAGGTGCTTTCAGTGGCTGATATCCCAGGTGTTCTCTTGCCCATTCTCCAACATCTTTGGCATGGATGACTGGAGCAGAGTTATCAAAGCCCATTGATGACCCCTTCGTGTCGGGCATATTTGGTACGGACGTCAGTCCTGTAGCCAGGACCAACTTGTCGCAGATAATGGTGATGCGCTGACCCGGGGAACGTTGATACACTGATGTTGAGCTTCCACTCTTTGGTTTCTAAACGGCTGATGTCGTCGACCTAGAGATCACTCAGAAATACCACAATGGTAGAATGGACTGAGAGCATCTTACCGTCCAGTTCAATCGTATGTGCTTTTTGAGCTGCCATTTCTCGACCCATGCATGGAGATACCGGTTGATCTTCCAGCCTGCAATGAACTGATTTTGTGTGTCACCTGCATGTTCCTCTGGAACAACGTCGGAAAGAGGCAGATCACTGAACTCATAGAGTCCATATGAGTTCTGGCTCAACAAATTTGGGTAAAGGCGCTCCTCGGCCCAAGTACCCCCAATATCCGAGGCAGAGTCGATCACAAGAAGGCGACTTTCAGATGGGGCCGTTGGGGAAGCATCGATGTTCTCGGTAAAACAGGCAGGGATTTCGGCGATTTGATCTGTACTTTTGGCTGTACTTTCGTATGCCCCAAGAAGTTGTAGATATGTCTTTGCTGCGATGAGACCGTAAAGACCTAACGAATTAGCCAACATCCAATTTGGTTGTCAACTGCTACCAACCTGCTCCGACGATCACAACTCGTTCCATGGCTAAAATGATTGCAGAGGGAGAAGAAAGGGGGAGTAAAAGAGAAAAAGAAAAAGAAAAAGAAACGGAGTTTTTAATCCAAAAGTGTACAATGAAAGGGCAACAATACTAAGAATAGCTCGGAGATGCGAGGATCTTGATATTGTTCGTGTGGGGGGTCACCACAACAATGGGAATCCCATTCGAAAATACAATTTTGAGATATTTGGAGATATTTGGGTAATTTAGAAATATTAGAAACAATCTGTAATAGAATATAGTCTTGGACATATTGCCACTTAAACAGAGGGCTTCAATAATGTCAACAGCATGGTTTTGTCGAGATTGAGCAGCATGTACTAGTAATCTAAATGTCCATGGGGTTGGATACAACACAAAATAAAAGTCATAACCCCAAAAAGAGAGGTTAGGAACTCTTGAGCCTGAAATTCTAAAAGAAACCCTTCCAACTTGAACCCTCCAGGGCTGTTCTAAAGTTCTCCAAAACCCCACGCAGACCAGTCAGTGTAGTCTCATATTGAACAATTACATGAGCTGTAGTCCCCCAATGACCGTCTGCCCGTCGTTGAGCGCCTCTCACGGAACTCTGATCGTGTTTGATGCATTTTACTACCCATGAGTTTTATTCTATGATTCTTATACTGATCCCGAAGACTATTATAGTTGGAAACCACCGATCTGTCAATTCCACATAGCTCCCTTTCGTGGACAACCCTTGTCGATGTATGTTCCTATCACACAAATATGGTCGCGAATGATGCGCTTTTATTCTATATTTGTATTGCTTCCGTATATACACATTATATTGTGAGTCCCCGAATCTGTCGGACCAGGTCGATCACAGTCTCCTTGAAGGGCCGATATTTCACCCCCAACTCCCGAGCTACAGTCTCCCCATCAATCCCATAAGAGGCACTCGGCTTCTCACCCATCTTATAATTCGTAGTTACAGTCTCTTTAGCCCAGCTAAATTCATCGCGAATGATATCCGCAGCATATTCGTACGAAAACGGCTCCGGAGAAGCGGCCACAAATCTCTTGCCACCAGCTTCGGGCGTAAGCAACGCCTGAACATGCACCTCAGCGAGGTCGCGAGCATCAATCCAACCAGGGACACGTGTCACAGGAAGTGGATCTACGCCCGCGGCCACACCCCAGAGCATCATATTTGACTCGTTGAGCTGCTGCACCGTCGGCACGGGGTGCACGACCGGACCGAAAACCATAGGAGGGCAGAGAGTTACCAGGTCGAATTTGGTTTTCTCTTCCTTGACAAACTCCCATGCTGCGAGCTCGGCGAACTTCTTAGAGCCGCGGTATGCGGTGACAGAGTCTGATTTCGGATCGATTGCCTCCTCGTATGTCAACGGGTTCCAGTTCGCGGCGGTATACGTGAATCCTGGTGCTGGAGTGCTGCTCGGGTTGACTACTGAGGCGAAGGAGGATGTCATCACAAGGCGCTGAACCTTTGATCCTGGCCTAGCGGAGGCAGAAAGTATCGACTTGACTCCGTTGATAGCGGGCAAAATCAATTCCTGTTCGTTGTTGGTAGTGTCGTAGAAGAATGGCTGTCAAACTTATTAGCCCGTTGTGCTGACCATAAACAAGATGATTTTAAGTGGCCTACGCTCGCTACATGGATCACTGCGTCAATGCCATCCATTACAGAATCGAAAACTCCAATCTGGGTAAAGTCTTCCACGACGACGAAATCAAGCTTTGAAGCGTACTGCGGACGTGCAGCCTTCATCTGATCTCCCTTTTGCTTTGATCTTGTCGAGCCTCGGACTGAGAATCCGCGAGCCAGTAGATTATCAACAACATGGGCGCCGATGAACCCCGTGGCGCCAGTGACGAGGACGTACCTGCGGTCATCAGCACTGACCGGGTACGTGGGAAGAGATTAACTTACGAGGGTTTTTGAGCAGGCATTTTATCAGGTGTAGGTATAGGTAGAAGGGTAAGCTTGGAACGGGTTTATTATAGTCGTGTGTACCCCGCGTGGGGGGGAAATGAGGTTCTAAGATTAATATCCACAGCCATTCCACACTGCTGTTAGTGTGGGGGGAGCAATGTACGGGAAAATGAGGTGAACAGACAGTATTCTATTGTTCTAACTGATTGGTTATATCCTTTAGTTATACATGTATAGGGGAGATCAGTCACCACGTATCTATATCTACTACATAGTCACTTCTAACTCACTTCTGCTCCTGCAACACCTCCTCCGTTGTACGGACGATGACATCAAAGGCATTACGGATATACTTCTCTTCGGCCAAAGCGTTGGCACTAACCACCCGTATCACACAGACGCCATCAACGACGGTAGAGGTGATGAAGATTTCGCCTCGCGTGTTGACCAATTCGGAGATCTTCTTAGTTAGACCGTCAGCAACTTCATCTTTGACCACGCGATCGGACGATCCACTGGCCCCATTAGATGCCCCCTGGGGGCTCTTAACGCGGAAGACAGTCAAGCCAAAGCCTGGCTTTGTGACAATCTCAAATAGGTCGGACCGACCGCGCACCAAGCCAGCAAAGGTATCACCAAGCCCGATGGTCTTGCGGATATGCGCTTTCATGCCATTGAGACCATAGCTCCGAATCACGAACCAAATCTTAAGTGCGCGGAATCTGCGACCGAGGGAAATACACCAGTTCCGGTAGTCAATTACACTTCCACTTTCCGAGTATGGGTTGCGCAGATATGTTGGTGTGATATCCAATGCGCTTGTCAGATCCAAGCGATTCCGGACAAAGAGGACGCTTGGGAATGTTAGACCAAAGATACAAATTTTTCCACAGACAATCGGTGTGAAAAGCTTACCTAGCATCAAAGTTCACTAGCAACCACTTATGCATGTTCATGTTGAAACTGTCAACGCCCTCCGCAAAATTCTTCGCAATATACTGCCACTCATCCGCAACAAGGGACGCACCGGCATAGGCGGCATCGATATGCACCCAGATACGCTGCCACGCCGGCTTTTCCTTTAAAACTGCCTTGATTTCTGCAAAGCGGTCCACACTGCAGGTATTTGTCGTGCCAAAGGTCAGGGTGATGTGGTACGGGGTAAGTCCGTCCTTATCGCACTTCTCAAGAACCTCACGGAGACGAGGTCCGGTCATTTCCATGTTATCCTCCAGCCGCGTGGTCACGCTGCGGAAGCGAGTACCGGCAATCAAAGCACCCTTAGCACCACTGCTGTGTGTTTGGTCACTGGCAATAGCGACCAGCTTGGCTTGAACATCGAACTTGCGGTCCTCATACTCCGGTGTACCCTCCTTCAAGCCTTCGGCAAGCAGCAGTTCCCGCACACGCCTCTCCCGTGCGGCGACAATAATGGTCGCAATAGCATCACTCGCACTGTTCTGGATAACACCGCCGCCGCGGGTCTCGGACGTACTCCTGAAACACTCGGGTAGTGCCAGGGCTTTCGCGACCCAGTCCATAATAATGGTCTCCATCTCCGTGCACGCTGGTGAACACAGCCAGTTGAAAGCAGGGGCCGTAAACGTAGCGGAGTACATCTCGCCCAGAATGCTGGGGTATGTCACGCAGGCCGGGTAGTAGGCCATGAAATTGGGGGACTGCCAATGCGTCAACCCGGGCTTTATCTTGGTGTCAACATCTTCCTGGATTTGGGCCCAGTCTTCCGGTTCGTCAGGGGGGTTCTCCGGGATCAGAGGGCGCAGGTATCCGGGCTCGATAGCGGGGAGGACTCGGCGCTCGGGCACGCTGTCGAAGTAATTGACGACTGCACGAAAGCTTGGTTAGATTGAACATAATTGAGCCTGGAGTTTGCGCAAGGATAGGGGGGCTCGTACTATCATCAATGGCAGAGTGTGCTGCGGTCTTGAACTGATTGTGATCCATGCTGCGCGTCAACTAGAGATCTGCGATGCGGGGATAGTTTGGTTTCTATGGAGCTGTAAGTGCGGCAATTGGCGGCGCAGTAGAACACAGTATAAGAGGGAAAAAACGTATAATACGAGTACAAGTGAAATATGTGAGATTGAGACCACAGCGAATGTTTTGAGGCAAAATGTGGGAAAAGCAGGCATGTCGAAGAAAAGGCGTGGGGAGGGAATTAATTCCGTCGGAACTATCCATTCCTCGTTCCGAGCTCGGAATGTTCCGCTTTTCCGACGAGTATGTACATAACGCAGGTGTTTATGATCCCAAGTCCATCTCCCATACTTCAGTCTTCCTCTTCCTTGGGGTCATAGATGTCGCCTGCAGGTGTCTTCTCCAATCTCTTCCCATCTTCTGTCACAATCTCTTTGCTAGGGACAACCACCACAAAAACCCGAGCAACATCCTTGCCTCGATTCACCCATTCGTGGTTTGCGCCGCGGCAGACAATGACATCGTGTTGATTCAGAATCTTCTCCTCGCCTCCGTCTGTAATAAATCCGATGGTGCCGGACAGCACTACGGCGTAATCCAGGCTCAGTGTCCGATGGAACCAACCTGCGTCTGCCGGGGTAGATCGAGGATGCGACAGGAAGGACCCTTGGTGTCAGCCAGCGGAACGAGAGTTTTGTGCGGATCGGAGAGCTGGCGCATATTGTCCACCGGGAAGCCGCGCGACCGGTGAATTTGATGACACCGAACCCAGAGTCAGGGCCCGGGGTTGAGAATGCCGGAGCAGTTGTGGGATCGTAGGGCGTCAGAATTTCGTCGGAAGCGAAGTACGCCTTTCCCTGAGCATTGTGGCCTGCGACAACACGACGAATTGGAGTGTCCATGGTAAGGAAAATAAGTCTTTGGTTTGGATAGTGGACAAGAGGGGTTGAGACAGTCTTCGAAGAGAGAAGCGAATATGATTATAGAAGGGACTAGGAAGTTGGGATTCTTGTTTATATATCTTGCGGACTGAAGGAATAGCTGATTAATAAAGGATATTACCAACCTTGGAAGCCTCGAAGATGTCGACAGTCATTCATTGAGTGAGTATACCCAGATGCGTTGTTCCGATTGATAATCATGGGATTGGTAAGATGGGGGCTGAAAAGGTATGGGGGCTGAAAATCCATGAAACTAAGGGCAAGGCTTCCAGTCTGACCGGCAGAATACTCTAAATCTAGGTGGCGCTGGTAATTGATCAATTGTGTTTATAGACAAGAGCTTTGCCGCGGTTTACCTAGCTTCATTTGAATCCCCCTGGTCGCCTTCCCCATTGTCTGAATGGTCAAATCCCTCATCATATACCTCCGGGTTTAGATCTTTCCCTTGGATTTTCAACTTCTCCATTGGTAAATACACAAAGAGCATGCGACACCATTCAGTGTTACTTCGGTTGCGGAACGAATGTGCAGTACCCCTTTGCACACTTACATCGCCACGACCCATACGTCGACTCGCACCCGAGTCCAGTACGAGATCAACCTCCCCCTCAATTATCACTCCATAGTCGACGCTGACGGTCCGATGCATTGGCGTCGCCTTTCCCGGACGGAGATCAATCAGACGGAAAACGGTTCCGTTATCGACTGTGATCCCAGGGGGTTGATGTAGGAACTCGTCGTACATGGCGACGTCCGCCTCAGCGTCAACCGAGGCTGGCATACTGGTCGTAGCGTATAGCAGGGCAATCTCGCCATCGTCCCCAGTCGGTGTCGACGGAAGGTAGTCCGGAACTTGGGCATGGGAAAGAAATACTGATTCGCCCTCGGTATTGTGGGTGGTGATGTAGCGGCGGATATAGGGGAGGGGGTTCTTTTTATAAGGCATAATGAGATGGTAGAGATGACATCTGAGGTATTAGGTCAGGGTATTCACCGAGGGTAGTGAGTCTGGAGTTAGGAAGTTGTAAATATATCCTTGAGGAGATGTTCTCACATCATGGTGGCATCATTTTATAGATGCCCAAGTAGGATTAAGCATAATTGTGTTCCACGGTCGAGCGAAACTCAAATTGGCCACCCACGATGTATTCTATGCAGGGCCCTTCGGTATCATGTGCCCAAATTTGGAGTTCAAATGGTTCTCCAACATGCGTTTGTGCCCATCCGACACCTTCATCTTGTCCTTCATGCTACTAGCCAATTTCTCAATGCACTCATCTAGGCTAGGGCCACCCTCAAATGTCTGAGTCTCATCGTTCTTTTTAGCGGCAACTGCTTCCTTCCAGAGATCGTTCAAGCCCTCTCCCCACCCAAGTGCATCAGCCAATTGACGAACACCGTCGTCGCAACTTCCGAGGATGCACACGTCCTCGTCTCGATTGCCCAGATCTCCTGCTTTTTCATTGTTGATCAAAACACGAGGAATCCCCTGTTTTACTAGCGTTGGCAGCCTAGAGCAAGGTGCCACACGCAAACTAGTTCCCATGACAAGCATCAAGTCCGCCTCTAGGACTTCTTTCTCCTTTTCATCAAACTCAGCCGGCAGAGATTGCCCAAAGAATATAACATCTGGCTTAACTGCACCCACGCAGCCCGTCTCAAGACAATAGGGCACTTCACCCGCGCGGATGGCTTTGTTCATGAGATCGTCGGGATATGGCGACTTGCACTTATAGCAATGCTGACTCTTCCAGTTCCCATGAGTCCACAGAACCTTATCAGGAGGAACCCCAGCATCTTGCTCAAGCCCATCGATATTCTGGGTGAAAAGAAAATGGAGCAGATTCTTCTTTGCTAGCAGTGCCAGGAAAGCATGGGTGACGGTCGGTTTAAGATTTCCCGGGTGACGCGCCCGGGCGATTGCGTAGAATGGCTCAGGCGTGTGAGAGAAATAATTGATGTGAAAAATGGCCTCTGGGTAAGGAAGCCGCAGTGGAGCAAGCTTGTCATAAAGACCAGTATTTGGAGATCTGAAATCAGGGATCCCGGCGCCAGTACTGATACCAGCACCAGTCAAAACGACGATTCGGGTGGCTTTTCCAGTCTTGATGCGGTCGACGATTGATTGAATGTCGGGTTTCATACTAGCCTTTATATGACGTGAGGTATTGTCGGACATAACTTCGAGTTTGGATATTGTTTGCTCTGGGGAGTGGATGGAAGTAAATGATTGTTTTGATTTTCGAGCATCAAAATAGAGGGGTCTCTGTCGGCGCCTTACTGCCTTAGGTTGCCAAGTAGAGCCTCATCCTCGACTGAATAATTCATGCATGACAATGTCATATGTTCATTGTCCTGTCAGCCCGACAGGAAAATCATCTCTCATTACTCGCTTGGCAAAGCAACATTTGTCAACTCTGTGAGCAAGTTTGTCCAGTCTGGCGTATTCAGCTCGACGTTGGCGCTGCTTTCTAACATTTCCGTCCATATGTCTTCAAGAGGTAATGGATTGAGCAATGCATCTGTTGGATGGTTGACCGTCGATTGACCATTGGAAATTTCGGGAGGAAATGTGATGCTCTTGGAACTCAACGAAACAGGCATCGGGATACCCGGCTGTGGAGGATTGGCTGTTGCGGCAGTTGAATTCGAAGATGTGCAGGGCTCCTGTAAGTCGCGAGAGCTTACTCTTCTTTCGTGCTTCCAGTGCCTTCGTAAGATCTCCATCATGGCATTTATTCCTTCACATGCGATGGGTGAGGATTGTTGTGCCCGGCTAAGCATTCGACAAGCGTCGAGTACTTCCTCTTTTCGCCTCTCGGCCAGAATGTCGTCCCAGTTGAAACACACATCTATCAGAAGGATGGCAGCTGCCATGAACACATGGTGCATGACTGCCCATACGACCGAGCTGTGCGGTGTAAACACAGGCTCTTCCTCGTCCATGATGCGTTTCACCTCGAGCACCTTGCGCGCAGACTGAAGAGATATGACATGGGAATAGGAATATTTGGGATCCTTTGCTCCACGCACAAAATAGTGGCGATGCAAGCGGCAGAACCGTGAATGGTAACCCTGTTGTATTAGAGCTCGCTGCCACGCAAGAGTTGGTCGCTCACGATAGATCGCTGAGTATTCGCGCTGGGAGGCTTGATCAAAGCGAAAGAAACTGGGAATCTCGGCGCGTACCTGCTGGAGCTTTTGGTCGAGCTCGAGTATCTTCTCATAGGGCACCTCTTGTCCATGCAAATGGTAGTATGACGTTTCGTCCACTATTTGGCGACACACAACAGCCAGCCTCAATCGACATAGACTATATGAGATTGCGGTGGGAGTAGATAGGGGAACACCGTTCTCACTATGGTCGATTTCCTCATCCTCGACATTGAGAGGCACTTGTACAATCATATGCTGAGGTTGGATCGAGTACGTCCACTCTTGGGGTCCGCTCAAAAAGCCTATCAACCTTCAGATATCATCAGTCATAGTACCGGTGCGATCTCTCGCTAACAACGTACCAGTCGTATGCTGCCAAGTCCCACCACAACCGTCGTTTGAGTTCAACATTGGTTTTATCAAATTCGGTTGCCAAGCGCTCAGACACAACTCGAGGGCTGTCCACAATGTGGAGCCCCATGCTAATGGCCTGACTCACAAATGACCTATGCACAAATAACGGGCTCACGGAGGAGGGAAAGTTCATGTTGGACAGATGATGACCAATGATCATAGTCGCTTGCAGCCCTTCGAGGGTGGGATAAGGTATATAATTGCTCTGGATCAATGCTGCCCTGCCAAAAATGTGCTTTCCTGACTGAATGGTTCTGCGTGCTCGGATGACTCTATTAGGAGTTGGTAATACAGGGCGGCAGCAGTGATACTAAACAGCAGCGCAGTGTGTGCCAAATTGAAAGACTCATTTCGCGCAACATTCTCGTAAATTGTCTCAATCTGCCGTTCCACACGACTTGGTATGATGAGATGATACTGGTAGTCAAGGTATTTACAATAATACCGAAATAGACTCAGAGCTTCTACCATCGGTGGCAGATACAATGGCAGATAGATAGTCGCCGGATTTGCACGAGAGGCGAGCCGTTCGCGCATTGGAGGAAATCGATCACCGGGTGTGGTATTTTGCTGTGAAGGCGAGCGCTCGGGTTCCCGGCGCTGGGAGAGCTCCGCCCTCAGCGTGGCAGGGACTGCACTCGGAACCCGGTGTCCCATAACAATCGCCTCAAGCCGATCGGCCGTCAAAAGGGGCTCATTTCCATTGCGACTTTCTGTCTCCGTGTCCTGTCGTGGAGTCCACTGTAGGGTCCGAGGTGGCTCAGACACGCGATCGTCCAATATGGGCCTCTGATATGTTTGGCTCGTGGCTTGTACAGGAGTTGTAGCCGGGCCATAGCCGCCATAGCTGCACTCCAATTTCCGCGCGGAGCAGCTACTGCATGGGAGCCCTCTATCGCACTTCAACTTCTTCTTTCGACAGGACTCGCAGGAAACGGGGTCTTGCCGAGACTGTCTCTTTGAGCCTGGAGTGGTGACTCCAGCATCCGGTTTTCGCTTCATGTTGCCAGTTTTCCCGAAATGGTTCGACAGCAGTTTGAACAGCGAAGGCAAACAAACTTCGCGGCCATCGATTGTTTTGCGCAGGAGACGTGTAGATGTCCGTCCGGAGGCTCCGCGGACTCTCCGAGACGCTAAACCATGTTCGGCCAATTCTGCCTCCGAGCATTACATAGTAGCCCGGAGCCTCCGAGCGAAGTCCTTTACCTTCCAGATGTAATTAATCGGACCTTCTTATAAAGGCCATGGTGCTGCGCAGTAATTTTGGTTCAAACCAGAGCCATTGCATTTTGAGATTGGTCTGCTCATTTCCATGGCCTTGAGTCCCATTGATTGGCATAATGTCACCAAAGGATAATCGTCCAACTGAATACACGTACGTGATATATGCTTGAGGCTACAATATATCTTACCGCTGACTCTTCTAGGGCCCGGGCATGTCTTGTTATATTCGGCGCCTTCACGTGTGCTTTTTGCACAGTGGGATTTATGAACTCGTTCGGTATCTTCCAAGAGTACTATACAAAGAATCAGCTATCTTCAAGTTCAACATCTACCATCGCATGGCTGGGGGCGATAGCAATATTTCTTTTATTTGCTATATCTGTCGGAGCAGGAGCAATGCTGGATATCTTTGGTCCAACGGTAAGGATACTCTTCCTTGATCATTGGGAAAGAAACTAATACTCCATTTGTAACAGCTCATGGTATATGTTGGTTCATTCGGGTGTGTTTTTGCACTTATGATGACTTCACTATGCCACGAGTTCTATCAATTTCTACTCGCCCAGGGTGTCGTGTTAGGTATTTCCATGGGGATGGCTACATGGCCAATGCTCGCATTGGTCGGACAATACATAAAAGTGAAGCGCGCTGCGGCAATGGGGATTGTTCTTGGGGGTTCATCCCTCGGCGGAATTATTTGGCCCATCGCGATCGACAGACTGATCAATGATCCCAACATCGGGTTTCCCTGGACCATGCGAATTGTCGGCTTTATCATGATTCCTTGCCTCATATTCTCATGTGCAGTTGCCAAATCTCCAAAGAAAGCTACGACAAATGTGGAGGGTCGGGATTTGAATCAAGGGAGTGGCGAAAATGCCACCGAACAAAAAGACGTACCGCAGAGTCACAAGGCAGAGGCTCTGGCCCTTTGGCGAAAGCCGTCGCTGCAGCTACTGTGCCTCGCTATGTTCATCATATACTTTGGCATGTTCGCGCCTTTCTTTTATACGACGTCCTATGCGGTTGAGAGAGGATTCTCGACATCCCTAGCATTCTATACTGTTTCCATTGTGAACGGCGCTTCGTTCTTCGGTCGAGTCCTTCCTGGTATCGTGGCTGACAAGTACGGAAAATTCAACTGTTGCATCGTTGCCGCTATAACCTCGGGGATTATTGCGATGTGCTGGACCAAGGTGACATCCGTGGCAGGTCTGGTAATTTGGTCCGCTGCATACGGCTTTGCGTCTGGAGTGAGTTATCCTCAAATGGTAACAACTTCGAATACTGACTAGATTTATAGGGAATTTTATCCCTGCAGCAAGCTTGTGCCGCCCAGGTTGCTACTCCTAACACTCTAGGCTTGGCAATGGGCACTGTGTCAGGTTCCACAGCTCTATCGTATGAGTACCATTTCTTGAAAGGATAATGTGAGATGCTGACACAAACTCCAGTGCTATGGCAAATGTGCCCATCAGTGGTGCTCTAGTTGAAAGATATGGGTATCTTTCCCTGTCAATGTTTTCAGGGGCATCCCTGCTCCTCGGGGGTGTCCTCTTGATTGCTGCGCGCCTGTCACAGAACAGGCAGCTTCGAGCTATCGTCTAATGTTTGGACACCAGTCGAGGTTCCGTCTTTCCTTTCGATACTCTAGCTTATTCCTTCAAAGAGGGAATTTCTAGAAGTACACCCGCTAGTTGTGTCGGGCCTTAGGAGAGGTTGTAATATAGCCCAGGGATGACTGTGGCTCGAACATGGGTAATTTGGATATAGAGTCGTTGTACATTAGGAATAATCTCTGGAACCAAATCTAATAAAGATTTCCTACTTTTACCGAATTAGTTAGTTGAGGAAGTGATAATAAACTCTAGTTTGATGCTGGAAAGGTCGCAGCCTAGAGGTACCCTTTGACTCACTTCCTGACTGACAAGTTATTTTTACCGCATAAACCACATCTTATATAGGGTTGTGATTCTATAAAGGGTCAATCTTGCTTGCAAAATACGTCTTTTGTGTATATCATCTATCATGTTGGTTTGTGTATTTTGCAGTGACGGAATGAAGACAGCCACAATGTTATATGGCACTTGGGCAATCTAATGACAGCCTTTAATTTGGAATATATACAGATAACAAAACCAAGTTTCAACATTCGCAATTTGTCCAGGTCTTTCAAGCAATTGTGAAAATCCGTTCAGCCCGAGGTAACGTGGAGGGGGCCGTTACCGTCATCAACAGGGCAACCGTCGCTGTCGGAATCAAATTCAACCACACAGCTCGAGTCCTGACCAATAGCGATACCAATGAAAGTAGTATCGGTCTGTCCTTTGGCGCTACCGAGGCTGTTTCCATCACCGTCCTTAACCTCGCAGGTGTCAGGGTGGCCTGCAAAGTCAGACTTGCACTTGAACTTGCGTGGGCTTGCCCAGCAGTCGCCCTCGATGGTGAACTCGCGGCCGTCACCGGTGTTGTAACAGGGAGAGTGGTCGTCGGGAAAGGCCTCGTCGTAAACAGCTTCACCGGCCTGGTTTATGATTGCAAAGCCTTTGTAGTGGCCGTTTGTGTTGCCGCCGGCAGGACCAGAAATCGTTGAGAAGTCGCCGCTTGACCAGACGACCTTCAGGCGCTCGGCGTAGACGGTTGTAGAGGTAGCCATCAGGCAAACAAGGATGTTGCGGAGAGAAGGCATGGTTATGTTGGAGTTTGTTGTTCTTGGTGTTCTTCCCTTGTCGATGGCATTTCAAAGGCCTTTTATCCTTGCCCCGAGTTGCCCCCGTGCCCCTGGGAGCTCCCTCCATGCCCAGTCAGATGACACCATGAGGTGATCTACAGTGTTTTGTCTCACTTACCATATTCCAATTGAGGAAATTTCAACGAAGTATCTGCCGTTGACACCCGTAGATGACGGAACGTTGGAAGGCGCTGATAGCTGTCTGCCTTGACTGGCAGACTTGCGGGGAAAGGAAAACCGGGATATGCCGTAGAAACATATAGTGCACACTTTGTACGGAGTAGTTTGATTGGCTTCAGACATTGGGGGCATAAATATGGAGTCAAGCCGTGCAAGTCTGGGCTGCAGATCGTCAAGCTGAAGTGGATAGATAATTGTCCAATTTGGTGGCCGCTAACAATATGATCTACATAGTGATTCGACCTGGATTCTTCAATGATTATCTCGCCCCCAAAGAAATGTCAGCACTAATGCACACTAAAAAAGCAGTGCCAGGTTCGATTTAACTTCTTTTTAGATCCTGATTCATGTTATGACGTCGCTAGCCCATCCCGTTGCATTCCTGTCTCGCCTTTCTCTTGAACGCCTATTTTAATATACTGGAAAAAATGCATTTCTTTGGACAATCTGTGCCAAATTACCCTCCAATGTTGTTTGAGTGATGCTAGTGAGAGTATTACCCGCCTGAATGGCTTTCTTCAAACCCCGAACGGTCGAAGTACTCTGTCAACATTTGAATACCTAGGTATACTGAAGTACCTCTTATATTTCCAGCCATCAAACCCAGTGCAGGCCCATTGAGCATTCAATGTAAGTACTAGCTCCTAATATTTACAGCGGGGGGGGGGGGTTTACATGATGCCATTTGTCCTAATCCTTTCCTGGTGTGATGGGCAAGCAACTACAGCTATATATATTCGTCCCTGGTGATATATAGCGAAGTGCTCTCTACGGGCTATGCTTTTTAACATCCTTGTACATTCTAGGTATTAGTCTACTCCCCTTTGTATTCATTATCTGTTTCGGTTATAACATTCAGAAGAAAGAATGTTCGTTTAAAAAGCAATGTAAGAAGAGCATCCCCAAAAAAAGACACTGCCTTGGTCCAATTAGACCACATTATTAAAACCTTACGCGAACAAGGACAGCGACCGCATGAGCAGTCGGCTATTTCATATACACATACATAAACTGTGTCAGTTGTTGGAAGAACCAAGAGTCTTGCTGAGTTAATTCACCAAAACGAGGGTTCGTTCACTTCCGTTGTGGCCAGGCATCGTACAGTCCCTCAAAGACTGTCACATCGCCGAATGTCGCTTCTCCCTCTCCGTTGTGGAAGAATTTGATTTCAGTCGAGTTGGCGTACCAGGACCTGCATGCTGTTAGCTGTTGACCAGTCTCCAGAAACAAATAAACTTACCGAGCCCAGGTGCCCAGAGCAAAGCGTCCGTTCGCATAAACTTCGAGTATTCCATTGTCCACCACGACGGTGAGCTCCAAAGTCTCAACCTTTTCTTTCCCATTATCCAAGACATCAAAGAGGCGAAGACGACCCGCCTCGTTGTCACTGAGAATTCCATGAGTAGTCTTCGACGCGGCACTTGTGTTGCTGCGGTCGACGATAATAGACTCGTTGGAGAATTGATAGTAGATAGTTGTAGCCTCAAGACCAGAGGACAAGACCTGGAAGCCAGCTTGAATATCGGAGTCGCGAGCGGAGGCAGGGAAGAGATGTTCGCTGTCATAGCGAAGAACTTGCTCGAGGGCGAGGTGTTGAATGGCACCGACCCAGCCTTTGACAGCGTCTTACCAGACTCGACAAAGGACGGGCCGGATGTGAGAGCGCTGTAAGTCTCCCTGGCAAGTGATATTCCCATTGTTTCGAGGTCGACTTGACCGGCACCTTCGCGGGACACGCGCCACGATGTGAACTCCTCGCGCGCCAGCTCGTTATCCACCACGTTGGGGATAGTGCGGATATTCAGCTCTCGTGGCAGCAAGAGGGCGCCGGTCCAGTTTTGTTGAGCGGTAGGGAATCCCTTCGCTAGCTCAAATAGGTCTCCAGTGAGCCAGACGGTCGAAATAAAACGATCGGGGGCACCGCTCTTTTTGGATGCCTGAGAGCTCGCCGGCAAGATTTGACCTGCAGCAGCGTACCCAGAGAGGCCCCAGTCAAGTACACCCGCCATGATTGGCTTGAAGATGACGGAGCCGTCATTTGTGACATTTCCAGACACCCACAGCATATCGTGAATTGAAGAGACTTGGGGAACGACGGGTTGGCCCGAACCCTCAGTACCGAGAGTCATGAAGATTTCGCCGTCCTTGCTGTACCCCTCTGCATTCAGGCTGAAGACATTGCCAACCTCAAAATTGAAGCCCCATCCTCCGGCCCAGTCACCGTTGCCCCAAGTGGTATTGACGGGCTCATTCCACCATTGGCCGAGATATTCCCAGTATTGGAAACCTGCGTCATGCTGACGGTAGAGGAACGAGCAAGGTCCGACATCGTGGACACCGCCAGTGATGGTGATATACCAGGTTCCTTCGGTACTGTTGACAGATTTGTCCAGAATGGGACTCTGGAAAGCGTAGGGGTCACGGAAAGCGGTGATATTCACGGCAAATGGAGGTGCTGGGATAGCGGGGCCTTGGTTGAGCTTGGTGAAGTTGCGTCCACCGTCATAGGAAACGGCCAAGGACTGTGTCTCGCTTCCTCGTGTATAGGGGATGGACCAGTGAATTGGGAGATACGAGACAGAGGTATATATAAGAGTTGGCATACCGTCGATACCGTTTGGAATGACGGAGCCATCAAAGACAGCAAGAGGGTCGTTCTTTCCTCCCGCGATGATTGACGGGCCACCATCGGTATTGAGGTCCTTATAGGTAACGAGATCGTCGGTTGTAGCTGCCGAAATTCCATCGTGAAGCCAACCCACATGGAAAAGACCAGTCTTCGGGTCGGTGTAATGGGCGCACGGATCACCTAGCTTGCCAGACGGAGGCAGGAGATGGGCTCTGGGTCTCCATGTGTCGAAAAGGGATGCATTCGACAAAGTAGAGAGGTTTGGTGGTGCCGAGTTATAGTCGATCTGGGGATTGGCAGCCAATGCCCGGTGGGCCAAACCCACGGTGATTGCAGTTGACAGCTTCATGGTGCAGATCTTGGATAGCTTCATGAGCTTTCCCCGGGATATACGTACTTTTATATGTCTAATATGCCCAAGATAAATTGACCGAGATTAGATGAATATGAGAGCCAATAGAAATAGCATCTCAATCAATATTCCATTAATATGGATCGAGTTGCGAAGTTCATTTCCTCTTTGGATGTAGTCGGCAGATTCCATGAGCCAACGGTAAAACCGCGGGGAAACCCCGGCTGACAGTTTCCCCGATGTAAACACATATTACCCAGTTAGGTAGTTTGAAATGATTCTACTTAATTTGGTTGTGTGGGTTTAAGGGAATATTTTTCATATTCCGTATTAAAGTAGGAGATCTACCTGGGTAAAGAATAGATGTTCTGAAAGTCACTGGCCCGTACAACTTGACTTGATGGTGGCTTCGGGCATTAGGTACCTGGTAGGTACCTAGTAAATGCCTAGTATGTGTCTGGAGGATCAATAAAGCCTATAATGCCCTACTGCAGGTGATAGCATCCACAGTGCTTTGCGTCAATCGCGAATCATGATCGTGTCCGGTGACATATCAATGACCAGAAAGTGTTCCGAGGTTCCGGCGGGATTCACTTTCCCCTGAAACAAAGGAAATTGCTCTGTGACCAGATGAAGAGATATTTCAGCTGTTATTGACAATCCCTTGGGTAACCGTAATCTGTTGTGGCGATCGGTGTACTGGCTCGTTTCCAGATCTCATCGTTGTTGGTTGATACATGTATTCATCGCTCTGTCTTCAAAGCGATACGACACACTCGGCCCGAAGTTTACACCGAAAGCTGGGCCTGGGAGAGACTGCTCCGACAAAAAGAGGACCAGTCAGCGGGTACTATACCTACCTAAGTAGGTACCATGTCATTGTCGCGTTTGGTTCATCTGCATCCCGTATCGGCAGCTCCACTCACCTACTTCGAATGCCTTATAAGTCCTTTTCTTCTCGCTGTTATAGCTGGAATAATGGTCATTAGCCGTAGTGGGAAGGCACGTTGACATTACCACTCTACGGCAATATAGGAAGGCAGGAGAAAAGCATAAGTACAGAGGAACGGTGGGGTACCAACGTGTTTTAATTCACATAATGCCAATTCCCTGCTGTTGGTACATGTATCCCGATCTATTTCTACTCCGTCGGGATCCATGTAAACAATTTCAGAATATGCTCACTGCCACAAGCAGCAGCAACATCTAAACTGGTACGCTGGCGTGCATCCTCGGCCATAGGATCAAGTCCTCGGCTCATCAGAATCATGAATCGCCGGATCACATTGCCCGGGGATTTTAGTTTCGCTGTTACTTGCCTTTTTAGAGGCTAATAAGTGAAGCAACGAGGACCCTGCATTTTCTTGTGTGAGGAAGTCGGCTCCAGCTTCCTCAAAAAAGTCGAAGACGGTCTCGGTGAGGTCATCCTCCTTCTCGTCAAAATCGTAATCACAGTGGTAATTCGGAGCAACCACACCATGCTTTATATATTTGAAGACAGGTTTGTCGCCCTGTGGCTCCGAGTTGATATCCACAACCGCTTCCAGGAATCGCTTAAAGTGAGCCTGCGTCTTGGGGGTGAGCGGGTGGACGCCAGCAGCGAGCAAAAGTGTGGCCACTGCAGCATGATTTCTTCTAGCTGCCAGATGTAGTGAGTTGTATTTTTCGGTTTGTTCTGCGTTGGGGTCAGCTCCGTTGTCAAGCAAAAGTTGTACCACGTCATGGTGACCGGAACTGGCAGCCCAGTACAAAGGTGTATTTTGGCACGCATCGCGCTCTTCTATGCTATTTCCTCTCTCAAGCAGATGTGCAGCATATCCAGCTAAGCCAGCCCAAGCAGCCTCATAAAGCGCGGTGAGACCCTTGGTTCCCCTTGTCGGCCATGTCATAACTCGCCAAGCGGTAAACACTCGCCTCTCCGCAAGAAGGTTGTCAAGCATCGTATAGGCAAGTTCCATGTCTTCACCCTCTAAGACTGCGTGACGGATGCGAATGTACCACTTATGCGCTGCACATTCCACGAATGGAAAGCGAAGTTTCAGTTCTCTTTGCTCGTCACCTTGTCGGCGTAGATCCCTTTTATGGACGGATTCTTCCATTTTGTTGACCAACCAGGCAGTCAGACCGGGGATAGTCCAAGCACGCAATGGTTAAGCATCTGTTTGTTGACCCGGGTTGAAGGATCGGATATGTCGTAACATCCGACTCAATTGAACGGGTGACTTTCAAGAACTCGGTGAATGAGTGGTGAACGACCGAGACCGTCTCACGGGGAAGAATATCGAGCAGCGGGCCACAAGCGGCCCGAACCAAGGCTTTTGTCTCTTTCAGACTGCGATCTGTCGTTGGACCTTGCACACATTTCGCCGTTTCAGAGATCTCGAGAATACGGAGTGGGCGTGTGGCGTGGGTGACAAACTGCAATACAATATAGTTGTAGATCATTGGGAACAGCCGACGGTATTGCATGTTGGTGCAACATCATTGTACATAACATTCAAGTCAGCCGGTAGCACCTTGAGCACCTCATGCATAGCGATGCTCCAGCGTAAGGTTCGCGTTAACAGGTATCTGGCACCTGCTGCGAGTGTGACGAGTGTGACCAGGCGAGGGCATGATAGCGGCAATTTGGGAATTGTCAGCTGATATGGCGGGACACGGGGTATTTCGTCGCGAAGTTGCCTAGGTTAAGTTCTCACGGGCCAGAAAATTAGTAGAAAATGTAAGGTGGGTAGGAAATCATGAATTTGGGTGATGAGAGAGGGAGAGAGGAAGGAAGATCCACGCTGGGTGGAAGATCATATCCGCCTTGGGCATAAACGCTCCACATGAACATGTATAGATCAGATCGTAGCATTCAATTTGGTTCAATCCCATGCTTAGAAAAATATATACATCGTTTCCAAAATATCCTAGCCCAAGAATAACCCCAACCAGATATCCATACACACATTCAATCATAACATGAGCCAACAAGCCTAAATCTTATCCGAAGAGTACAAACGAATAGGCACGCCAAGATCATGCGACATCGTCAGGTTAGATAGCTTAATAGGCTCCTCTCGAGGATGAGGGTCCGCGTTTTCGAGGGTATCGAAGCGCTGCATCAGACGAACGACGGTGTAGCTTGCCTCAGTGAGAGCGTATTGTTCTAAGTGATTGATTGTTAGCCATTTGGAGTGTTCTTCGATTCCGTCCGGGAAAGGACAAGGATATGCACAACTTACGTCCAAGACAGATGCGCGGGCCGCCATTGAAAGGAAGGTATTCCCAGCCATGCTTCGCGTTTTCCTCCCAGCGCTCGGGCCGGAAGGAAGTCGCGTCCTTTACCCCGTAGATCGGTCCGGCGGTGCATAGCGTAGACGCTGTAGGCAACCATCGTGCCCTTCTTGATATAGACCGGGGATTGCTGGTCAGCGCCACCGCCGACTGGTAGGGAGGTGTCTTTTGTCGAAACGCGGAAGTTGACAGGGACGGGAGGCTGGAGACGAAGAACTGGATTGGAGTTAGTTGGATAAGTATTCACTGACAGAGTGTACCAGTATCGACCACAGCATCGACTCACCTTCATTCAACACATATCGCAGATAAGGAATATCCTTCAACTTGGTTTGAGTCATTTCCGACCGCGGGTTCTTCGCATCTCCGAACACCTCCACGATCTCGCGGCGCAGCCGGTTCCACACGTTAGGGTGACGCGAAAGGTAGAAGAACGTCGAGCTTAGCAGACTGGCCGTGGTATCGCGACCAGCCAATAGAATATTGAGCATGTTATCGCGTAGCATTTTGGGGTCATCAGTGTCGGCCGCCAGTGCTTCGAGGAAGATATACCGACCGTCGATCTTCTTTTCGGGGTCACGTTTCGACTCGAGAGCGAGATTGACATAGTGATCGACGACTTCGTGAACCTGTCGACTTGCCTCGCGGAATTCCTTGGGATTGACAACCCAGTACAGACCCTGGGCGCGACTCCGTGCAGCGAGATAATCCTGAGCGGTTCCAAACGCGTGGGCGAAACCTTGTGCGCTACCGACGGCACATTTTTCCAACACGCCTGTCTTCCCCGAGGGGAAGCATGCACCCTACCGATTCCCCAAATAGGAAGTGCGTTGCCGAGTCTAGGGTCAGCAGGAAAAATAAACGTTGGATGTCGAAACTGCTTCTGTCCTTGGGGATAAGGTCGATCAAGTTGGAGATGTGATCATCTAACATAGAAAGATCGGCGACCTGTATCTTGTGTCAATGAAGTTTGCAATCCGACATATCGGAGAGTTTACCTGGTCTCTAGTGAACTGCGGGCGTAATAATCCGCGCGCATGAGACCACCCCGCACCATCGAGAGTGAAGATGCCATCGCCCAGGAGTGGGTAGAATTGCTGGTGTCGTGTTCCAAGAGAGAAATCTTTGAATTGGGTAGCGAGAATTGCCTTGACATTTTCAGGCTCGATAGTGGTGATTAGATTGCGAGAGAGGAATGTCTGTTTGTAGGTATTTCCATAGACAGTATATTCGTTGTAGAGATGCTCGATCCAGCGCTTTTCACGAACAGCCTTGGTCAATCGGGTAAAACCTGGAATACCGAAGAAACCTGAGGAGCCCGAACGGGCAGGCTTGCAGTGTAGGGCTTTGGATTGTTTACGGTGGTGATGTAGTTGTGCGAAGTAGCGTACGACCAAGAAGGCCACAGACAGCGCACCAACCAAGGTAACTGTAGGGCTGGACAACATTTTGTCTGTATCTACATGAATTGAAAGAAAACGAGCAATTAAATATGTGAAATGGAAATTTAATTCACAGAATGCTATATGTCCATGGCCTCGGTAGAGCTCCACGTGAGAAAAGACGGGAGGGATCGCAAGCTGATACAAAAGGGGAATAGTGTCAAAGGGAGAAAATCAAAAGTCAAAATGAGTCACGATATCCGTTGAACGTTGAACGTTGAATGTTGTCAAGGTTTAACGAGTCTTGGCTTTGAAACATCCAAGCCACTCTTTCAATGCCGTTTGAAAATATCCCCGAGAAATCGCCCCAGGTACAAAGGCCGTGCGGAAATCAAAGCAGTGCTCCGCCTTCTGCATGATATAGCCGAAGATCGTATTTTCCTCCGTCTCCACATTGCACTTGGGGATCTCTGTCGTCAGAGCCACACCTTGTGGGGCTAACCGTGTGCCCGCGGCGAGGGAGACAAAGTCCGCCACGGATCAAACTGGCCGCCGCTCCAGTAAACGTTGGACGGACGAATAGACCATCCGCCGGTCTCCGCATTGGTCGCCTCGATCTGCGGGTGTTTGGGGAACAGACCCTTCTCAACAGCCTCCGGGAAGAATCTGTTGCAATATTCCTGCGCATATTCGAGTGTCTGATATTTTGACAGCAGCGAGTGAGCTCCAAAGTTGTTGGTCTGGAAGTAACCCCATTCAGTGCAGTACTGCCATGTCCAGCTGATGGTGTCTGGATCGGCGGATGGTGGCCCCAGATCGCACTCGAGCGCTTCGCTGGTTTCAAGTTTCTTGCAGTTGGTCTTCATATTCATATTCACTACCTGCGTGAAAACCGGCCACGATGCATATCGCTCCGCAACATACTTCTTCCCCGGGTCGGAGCGAATCCTTCTGGGGGCGCCGCTGCGCTAGTCTTCGGGTCGGTCTCCATGTGTTCGCAGAATGACTCCAGGCTGCCCACACCACCTCCCATACCATATGATTGGAAAAAGTTGTAAATCGTCCCGAGTGCGGCAGTGAAATCACCGTTGCTGTTCTTTTCGGCGCCTTCACCGAAGAATTCCCGCTTGATGGCTGCTGCGGCCGATTCGCTCTTGGAGAGTTGCTCGTCGATATACTCCAGTGCAGCCTTGATGTCCCTGGTGCAGTTCAAGTGTCCATATGTAACCATGCCGTCATACACCTGGTCAAAATAGACACTCATGTCGATTCGTGCTTCGACAGGGGCGGACGAAGCGAAAGAAGCGTAAATAGTATCGGGATACGATTGACGGGTAAACGCCGCTCGCATGCCAGCGTACGAGCCTCCGACCATGACCCATGGTGTTCCAGCTGGGGTCAGGTCCACATCACTGTAATCTTTGCGAGTGAATTTGGCCGCAAAGTATGGTATGTCTGCCAGAGCCTGTTTATTGTTGAGGTACTGGAGATGTTCAGGCTCCATATCCAGGCTGACGTTGTAGGGAAGAGAATCCCCATAGTACCTGGTTTTCGTTAGTTGAGCCCGGGCTTTCACTGGGGAGAGGACACAAACCGATGCTCCCAAACGATACCAATTCCACCGAACTCTTTAACCAACTGATAAAAGAACGTGCTCGAATTGCTTAGATAGGTTTGCCCCGCAGGTTCCGCGGTTGATTCGCCCACATCAAACACGAAGACCGGTCCGCCCTCCTTGTAATGCGCTTCGGTTACCCAATAGCGGTTCCGATAGTGGCCAACCGAAGAGTTGCTGTGGTCAATTGGGAGCTATAAATTTTCAGCATTCATCACCGTCTTCGACATTGGGAAGCATAGACACATACCGAAACATACTCTGCCTCAATGGTCGCATCAAGCTGGGAGTTGGTAACATCATGCACCGTGGTCTTTTGACCCAGCAGGATATCCGGATGAATTCCCAGCTCAGCGGAAAGCTTCAGATCGCGCTTGAACTGCGATGTGACAATTCCTGTAGCTGTACCGGACAGCGCAGCCAGGGTTGCAATCCCCTTAATCATAGTTGAAAAATGCATACTGAGAGTGCCTTGGGAGTCTCTCAAAACCCCAGCCTAGGACACACGGATACAGAACAGTTTTGGATTATCTCACTGCTGGGTCCCTTATGGAATATATATGGATGCATTACAGAGATAGGTAACCATTGGGAAAAATGGACTCAAAATCGGGGTACACTTATTACCCCGAGAACAATATGATAAGAACAATATGGTTGCGTTTGTGACAAGGCTGCAGTCATCTAGAACATCAAATGGACTGTGGATTCGGACCTGATAGGATGATGAGTGGACATCGTTAGGCACACCCGAGACATGACCGTCGCGTGCGGCCAGTGAGTGAATGACCGGGCGAAGTGACAGTCTTATTTCTAGGCATTTTTGGAGTTGAATGTAACCTACCTAGCACAACTTGAGCTGTATGTCTCGAATTAATTAGACTGTTACCGCATTTACCCCTCGTTTTTTACAGCTATCGAGCCTTTCCTGCGGTCAATTAATTGTGCATTGCATTAGTGAAGTGTTACTCCCTGCTAGCTCAATACTGACTATCACTTCCGGATTAGGCAGGAATGCGACAGATTCAGCGATGAAATCCTGAGATCGATGTTTGTCGAATTCGATTAATTGAGTTCCTCTTAATACTTACATAGAAACACACTTCCGCATCTGGTTTCACCTAAAAACAGGCACCACGCGATGTCCTTGTCCTATACCTGGGGGTGGATCCCGAGACCTGGTGTCAAAGGCAAGTCGATCATTGGCTATGGAGAAAAGCAACGATCAACCGGACTCCGAACAATAGCCGGAGCTTAGTATTGTTGTGAGCTAATTGTTTAATTAGCTTCGCCATTTCTCTACTGCGTATTCAATTCATGCCTTGTCTCGGGCTCTCACAATCGTGTCTGGAAACGGTAGGAGTTGTGGAATGTTGATCTGGAATGTCTACCTACGTACGGCCAGGTGGAAAGAAAGTCCTAATTTTGCGCTCATCGTAGAAATACACATGTGCCTTGAATTGACATGGAAGGTTTTATTCCACGCGCTTTTCTTCTCGGAGTTCCGGGAGCCCCGTCAACTGCCCAGGACAGGTGTCTCCTCCCCCTCTTTTCCTCTTTTCCCCCTTTAAATCATCATGTGACACGTGGGGTTGCTCTGTGGAATATACCAAGCCTACATATGTAAGTAGAGCAATAGTTGTACAATGTTGCCATGATGAATACTGCGTGGGTTTGTGGTCGATTTGTGGGGTGACTAGAGCCACGGGTATCATAATATATAGCCAAGTCGTCTAACTTAAGCTCGAGTTTAACATAACCTAAACTTCGATATTCCATGAACTATTCATTCTCGGAGACTAATACATGCTTCTATCGACTTTGTGTAAGGTTGTACAACAGCTCCTGTCTCGTAGACAATGGACACGGCGGGACGGAGTACAGGCCAGGCATATATATATCGTCTGTTATAGCCAACTATCAACCTTCGAACCCATCACTATTCGGAGAGTAATGACGACAGATAAAGCCACACTTGGAACACATTTTGAGCAAGAGAAAGAAAGACCCCCTTGCATCCCAAAAGGGAAGGTCAAACGCGGCCTCTCGGCTCGCTTTCCGCCTATATCACTTCCCATCCCATCGCTTTCCACCAGGCTTCTCGGCTATGCAAATCGGACTCGGCCCGAGCTGCGAATATTTCCCAAGGTTCTGCAGAGTCTGACGATCTGCTAGAACTAGGGACGTCAACCTTGTTCTATGAAGGGTAACTGGCGTCCAGCACTTCGGCCAAGTTTCCAACTCTATGACCTGCCATCGTATAAAGCCATGGCATCTGACATAAACAACACCCCCTCTTTCCTCATTATCGTGTCTTCCTAAATGACCGCCATCTAGTGAACCAAAAACCATGTCGCAATCATGTCGCTTGCAAGACAAAATAGCCATAGTGACTGGGTCCTCATCCGGCCTAGGACGAGCGATCGCTATCCGCTATGCCCAAGAGGGCGCGAAAGTGGTCTGCGCTGATCTGACACCAACTGCGCGATCCCAAGAAGAGGCTGATATCACGACGCACGGTCTGATTATTAGAGACGGTGGGCAGGCGACCTTCGTGCGGACGGATGTTGGCGACGCAACGCAGATGGAGGACCTGGTCCAGGTCACTGTGAAAGAGTATGGACGACTGGACATGTATGGAAGCCCGGCAAGAAGATCTCGAATAACCCATCTGACGACTCCCCTTAGTTTGGTCAACAATGCTGGCATCAGCATCGAGGCACAGACGCCTGCTGTACTCCATCTGACTGACGAGGCGACCTGGGATACAACGATGCGTGTCAACGCCAAGTCTGTGTTCCTGGGTAGTAAGTATGCTCTAACTCAAATGTTAGCGCAGGAACCTCATTCTTCCGGCGATCGGGGCTGGATCATCAATATCTCTTCCATTATGGGTATGATTGGTGGGCCGGAGAATCGTGAGTTTGACTCCTCGGCCGTTGGATCTAAGCTGATACTTGAAGTCAGCATCGTACTGTGCATCAAAGGGTGCTGTGAGTAATCTCACGAGGCAGATGGCTCTGGATTACGCGCCTGCGAACATTCATATCAATGCCATTTGTCCTGGCTGTAAGTCAGCTAATTTGATTGTCCAGATTCTCACTGACAAATGCTTAGACACACAAACGGCTATCTTCAAGGAGACAACTACTAACTTGACTCCGTGGGAAGACCTGAAAAGGCGCCATCCGCTGAAAGGACCTGGAATGCCGGAGGATATTGCCCGCATGGCTGTTGTGCTGGCAAGTGATGACGCCAGCTGGGTGACTGGAGTTTGTCTTCCGGTCGACGGCGGATATACTGCTCGTTAGGCAGTTGACCTTCTTACATATAACATCCCTTATATTATCTTGAGTCACATAAATCGGATTATCGAAGACCTTCGTCGCCAAGGACAGAGGCCATGAGCGGTCAACTACCCTTGTTTATTTAAATTCGGAGAACATAATGTAGACCGTAGGTTACAACAGCCTTGGACGAGCATCAGGGGTGCACTCTGGCTCTCTTCGTTAAGAGATAGCAGCAGCCACTCCCTCTTCCGAGAACTACGCTGATAAAAGCACCTCCATGGACCGTAATTCTAGGACTAAGCAAAGGAATGGCCCGCAATCCATCGTGTCAAAATGTCAAATGCCACATCACCGCGGTCCTGAGGAAGCTATTATAACCATTAGCATGTATTCAGATTAACATGTCTCCGAATTGTTGGACTCACTAAATGACCCGCCCCGTCAACCGTCACAAATGCAAATCGCGATGCCTCTGCCTGGCCGTCCAACTGCATACGCACCTCTTTCGCGGTACCGACCGTTTCGTTACGTCCCGCGACATTTGATGTCCAAGGAAGCAGTGGCTTCGATGTAAATTCAGCCTGTCCCTTCCAGGCAAGCGAGTTAGCCCACCGCAGGTTTCCTGCCGTGTTGCAAGCTAAGTCAAGGTTTCCTTGGTAGGCCAGGAAATGCACCCCATTAGCAAGGAGGAAAATGATATGGTCGGATGAAGATGTCATCGCTTCCGGCGTGGTCGCAAAGGCGTCAACCACGGCGCTGGACTCGAGTCCGTACTCCTTAGCCCCTTCCGGTGGCGAGAGTGCCTCCCGGACCGTAGGGGAGTTCAGATACTGCTCGATATAAGCGGCTTCTTTGTAGCATATTTCATCAATATAGCACGGGGCTGTGACTGTTGATTTCCTTGGTTAATTATATAGTGGCCCCTTGGTAGTATACTGATAGGAAGGACTCACTGTCGAACCGGTTACGGGCTCCCTTCTTGCTCTCGTCCTCGTACAAACCAATGATCCCTTTATAGCAAACGGAATACGCAGCCGTGCAGATCGCAAGGTCAGGGCTTCTGGCGCAAGTGTCATAGACTTCCATACATCGCGGCATGTTGGCAGCTATGATATCGCATCGTGTCTGGTTGAACACGGGCGTGGAAACGCCGGGATTGGTCGTGCATAGCGTCTCCCAATATCCGAAGGTGATGTCCTTGGATGACATGAAGCCATTACCTACCAGGCATGACTTAAGGTTGATCTGGGGCTCTGAAGGATATAGCTGGTTGCGAGTCACAATCTCAGCCCCGAGATAGGGGATGTATTTTCCCTAGAGGTGTCAGTAGTGCATGCAAAGTGATATGGGGCGGGGCGAGTCTTACTGCATAAGATTCACCGGAGAGATGGAAATCTGAGGAGCGTTTGTGGGGGAAAATCTCAGATACGAAAATTTGGAGAAAACGGTGCATGTCAACCGCGGCCTCTTGGGAATCGCGCGCGACCTCGAACCCCTCATCAATATACGACCAGCCCACATCGGCTGGCTGGTCCACGAAAAGTAATGAGGAGTTTCGAGACCAACCCCATGCATTGTGAACGGTCCCATTCCCGTGTTCATTTATGAGACACGGCCCGTTTTCTTGGAACAGACCCATCATACTCGAGCTCCCGGGCCCACCATTCATCCACAACGTTAGTGGGTCGGCGACGGGATCATTCTGACTTTCGAAGTACCAGAAGAACAAATGCTTCGGGCCAATATCTAGCCATCCTGTGTACTGCGCGGAGCCTGCGGCACATATAGACTCATCTTGTTGTCGGATGCGTATTGAATGGGGTGAATTTGTACTTCGAAAGGTGGTAAAGTTCGCCAAGGGCTCTGGTCGGAGCACGGTCTGCGAGGCATGGCCCACGCTGATTAGGGCGGAAAGCCAAAATTTCCACATTTCGGTGATAAATGAGGTTTTTCTAGGGACAACGTGAACAATGGCAAAGCTTCTTTTATAATTGCTGTCGGTCAGTGTCACATTGAAAAGTCGGAGTTCGGAGTTCGGGCCAAGGTAATATCTGCTAGCTCTAAAAGGCTTAGAGCGTATCCCTTTTTTTCGCCAGGCATTATGCGCGTATATTGATAGCGTGTTTGAACCAATCATCCGTCAGATCTGCGAGGTTCCAGACCTAGAAATCTCCAGGGCTCTCCCAGGATGATATCGTCAGTGGATAACATTCGCCTTAGAAAAAGCAGAGTGAAGGTTCTGCCTGCGATTTTACCCACGGCCAGCACCGAGCGTGCTACGCCATAAATTGACTCGGAAACCGTGTCGCTTGTTTCGGACTCACCACTCTTCGAGCTGCCACAGTTCATAGATCGGGTTGTGGCATTTGGTGGGGGGGGGGATGACTCTATGAGAAGGCACGATGAGACATAGTCAAAGAGGAAGGACGGGGAAGGAAGCAAAAACTTAGGAAGGGTACTACCCAGGTAGTACATGCCTTGGTATTTCACTTCAGCGACAATCTTGAACTTTTACCGAGTACTCCTGAGCTGACAATAATAGTGAGCCTCCAGGGCTCTATCTCCGTCCCTTCATCCAAATGGGGTTAAGGTATTGTGGGCCATGGTAAAGTCCGGCCAATTAGCACTCGCAAAACACCAGCTGGACTCTGTTTACTAACCGGATATGGTTAGTGCGCTGTCAGCATCAGCCGCATACATAAACATTCATGGATTGGGTTCTCACGGACTTAGGCATTCGGAACGGACTAAATAAATTAGATATATATAATCGAGGTTTTCTCGCTCTTAGTTTCAAGTTCAACCATCAATTCCAACGATTTCCAAAATGCATCTTATTCTCACAGGGGCAACCGGGCTAGTCGGGTCTTCAGTGCTCGACGCCATGCTCAGAAACACAGCAGTCTCCAAGATCTCGATCCTAAGCCGAAGCCCCGTGCGAATGGCAGAAGATGCGAAAGATCCACGTGTGCGCGTCATCTCCCACACAGACTTTGAATCATACAAGCCAGAACTGCTCGATCAATTGAAAGATGCAGATGGATGTGTTTGGGCCCTAGGAACAAGCCAGACCAACGTCACCGAAGAGTACGAGATACCCCTCCTTTTATCTCCTTTTATTGCATGAATATCAAAACTAACGATTAACAGGCAGTATGTTAAGATAACCAAGGATTACACCCTGGCAGCTGCCAATGCGTTTTCCACAATCAAGCCATCAAACCATCCTTTCCGATTCATCCATGTATCTGGTGAAGGAGCCACCCAGACTCCTGGACGATTCTCACCAATTTTTGCGAGAGTAAAGGGCAACACTGAGAAGCTTCTTGGAACACTATCAGAGTCAAAGCCGACCTTCCGGGCCGATAGTGTGAGGCCTGCATTTGTTGATCCTGCGGCGCACGATGCCATCAAACCGTATATTCCGTCAGGTGGAGCGACTGGGATAGTCCCAAATCTTGGATTGGCTTTGCTTGCCCCGGGGATACGCTGCTTTGTGAAGTCGATGCATTCTCCAACGGAGCACCTTGGGTCATTCTTGACGGAAATGGCGATGGGACGCTATGACGCGAAATTGGAGGGCCCAGGGACATTTAGACTAGGAGGAGGTTATGTTGTTGGGAACTCTGCTATGCGGAGAATTTTGGAGCTGTGAGCGTGCAACGGAGAGTTATGTGAGGAACGGCTCGATATGGATGATATTTAATAATGCATTCTTAGAAAGACCCCAAACGACTACAAGGAATAGTATCAAAAAGGAGTTGACAAAGGCGCATAAGCGGCCGACTATTTTTAGTACAGTATATGAATTCGAGACAAGCGTGTATTAGTCTTGAACCTTAGAATGAATACATATGTATTCGCCAACTACTCCGTACGGTGAAACCAGTGAGGTCTGCCAATCAAAAGGAAACGAAAACTTCGCCCTTTATTGATATGAGGCCAGGGCGATCTTGACCCGGAAGGGAAATATTTGATAAACATGTTGATACCGCACCTACCAGCTGAGCCTATTGAGCCCCATTTCCGGCAGGAAGACGTCAACAAGCGTAACAACATGTCAAGGATTCGCGCTTGATTTGCACTCACCAACGTGATATTGTCCTTTGTTAACACAACATAGGACAGATTGCGAATTTTTTTTTTCATCCAATCAACCCTATGTTATCGCGGAGACAGGACGCACAGGATGTTGATCTCAACCTATAAAGGTGACCCAATAGATAATTCTCCTCGTCTGAATAAGAAATCTCATAAAGGAACCTCCTAATAGCTTATTTATAAAATATTGCCACTTTTGCACCCATTAGAAATATAAATAAAGAGACGAACGGCTCCTATCTTTCAACCTCACACCGCATTACATTTCTTCTACGCACGATGAAGTACTTCCAACTTGGCAGCATCCTTGCTCTATGCAGCATTGTTTTGGCAAACCCAATTCCAGATGCCTCGCCTGATATTCTCGGGTGTGGACATGAAGGACGGCCAATGAAACCGCTTGCGCTGAGCCCCGAGTGTGCCTGGTAAGACTGGTTGCCTTGCTCTGTACCAGAGCAGATATCCTCGGAGAAAGACATGTAAGTCCCGGGCTAAGTTCTTTCCTGGCGGTTTTATCTTAGGACATTAGCTTACTCTTCCGTTAACTAGCGTGCTTCCGAGCATGCCTGACCAACCTGTGCGGTCCAGCCTCCCTTCGGGGCTTGCTTTCTCTTTGGGATGAATATACTTCGGTTGGAAATGCTGGGCTGGGACTTGTTGTGATTTGTGGCTTCTGCTATTTTGACTATTTTGTAACAGCTTATTTTGTGTGATCCAATATCTCGGTGAGCTCGCACTCCTTTGTTGACTATGTGTACGATCGCTGGGATTCTTTTCAATATTGGTCTTCCTCGAGCAATCGCTAACTCCATATAGTACAATATTTGTGACCCCTTCATATCACCATGTCCTCCATTTGTAGGATCCAAGGGAAATATCCACGAAAGATTATATCGACCGAGCAAATTTCAGCGCATGTTTGCTTTGGGCTGGCTTCTGTGCACCTTTTAAGATGGTCACTATATATCCAGTCAGCCCCTTCTTTTCTTTTCTTTTTTTTTTTACCATTTGAAAGTTTTGGTGAATGCACTAAACATGTCCCAGATTAATATTCAATTTACCGTCAGTCTCGGCCTTTCGGGAGAAGGTCGTCCGCACTTCGGAAACTGGAATGATTCTTCATCGGATTAAAGTGACCGGGAAATTTACCTATTTAGGAGAAGATATTCATCCAAGCACCAAGATGTTTCAAAGCTCTGATTCTTCCTGACAGAAATCAATGGTATACGAGCGTACAGGGTAAAATCACAATGGTAAAATTCTCTAACTAACTAAAAACAACAATGGCCCGTATTTGACAATCTGGTAGGACACATAATTAGTAAGCAATTTGCATAGTCTAAAATCACATGATTCAATGGTATTGGACTCGGTAATCCAGGTAATCGGTCTGTTTTCTGACACTTCCATTAGTGCGCCCCCTGGCATTGAAACAGCCATCACCCCCACACGGAGTTATAGGGGGTCTTGGCAAGGCTAACTGTGGACGGGGAATCTCCAGAAGCTGGCTTGTGCTTATTTTTTACCTACCTTTCCGTCGAGTCGACAGACTGTCCGTTCCTGGAACGGAAATCATCCAGCTGCCAAGGAGCCAGAAACGCCACGCATTGGTGGAACTACGAGTAAATTCACGGACTATGGTGGAATGAAGCTCCAGCTCCCTATCAAATCTCCACCTCCCAACATGCAGCATGCAGCGTTTCAAATTGAGAAATAAAAGTTCTCTCCTATAATACGCTGCTTGTCTGCCCTTTATCGTGTATTCTGGACACCAGCAGTTTTCTCTATAGCGCACGTTGGACATGATGTTTTTCAAGTCCGTGGCCATTGCTTCGCTGGCCCTTTTGGCTAAGCAGGCATCCGCGGCCTTCGGGATCACGACTAGCTCTGATTCCTATGTGATCGATGCTGGCTCCTCAAACCCCCTCAAGTTTACTGTCAGCCGGTCAAGCTGTGACATTACTTCAATCAATTACTATTCAGCTGAGCTTCAATACCAGTCGACTGGGTCTCATATCGGATCGAGTCTTGGTAGCGCAACTGTGTCTGCGACTCAGAGTGGTGAGTTGAGGAACAAGATGTTTCTTGGAAAATGCCCTGATCAATATAGGCGACTACATCAAAGTGACCTGCGAGACGTCCACCTTGACACATTACTATGTTGTCCGCAAAGGGGATTCCACCATCCACATGGCGACATACACAACTGAAGGTTAGCAGTCTTCCTGCTCAAGCCTTGCTCTGTACTCATTATCATGTTCAGAACCCAGTATTGGAGAACTTCGATACATCGCGCGCCTGAATGCAGATCTGCTCCCCAATGAAGAGCCGTTCGGCGATGTTTCTACTATTGCCGGTGGTACTGTTATTGAGGGCGAGGATGTGGTAAGTTACCCCTGAAGCCTTCCGTTCTTATTGGTATTGTCAACTAATAAATGTAAGTTCTTGGTTGATGGAGAAACTCGCAGCAAGTTCTACTCTAGTCAACGGTTTATTGATGACAACATCCACTGTAAGAACACCTCTACCCTGTTTAATTACTCCTCATCATAACACAGACAGGTGTCTCTGGAAGCGCACACCGGGTCTGCATGATCCTGAATCAATACGAGACGTCCTCTGGCGGGCCTTTCCAACGGTAACCTTCTCGGTCAGCATGACTTGATCCAAGCTAATATGCACCAGCGATATCAACACCAACAATGTCGGCTCTTACACTGGCCTCTACTGGTACATGGTATGTAACATACTGAGGCTCCACTAATATCAAATAACAGCTGCTTACTCTGTACAGAACTCCGGACACGTTAAGACCGAAGACTTCCGCCAGGGCTTGCACGGCCCGTACTCGATGACCTTCAGCCGGAGCGGTACCCCCAGTTCCAAACTTGACACATCGTTCTTTGCCGACCTCGATATCAAAGGATACGTCCCCACATCTGCGAGAGGCTATGTTAAGGGGACTGCGTCCGGGGCCGACTCGGCTTTCAAATGGGTGGTTCACTGGTAGGTCCAATGAACATTACAATAGGATAAGAAAATATCTAAAACAAAGACAGGCACAACGATGCCGCACAGTACTGGACCTACGCTTCGTCTTCCGGGGATTTCACCTCCCCCGCCATGAAGCCCGGCACTTACACCATGGTATACTACCAGGGTGAATATCCCGTTGCCACCTCGGAGGTGACCGTCAGTGCCGGAAAGACCACATCGAAGAGCATCTCCGGCTCCGTGAAGACCGGAACAACAATCTTCAGGATTGGAGACTGGGACGGGACGTAAGTGCATTGATTTCAAGTCCACACAATCGTTCTAATATTGACTGCTCATAGACCAAACGGCTTCCTCAACGCGGCAAACCAGCTCCGCATGCATCCCTCCGACAGCCGCATGTCTTCCTGGTCCCCAGCCACCTACACAGTGGGCACCTCTAAAGTCTCATCTTTCCCCATGGCTCTCTTCAAATCGGTGAATTCACCTGTGACAATTAAATTTACCGCAACTTCGGATCAGACCGGAGCTGCGACGCTGAGAATTGGCACAACACTTGCCTTTGCCTCTGGCCGGCCCCAGGTTAAGGTATGTTAAAGCCACATGCGGCATCTTCCGGATATTGGCATTCATCTAACGCCCTACATAGGTCAACAGCTATTCCGGTCCCACTCCGGCTGCCCCGACTAACCTCAACTCCCGCGGTGTGACCCGCGGCGCGTACAGAGGTCTCAGGCGAGGTTTACGATGTTTCAATTCCGGCTGGAACTATCGTCGCTGGATCTAACACTGTAAGGACCTCTTGAACATAGTCAGATGATACGATGCTAATGCGGCTTAGATCACCATCAGCGTTGCTTCTGGTAGCTCTGGAGACGAATTCCTGAGCCCGAACTTTGTGAGTATCTTTCTGACCATCTCGTCCTTTCGATGGAAGCTTACCTATATCGATAGATCTTTGATTGCGTGGAGCTCTTCCAGTAAATATCCGAGGCAATAATTGTGAGTCATGGGAAGCAGAGCGGAAGAGATGTTCTCGAAGTAGCAAGAATGCGAATGACAGTCTCTTAACCAATATCACTTAACTTTCTAATACCGGTGGATGCCCCTAGAAGGTAAATAGTAACACTGAGTATCAAAGGAAATGTGGTAAATCTAGAATTACACTCTAAAATTGAAATGGCATGCGTAGAAGTGAAATCTAAATGCATATATACAACAGCCACCCCTCAAACTCTTGAATGGACCAACCTCCCCCCAACCCAGACAGCCTTCACATTCCGATCATCGCCACTCCAAACCCACTTCTGAATCTTCTCCTCCCAACTCTCTGTCCCGAACAGATCAACATTCCCCACGGGACCCGATTTCACTAGGTCCGCAGTACCGTCGCCAGGAACAAAATCCAGCGGACTCTTCTTCCCCAGCTTGACCCCACCAAGCCGGATCAACTGCACATCCCACAACATCTCCTTATCAAACCCACCAAGGTCATTCGCCATATCAACAACCGCCGCGCCACCGCGCGTAGCGAGGTAAAGACTCTCGGGAACAGACAGTTTCTCCCGTCCATCAGATCCCTTCCCATCCACGCTCCGAGGATGATCCCTCTGCCACGCAGCAGATTGACCCAATAAGCGCGAAGCAAGACAGGCTTGTCGCGCCGCCTCAAGGATACTAGGACTATATCCCCCACTAACATCCGTCCCCAGCCCAACCGTAATTCCCTCATCAAGCAGCGTCCTAACGGGACAAATCCCCGACCCCAGCGCCGAGTTCGACGCCGGACAGTGCGAGATCTTCGCTTCGCGTTCCCGGATTAGAACCCGCTCATCTGCAGAGAGATGCACGGCATGCGCGAGGATGGTGCGCGGCGTCAGGAGGTTGTACTTATCATAGACGGCGGCATAGCTGTCGGCTTCAGGGAAGAGCTCTTTAACGAGCGCGAGCTCATTAACGTTCTCCGAGATGTGCGTCTGGATATGCAGTGGGGGTGAGTAGCTTGCTGCCAGTTCGCCGAGGCTCTGTAGTGCTGGCCTTGTGCAGGAAGGCGCGAAGCGCGGTGTGACGATCGGTTTCACGAGCTTGCCTTCCGGGTCAAGGGTGTGGATGTACTCGATTGTTTGGCGGGTTGCGACAATGGAGTCTTCGGCGCTGAAGTCGCGGTAGTAGTCCACGCAGAATTTCGGGTTATCCATGCATGCGCGGCCGATGAAGGCACGTTGGCCACGGGTGTGACAGAGGGATGATAGGGCGTTTGTGGCTGGGACGTGATTTGTTGCGTAGTAGGAGGCGCACGTTGTGCCGTGAGATAAAGTGCGGGAAATTACTTGGTTGTAGATTTGCTGGGCTAGGAGGGGTGCGTCTTTGGGGCCGGTTTTGGTTTGGTGTCCTGTTTTTGGGTCTGGTGGTGACCCGAAGCGTGACTCTACTGGAAATGTGTATGTCTCTAGCCAGTCCAGAAGGGTTGATGAGCCGAAGAGGCCCACATTAGGGTATTGCGGCGCATGGATGTGAGTGTCTGGGTAAATATGTAGTTAGCATCAAGACATGGGCTTCGGGGCTTGGTTGGGGTTTAGGACGCTGAATTTAATGCATACCAATAAATCCGGGGAAGAAGAACTCGTTTTGTTCCTCACTTGCGATCACAATCTTCACTCTGATCTTCGAACCATGATCATTGGCTTGGCCCTGGGCGTCGATATCAACCCACCCATTCCGAGTCATCAACTCGGCAAACCCATTGTCGTTATTGGCTTGCCAGTCCCAGCCTTTAATGCGGCCATCAGCAGCAGAGACCCACAATGCGCCTCGGTTGCAACACAACTCAGGCTTGGAGCCCGAGTCTGGAAGAATTGATTGAATGAAAGTGCCACGGTAGACAGTAAAAGCATAGTCCATATGCGCTTCCATATCGCCAGAAATGGAGCCCATATTGCCGGTAAGATACTTAAAAGTCCAACTAGCTTGGATATCCTCAAGTTGAGGATGGATGTGTGCAGTGGTGTACACCACTCTAAAGGAACCCGATCAGAAGTATCGATATATATTATAGATAAACACGCAGATCTGTCTCCACAGTGGAAACAAGGAAATAAAACGATCGAAAGATCAACCCGAGACCAACGAGCACGGAAAGAGGGTCAGACACACGCTCATTTATCTTCTCGTTGCTTCTTCTCGCTACCTGTTGCCAAGCGAGGGGCATTAGATAGGGAATATCACCCGGAAAAGAGTGGGTCCTAAGCTGCGGAGAATTTCAGGCTCGTTCCTGCTTGACTCGAATGTTCTGAAGGTTCTTTCGGGCAGCCGAGGCCTGGATTGACGGGGTGGGGTGCGTTGAAGTAGGTTCGTTGGATGATTAGGGCCACGGCGATTATTGGGGAGGGCGGGGGTCGGCTGTCTCCGATGGTGATACATAGGAGATACGGTATTTGGAGCGGGTGAGTTCTCCCCGATAATGTAATTTACAACCATATGGTTATGTGTGGTAAAGTGGCTCTGATAAGCGTAATAAATATTGTTACTTTTACACTTTGGATATTGTTTTGAACTGGAATCGAATGGAATGTCTAGAACACTTTTGATTCTTTGAATATTATTCTTGGGATGCATGGACGCTGGATGATTATGTTGAATCAACCCAGCCCTCATAAGGACGTAGTCTGCAGGTAGTCTTTTCCTACCGTCATCAAAAATAAGAAATATGTTGAATGTATACACAGAGAAGAGGTGAGCAATAGAAGGATGATCCCTCATATAAATAAAAAAAAGAAATCAACGCGGCATGGGTATCATAGATCTCTTTCTAGATCTGTCTCTATTCGCTGTCCTCGACAGGCCCGCAAGTGCAGAACAAGTTTTGGTCACCAAAGGCATCATCGACACGGGTCACGGTAGGCCAGAACTTCTTCTCCAAAAGCAAGGGCAACGGGTAAGCAGCCTGCTCACGGGTGTAAGGGCGGTCCCACTCAGCGACGAGCAGATCGCGCTGAGTGTGCGGGGACATCTTAAGCACGTTACCCTCGCGAGGCTGGGCACCTGACTCGACCTCGCTGATCTCCTTGCGGATGGAAATCAAGGCATCGCAGAAGCGATCCAGCTCAGCCTTGTTCTCGGACTCGGTGGGCTCGATCATGAGGGTGTTGGCGACGGGCCAGGACATGGTCGGGGCGTGGAAGCCATAGTCCTGGAGACGCTTGGCGATATCGATGGCCTCGACACCGCAGGTATCCTTGAACGCGCGCACGTCCAGGATGAACTCGTGTGCACAGCGGCCGTGGTCGTTGGTGTACAGGATCGAGTAGTAGGGCTTCAGGCGAGAGAGGATGTAGTTGGCGTTGAGCAGGGTGATCTTGGTGGCGTGGGTCAAACCGCGGTCGCCCATCATGTTAATGTAGTTGAAAGTGATGGGCAAGATGCTGGCACTTCCCCAGGGAGCAGCGGAGATGGGAGGGGAGGAGGTGTCACCACGCTTCGACTGCAGGTACTCGCTGGTGGGGTGCGAGGGAAGGAAGGGACGCAGGTGCTCGCCGACACCAATGGGTCCGACACCGGGGCCACCGCCACCGTGGGGGATACAGAAGGTCTTGTGAAGGTTCAAGTGGCACACGTCGGCACCGATCTCACCAGGAGAGCAGAGACCGATTTGGGCGTTCATGTTGGCACCGTCCATGTAGACCTGGCCACCGTGCTGGTGCACCAAGCGGCAGGCCTCCTTGGCACCGGGCTCGAACACACCGAAGGTGCTGGGGTAGGTGATCATGAACGCAGCCAACTCGTCCTTGTGCTTCTCGCACTTAGCCTTGAGGTCCTCGAGATCGAGGTTACCGGTCTTGGTGTCACACTTGACAGTCACAACGCGCATACCAGCCATGGCGGCACTAGCCGGGTTGGTACCGTGAGCAGAGACAGGGATCAAGCACAGGTTGCGTTTGGCATCGCCCTTCGCCTCAAAGTACTTCTTGATAACACGAAGACCGGCAAACTCTCCCTGGGCACCCGAATTGGGCTGCACAGTAACCTCGGCCATGCCAGTGATATCAGCCAGCTGCTGCTCCAGATCGTCAATCATCTTCGTGTAACCCTTCGCCTGGTCGGCAGGCATGAAGGGGTGAATCTTGGAGAACTCGGGCCAGGAGACGGGGATCATTTCCGTGGTAGCGTTGAGCTTCATAGTGCAGGATCCGAGGGGAATCATGGAGTGAGCAAGGGAAAGATCCTTCGATTCAAGGTGGTGGATGTAGCGGAGCATCTCGGTCTCGGAGTGGTAGGTGTTGAAGACAGGGTGAGTCAGGTAGGAGGAGGTACGCTCAAGGCTGGCGGGGACAGTGGTGAGGCCAAGAGTGCCATCAACCTCGACCGGAGAGGCAGACTTATGAGCCGCAAAAACATCCAAAATTCCCTTCACCTCATCCCGGCCAACAGTCTCGTCCAGAGAGAGACCGACCTTGTTTCCGCCCAGACGGCGGAGGAAGACAGAGGCAGCGCGAGCCTCGGCCATGATAGCATCAGCCTCTGCAGCACTGGGCAGTTCAATGGCCAGAGTGTCAAACACAGCGCCGCCATCAGCGCTGTTGGAGCGGACCGGGACATTGTAGCCCAGGCTGACAAGCTTCTCGCGCAGGAGTGACGTCATGGACATGATACGCTGGGCAATGGACTTGAGGCCAACAGGGCCGTGGTAGATAGCATACATGGCAGTCATGTTAGCAAGCAAAGCTTGAGCAGTGCAAATGTTGCTGGTGGCCTTCTCGCGGCGAATGTGCTGCTCGCGAGTTTGCAGAGCCAGGCGCAGAGCCCGGTTACCGAGACGGTCCTTAGACACACCAACGACACGACCAGGCACCTTGCGCTTGTACTTGTCGGCACAAGCAAAGAATGCGGCATGGGGGGCCACCGAAGCCCATGGGAACACCCAGACGCTGGGCACTTCCGAAGGCAATATCAGCGCCAAATTCACCGGGGGCCTTCAGAACGGTCAAAGCCAGCAGGTCAGTGGCTACACTGAAAGTACCACCCTGGCCGTGGATGGAGTCACCCAGAGCCTGGAAGTCGTAGATACCTCCCTCGGTATCGGGGTACTGGGCAAGGACACCGATCAGGTGGTCCTTCTGGTCCTTGACGAGCTTGAAGTCATCGGCCAAGATATCTCCGATCACGAGGTTGATTCCGAATCCTTCGGCGCGGGACTTCATGACAGCAATAGTCTGGGGGTGGCAGAGGTGAGACACAACGAAGGATTTGTCGGCCCTCTTCTGCTTGGAAGCAGGCATAGTGGCGAAGGACATGGTCATGGCCTCGGCGGCGGCGGTGGCCTCATCCAAAACTGAGGCGTTGGCGAATGGCATACCGGTCAGATCGGCTGTCAGGGTCTGGAAGTTCAGCAGAGACTCCAGACGGCCCTGACTGATCTCGGGTTGGTAGGGCGTATAGCTGGTGTACCAGGCAGGGTTCTCGAGCACATTGCGCTGGATAACCGGGGGCACAATGGTTGGGTAGTAACCGGTTCCAATATAAGTGTTGCCGGAGATATCAATCTGCTTCCGGTAGGTGTCGAGCAGCTTGAGCATATCGGTTTCGCCCAAACCACCCTGCACACTAGACCGGTACAGGCTGATATCGGCGTGGGGCTCGGAGACTTTGAGGTCCTTCTTGGAGAGAATGTCCTCAGGCAGAACCTGCTTCACAAAGTCATCCAAGGATGCCACCGGCGGGTCGAGCACGGCGAGCATCTCTGCCGCGGCGTCCGGGGGAGGGGCCAATGTGGCGGCGGGGGAAGGTATCGAGAGGCTGGAAGATATCCTGGGGGTGGGGATCTCCATGGTCGGAGATGGAGCTAGTATAGACACCACGACGGGTCGCGGGCTGAGAGGTATGCACTGCTCTCCGAGTGTTCAATGGTGACAATGGAGCTCGGGTAATTGAGGGCACGCGAACACGCGACCGCAGAGCAAGTTGGCGGGCGCCGCGAAGGGCGAACAATGATGCCGCCATACTGAGACCGGAGGATAATGACGGCTTTAGAGGAAAGCACTCACCACATCCACAAGTAAATCAGTAAATCAAAGTGAGGATGAAGAAGAAGAACAAAAGTGCCAGACCTATAGAAATTAATATTTATTGCCCACACCTCTTGCCTTTTCCCTGTCCGATCGTCCGATGACGGAGAACATGTCGGGAAACTTAGACCGATAAGAAATTATAAGAACCTCTTCTTATCCGACCAATCACAGTTGCCATTGTTTGCCACGGGCCCCAGTTCAACCACTCACCGCCTTCCAGTCGGAGCAAATGGCCGGTTTCCCGTCGGAAAAGTTGTGCCTAGGCATATCTACTCCACGAATTCCCCCCTGGGGGAAGCTTCGATGGTATCATACCTCTGAGCTTTCATGCGGGTCCTTTGGAAACAATATTGAAAATGGAAATGGCCTTCGCATTACTATCGTGATCCAATCTTGAATAGGTACATATTTCCCCGACCTCAAATCGTATACCGGAAAGCCGCATCGCCCTCAATGACCCGCTTTCCCCGGTCCGCCTGCTTATTACAGAACCGGAACCACGCACTCAAAACCAGAACCAGCAGGACGATGAGAATGTTACACCTGGTAAAACACAGTCAGTACACGAAGCCAATATGAGACAGAATAGGAGACCACATACGCGAGAGCAGCATATATTCCCGGTCGGTACTCGGGTGCGTCCTTTTCCCGAAACACCAAGCTACTCACGATACCACCGAGACCTCCAAAGCCTACAAGTGTAGCACTGGAGAAAGCCCGCGTCCACTGGCCGCGCACATTGTTCGCCTGGTATGCCATGCATGACGGGATATTAGCATTTGCACCGGCCACAGTGAAGAACACGCCCACGTAGCGGACAGCATCGCTCTTGGCGAATCCCATCATAGGCAGGCCAATGATGGCGAGCAGGGCGTTGAAGATCAGAATCGGTGCGCGCATGCGGTACTTATCGCCAACCCAGGCCGTGCCGTACATCACGATTCCTGCGAACCCATAGGGTGGAGCGACAAGGCATTGGGCTTCGCCGACGCCGAAGCCCATGCCGTTCATGAGGATGATGGGGAGGAAATAGGCAATGGCGTAAGTGACGGTAGTCAGACAGCTGGGATACGGTTAGCAGAAATCCAGGTCCGCTGGAAAGAAAACGCACAAGAAAATCATGGCAAAGCCCCAGATCTTAGCATCCATTCCGGGTTTTAGGAACTTCTTGAGAGAGAAGGCTTCCATGTCTCCATCATTTCGGTCCTTGTTAATGCGGCGAACGACCCATGCGCATTCTCTCTGGTTTAGGAAGCGCCAGGACTTGTGAGCGCGGTCAGGGAAGTCGACGAGGAAGAAATAGCACATGATGCCAATTACGCCGGTGATCTAGGCTTGTTAGCTCGCTGATTTCCTTTCGGTTGAACTAACTCTGCGTACCACTCCCTCGAGGATGAAAATCCATCTCCAGCCGGTCAACCCTTCCCTTCCGTGCAATTGCATCAGACCGAAGGCAAGGATACCCGCCAACGCAGAAGCGACACATCCAATGAGATAGAAAACGGAGAATCGCTTTTGGACATCATCTTTGAAGAGTTAGCACTTTGCAGTCACTTGGAAGGATGTCTTCTAGCGATCTCTCTTACATTGGGTATACCAGCAAGATAGTAAGTAGACACAGCCAGGGAAGTAACCAGCTTCCAGCACACCCAAAAGCACACGGGTTCCCATCAACGAGCCCCAGTCCTGGACGAAACCCATTCCTGCGACGGTCAATAAACCAAGTAATGTTGAGAAAGAAGAAAGTCCTTACAATCATGATCCCCGCCCAGCATACAATAATCGAGGACAGGAAATAAGTTGGGCCAATTTTTCGAATAATGACCGTCATCGGGGGCTGGAAGATAATATAGGGCACGAAGAACATCAAGACGATAATGGACTATTCAAAAGTTAGCTATCGCCAGTAAAATGTGACCGATGTGTATAACCATACATAGCGCTCGCCGACATGGAGATGCAATTCTTCTTTCAGCCTATTCAGAGGTCAGCCATCATCGCACACAATTCTCCTTCACGGCAATGTTTTTACCCTGCAACAGCAGCCATGCTCAGATTCGTGCGGTCCATGAGCGAAATGCAATAAGCCAATCCAGTCATGGTCACCAGACGAAGATCAATTCGTCGAATGATCTTTTTCTGTTCCTGAGGAGTGAACTCATCATCTTCGTCGTAGCTAGGAGGACTCTTCCCCGCGATATCCTCGATGCGGTCCTCAGCAGGCGGTTTCTCATCGATGGGAGTCATGGACGCCATGGTGATATGTCCAAGACTGAATTGGAGTATACAATAGACAGGTAAGATGTAGAAGAAAGCAATAAAAGAGGTTGAGAAGGAAAAAAATAAATTTAATCGACTTTGGTTAGAAATAGAAGACGAAGCTGCAGCCTTATCTAGAAAACGACAAGACCAGCAAGGATAAGTATATCCAAGTAGGGATATACCCCCGACATAATGGCATCCGTTCTTAAACCAGCCATTCAAGATCGACGGTCGCCTATTACAGCCCGCTTCAAGCTGCCCAGGAAAATCCCCAAGGAACAAGACCCATCGAGAACGCAATAGCCGAGAGAAAGTGGCCAAGTGCCTCGGGACAAGTACAACTACCGTAGGAGAACGGCATTCTCAGAGATATTGACCGAAACAAAGGAGGGGGAAGTCACCCCACTTAGTGAGAGCCTGTACGAGTCATCTGTTGCGCATTGAACTGGTTAGAGTCGGTGGCGGCTGCTTTGGGGGGACAATCCGGGGAGCAATGGGGGAAGGAAATGCGGGGGAAGGTACTTGGCAACTTGGCAGGCGCGTTGACTACGTGATACACTTTGGTCTCCCCTATTTGGCTTCGAATCTTGTTTGGAAGACTTTTAATTTGATAGAGATGTCACTGTTGTGGGGACTGGAGATGATCTGTCCTATTCCTTGCCAATGTTGCTTGGTTAGGGTTCTGTCTTTGATTCACGCACTTTGCAATTGTTCTTAGCAGGCAAAAAATTCCCCAAAACACCTTGTTTGCCTCTTAAATACCAAGCCAAGTAAGGAGGCATCTATTGATTGATCTCGTACTTGTCGGGTCAAAAAGTACCATTTGGGCAGAGTTCTGGCCAAGGGTTAGCTATGAGTTTAGGGAACTTTAACATTCCATCCCTAGATGGCTTTTGACATGTCGAAGCTCAAACCCTGACCGGTCACTCCGAAAGTGTAAATTTCCCATGTGGAAAAAGCCTCTAATGATCCTGGGGTGATCCCCGGTATAATCGTGGTATGACTAGATAGCGTTGCCGTATATGGTGATATCATCATGCAGAATGCGGTAACACAGCCTATACCTAGCTATTCAACCAGTCTAGGGCTTCTATTGCAAAGGTTAGCCCTTAGTACAGCCCCACTATAGCCGTGTCTGTCATTTGACGCCATGTGGTGCTTTCAAGTATCCACCTTAAAAGAGTCGTTATAAGGATCCGGAGCCAGAATATAGAAAGCCTTGACCATACTATTGGGAATTAAATCTCAATTCTTTTGTTTTTCATACCTCGGTTCAACCTCCTAAGCTAATCTCGTCAACGGTAACTTCCATTATCCTCGTATTCCTCCTCTTCTTCGTCCTCTTCCAAAAGCAGACTCTCGCGTTCTTCCTCATCCACCCGGTTCTGCCCTCCCATCTGTCTCACAGACACGAAAACAAAAATCACGAGTGCTGTTCCAACGACAAATCCGGCAACTGCCAAGATAATATTGATTGGAATTGGGTTTCCATCAAACTTATGATGTGTCAATGCGTCGAGTCCGTACTGAGAGAAGTTTGCGATTCCCGAGAGGCAAATGATGGCGCCGTACACACGCCCAAACGTGGCAAAGCCGAAGACTTTAGTAGCATAATCACTAGAGCCAAGATTAGCAGGTGGAGTATAGCAGTGAGAGGGGGAGGGAAGCAACATACGACATGGCCGAGTAATAGAGAGGTCGGAGTAGGACGAAGAGCAAAACGGTCACATAACCAGCCCAAACTGCCGGAATGGAGTTTAGCACACCAATGACCGTGGTGAAAAGCACAATTATGCCAAGCATCGTTGGCACACTAAGGCGATCAAGCAGGAACCCGATCACGGGCGTGAAGAGAACACCCCCAACTGGCAGTGCGACGTCGAAAAGGGCACCTATCTTGTCTGCCTTTTGGGCCGATCCGAGCATGTACTCATACTGCGAGCGAATCGTCGCGATAAAGTAGTTCATGCGAATCATCTGCAAAACAGTCATCAGCGTGATCAGGATGAACCAGGGCGTAGCCATCTGCCTGTGCGCCGGCAGGCCGTGCAATACACCCCAGACCCAACTTGTCTGTTGGCGATCCTCTTCTCGATCCGCACGCATCTGCCGTTCATCTCTATCGCCGAGAACCTCGTCGATCTGGCGGATCTTTTTCTGTCGCCGCTCCGCTCGCTTTTTCCGCACCTGGTTTAGCTCCGCCGTGCTCTGGATCTCATCATCAGAGTCGTGGACATCGCGGGTAGCATCTTCGGCCCTTTCCATTTTGTTTTCCAATTGCAGGGTCGAGACATAGTCGCGCGCTGGCATGATGGTCACCAATGCGATGAACACACATGCGGGGACTATCAGATATCCCAGAAAGAACTTATCTGGGGTGAAAGATTTGCCGGAAGCCTCATATATGAGCCGGTAGAAGAGGAACACAGCGGCAGAGGCATCGAAGGCACCAGTCACCAGCGCGACGATCGTCCCCGCATATCTGGGGAACGCGTTTGCGATCTGGAACGAGGGGACAAATAAAAAGGTACCAGCCAGAGCGAGAAAGAAATTCCCCGCGATATAGCCATCGAAGCCAGGCTTACGGAATGCAAAGGCCATGATGACACCGCCGACAGCCAGCAACAGGCAAGAAATGAACCAGCAGACGCGTGATCCATATCGATCCAAAATCGTCCCAACTGGAAGAGCCGATACATTAGCTGTTATCGAAGCAATGGTGAAGAACAGGTTGAGCCTGGCAGTTGATTAGCAAGCATAGCTCGAGATGGTCTGTGCGACAAACACACCTAAGGTCCTGCTGTGAGCATAGCTCAAGCCCTTCATCTATTTCGGCAGGAGTGCAATGCCCATGGTAAACGCCTTCCTCCACGAGGACAGGCTTGAGCGCTGCGAAGCCAAACACGATCCCCGACGCGCTCCAGCACGCGAGCACGGTGACGACGACCTGGGCTTGATGGGGGTCAGCAGTTTGTCTCACACTGGGCGGAAGAGCACAGACCTATTCTCTTTGCGGAGGAATGTTTGTACGCTGGTGTTCCAGGCCGCGTTTCTGCGACCGGGATGGCGTCGCTAGGTTGGATGACATCGTAGCTGATTTTTCGGCGAATGGGAGCGAAGTCATAGTCCTCAACTAGGTCTGGTTCGAGTTCGCGATCAATGCCGTCGATGGCAGAAACATGCTGCACCAGGGACATTGCTCTGTGTTGAACAGATGAGGTGTTGTGGAGGGGAAGTTGGCCTTATCGTGGCAAAAACTTGATTCTTTCCCCCTCGCGCTTGACTCCTTATTTATGCAGGGCAGCTTCTACCCATATAGTATATATCTAGCATATGTAATGTCTTTTGACAGTTTATTTTTTATTTACATGTAGATAGCTACTTGTGTTATTGTCATGCTTAATATAAGCCATGGCACCTCCAATTTCGAAGTTACTAGAACTACCTGGGTACCTTCCAAGGTTCATTTAGATAATAGTTTACGGATAAGACAAGCTAGTTCCCAGTTCCGATTCGCTGGGGATTCGCCCAGATTGCCGCTGAGGTCAGGACCTTGGAAGCTTTTTTCCCTCGCTTTGGTCCAATCACAATTAATATAACCTAGAAGACCTCTCATTTTGTGGAGTTCCTGAATTAAGGTGAACGCATCCATGGATCATCCTCGATTTGGCTACATATGGACTTTACCTGGGTATACTCCATAAATTATTGTATTTCTACGCCTGACCAATCACATTCTAATATATGACAGAAAATCTCTAGCACATAATATACATCGAAACGCCCTTGGCCATATACTATAGTTATTAAAATCGATACCCCTTCTCAGGCCGTGGCAGACGATTTCTCCTTCTTGATTGACCTCCATTCCATCGTCAATGCAGGGACAATCATCAGACAAGACACAGCCACGGCAACAATGAATGACTGCCGAAGGCCATCATTGTATAAAGCCAGAACCTGGGTCAACTTCTCAGCCGGGACAGCATCAGAGAGACCCGTTGCCCCAGCCGCCAGGATCTTGGTAACATCAATTCCCTGGATGTGGGGTAGGTTTGTTCCGAGGTAATTCTGGAAGAGCGACTGGGCGACAGCAATAAAGACAGCACCACCGAGGGACTGCGCAAAGAACATGAGGGAGATACCAATGGAGACCTCATCCATAGGAAGAATAGTCTGCGCGGCCATGGAGGGCTGCTGCATTCCTGTGCCGATACCGATACCAAACAACACCTGGTACCCGATCCAGGCAGCGTGGTTGGTGTCCACCTTGAAGGTCGTCATCAACCCTGCGCCCGTTGACATGAGAATCGCTGCAACGAACATCCACGGAACATAATATCCCGTTGCAGTGATGATTGAACCGGAGAGGATGGATCCCACAACAAGCGCCAGCACCATGGGGATCGTATCGATGCCGGACTTCACAGCTGATGTGCCGCGCACGCCCTGGAACCAGAGTGGGAGTGTGTACAGCATAGATATGAGCCCTCCACCCACACACAGGGCATAGACGACTCCGCTGATGATGCTGCGCTGGTTGAAGATATGAGGCGGCACCGTTGCATCCTTCTTAAGGCGGATCTGCACGCCGATAAAGGCAATCATCAGGATTCCTGCAATGACAAACAGAGCGATGATTCGCCCGTTGCCCCAGGGGTAGGCCGTGCCGCCCCATTGCAGGGCGAGCAAGAAGCAGATGACAGAGGGCAGGAAGAACACACTGCCCAGAGGGTCGAGGCGGAGGACTTTTCGCTTCCAGGTGCACGGCTGGGGCTTGTGGGGGACAGCCAGGAAAAGGAACAAGACAACCATGGTAAAACCGCCGATGGGCAGGTTGATGTAGAAGCACCAGCGCCATGTGACGTTGTCCGTAAACGCACCACCCATCAAAGGTCCGATGATTGACGAAATCCCAAAGACCGACCCCATCAGCCCGACGAAGATAGGCCGTTTGGCCAGCGGCACGATCTGTGCGATTATCACCGTTGCGCCGGAAAATATGCCTGCCGATCCAATACCCGCTATCGCCCGTCCCACAATGAAGGCCTTAGAGTTCGGCGCACCGCCGCAGATGGCCGATCCGACTTCAAAAATAAGGATGGCGATCAGGAAGACAGTCTTGGTCGAGTAGAAGGTGTACACCTTGCCCCAGGATAGCTGGGTGGCACAACTTGTCAGCAAATATGCACTTGCATACCAACTGAGATCGTCCAGAGCATTGAACTGGTTTGCGATTCGGGGGACTGCCGTGGCAATGATAGTGCGATCCTGTAGTGTCCCAAGTTATGTTAGTATAGATCCAGTGGGCAATAGAGAATACGACATTCATACCAGGGCAACCAAAAACATAGCGAACAGAATAGAAACAATAATAGCTATTAGCCGGGCCCCCGTTGGTAAATGAGTCTCATCTTCCTTGATCTCGGAGGGCTTCTCGGTGGTAGTCGAGACCTGGTCTGACTGCTGGTCGGGCTGCTCTTCGATCGATCGAGTCATTGTATAACACGAGAATTGTTAAATGGCAAACATATATCTTCGACTGATATAAACTGATAGACACCCAGGGGGGAAAGGCAGAGTTATATAATAATAGGTAGTTTGGGGTCTCGGGGGGTGAAGGTGCGTTCGGCGCCGAACAACATAGAGCAAATTTCAGTTCGGCGCCGAGTTAGAGAACGTAGTAACGCCCTTCGCTCCTTCTCGATCGTAGCTTATTATTTTGCCAATAATGCTTGGTGTTATCTCCACACTCTGTTGTCATCCTTGTTTTTATTTTTTTTAAGAGTGGAAAATGCAGCGTGCTGGTTACCGGGCTCATGCCTCCGAAACGGACAGGAATTCAATGCGTCGGAAGCCGAAAGAGCTCAAATTATGAAATTTGGGGTTGACTCCAGCATTTCCTTGATGAGGCTCAACTACCATCGACAGCCTCATGTCTTCGCTTGCGCTGTCGATAACCTGACAATGAGTCGCATAGTTGAGTTCTGTCGCCGTAACCCCAGGGACTCCTACGGCGGTGGGATCATAGCCCTACCGTATCACACAGGTGATACTGAAGGAGCTCCACGAATCTGTCACCAACCTAGGTCCCATTGATAGCCAGGGGCCACAAAGGACTGATAGCTTCCTGTAGCATTTTGACGACACTGAATCAACAGGCATGTTTTCTTTCAAGGGTAGCCACGATGCAGTACCGTCGTGATTGGTTCACCCTTCGATGCATAGACACTATGCACGAGTACCACTTCCACCTTGTACTAAGTTCCCGTGTTCCCTCTGGCCCAGTGTCTCAATGACCCCGACTTGCAACAATTCGTGCCAGGAACAGTGCAGATATTCCGCGCCAGATATCTTGTCCTAAGAACACAGAGGGGATGCAATTCCTGATAGAATCGTGCTGGCTTCTTGGAAACCGCTGAGAAACGCTCTCGGCCCCGTGCTCGATACAAACCAGCTTACCTGTCAATGGCGATATTATTATGGATTATTCCTATCTTCTTCGCACATTGTTTTGGATCGTTTCAATTCTTGGAGTATAATCCATGATCAATTCATACTGCTGCCGATAGTGTAGGTTGTACAACTATGGATCGTAGGTCATGTTCATTAACTCGGTGGGAAGCAGTAGATAGAAATAGGAACTATAGTCGCTTCTGGCTTGTCGAGAGCCGGTCCACATGGACCTCGAGTCGCATCTTTGTCATCTGTCAAGCCGTCCGCGGGTGGATTACCACTTGTCCAGGTTCCGTGGGTCATAGACAGGAACAGGGCATATCTACCTAGGTAAGTACATAGGTGCTTATGTGAACGCACACCGGCCTTGTTTACATATGCAGCTTTTAGGCACAGCTTTTAGGCACGCAGAAAGAATTTAAAATTCAAAAGGTCAGATAGCAGAAAGAGAACGGAGAAATATAACAAATCAAATTCTTCCATTTTATAGAAGCCAAGAGTTAATATAAAAATGCCCGTTCCCACTGGATGATGGGTATGACGTATGTTGGCCCGACGCCAATGACGTAGGCCTGGGGCACCCGTTATATGTCAACATGGCTGATCACTTTTCATTTTTACCTGTTCTATATTGTCGATTGGTATTCTTTTACTTAGCATCTTCTTGGGTTGACATTTGAAACGAGAATAATCTGCAAGAAGCCGAGTTGCACCAACAACAAACGCAGTACACCGGTTCAAAAACCGTAAAAGGAAAGCAGCACAAACAACACAATGGCCAACATATCAATTAGTGCCCCCGGTTTGAGCAGCGGCGGATTTCTTTACAATAATGGCAACAATAATGCTCGACTATGCGTCACAGCCGAGACCGAAGATTTTGACATGGAAATCATCAAGAACTGGCAAGAGGAAGGATTCGATGTCGTATACCTCCCTTATAACGGCGGGGGGAAAGACTATGCTCGCCGGCTGCAGTCTGTAAAGGACGGTCTCGGTGTAGGCGAAAACTACGCCGTGGTCGGTACGCACAGGACTCCCTCTGAACATTATAAACTCTGAGTATGATGAACAGACTGACCAAATTCTTAGCCTACGGCGACGCCGCGGACTACTGCCTCGACTACTACATTAATTCCGTCAACGCCAGTCGACTCTGTGCCCTGGTCGCCTACTACCCTAGCTTAATCCCCGACACGCGATCACGATTCCCACTCTCACTCCAAGTCCTCGTACACTTGGCAGGCGAGACTGTGGACGTACTTGTTCAGCCCGCCGCGCTTGGTTTGCAAGGAAAGAAACGCCGACAGACGCGGCCGATCAATGCCGGTATTGGGACCGGAGAGCGTTTGGACCTGGCGTACCCGGCGTTTACGTATGACAATGCCGTGCCCGGGTTTGCGGAGACGGACCTGGAGGAATATGACCATCGGGCGGCGGATCTAGCCTGGACGCGGACTTTGAAGGTCTTACGAAAGGGATATTCCAGAGATCCGGATTACGAGCAGCGGTATGAACAGCATGTGGAGGGTAAGTTGCAAGCGCAGAGGGATCGAGGGATGGCGGGCTGATTCTCTGTTAGGCAAGTTTTTCTCGTCGAACGTCGGGAAAACGATGGATGGTTATGTTCAGCACAAAACCCCGGGTGTGACCTATACGCCGACAATCAGCGGAGGGATCGGGAAAAAGGCGTTGCGCCATTTCTATGAACAATACTTCATCGGCAAACTGCCCCCATCCATGCGCCTCCGACTGCTATCTCGTACCACAGGACCCGACCGCATCGTGGATGAGCTGTACGTCAGCTACGAGCACACACAGGAGGTACCATGGATGCTACCTGGTGTCCCGCCGACAAACAAGCGAGTCGAGATCATCCTCGTGAGTATTGTCAGTATGCGCGCCGGCCGTCTTTACTCCGAGCACGTATACTGGGACCAAGCCAGCGTCCTCGTTCAAGTCGGTCTTCTGGACCCCAAGCTGCTGCCAGATGGAGTGCAGGGTGTCGATCGACTGCCTGTTGTTGGGCGCGAAGCTGCTCGTCGCATCCTCCATGAGGACACGGAGCTTGAACAGGAAGACTACCATAACAAGATGATCCGTCGAGCGCGTGCCCGCGCAAGAAGAAGCATGAATCAGAGTTCCCGCGCGTCGCAGGCTGGCGATGACCCTGGTGCTGACCTGAAAAGTGACGTGGAGCAGTCGTTGCCTGACAGGAGTCGAAATAAGGGCAAGGCTGTTCAAAAAACCAACCCTGCTAGTCTGCAGCGGACAGCCACAGAAAAGGCTGAGCACGAGGATGATGATGGCGCTGATACAGAGACAGAGTTTAGTGCAAAGGCTAGGCCGGAGACTGGCAATCAAGCTGCCTATGTTGAGGATGGGGGAGACGACAGTGCCGAGAACGGGTCTAAGCAGACATGACTTCCCACTCCTATCTCCCTTTGTCGGGACGACCACGAGGACATACCCATGTCCCTTGCTCTTCCTCTAAAGGAGACCAAGTCGACGATTCATAAGCTCAGTTGGGAATGTTCTTTCGATTTTTTAGGTGACTGTTTCTTGATTATGAGTGATGTTGTGCATGTCAATCTCTTCTGTTTAGCGTTAATAGTTGTCACTATTTTGGATACGATGATATTTCAGGCATCCATAGCGACAACCGAGTTGAAGCTTACAATGTAAGCCACTATAGGTATCAGCCATGGATACCTACCTAGGTAGGTACTACAAGACCAGAATATGTAAACATCCAAAGAGAGTACCGATGATGGCAACTTCCCAAATTAGAGGTTAATAACCCGGATGATAAGAGTAGCAATAGTCCGCAAATCCCGAACAGGCAGTTGCAACCGCCACTGACGGTGCATCACAAAGCCGTCCAAAATGAGAAAAAGGCTTTATTTTCAGACATAAATAGACAGAGCTTACAAAATCACCTCCGAAATTGGAGATGCAGAGATTTGTATGCGAGAAAAAGCCTCATTTTCATAGAATCGAGGGATAGCTGATAGAACTGTACCTTATTAAGGCGACTATAATCCCGATAATTCAACCTTGGAAGGATTTTAATTCTTCTACCGCTTTTAATGCAGGCCTCTCGGCCAAAACCAGGCATTAAGGCATCAGTGGTTGCGGTAAAGACGTTTGCGCCTTATTTCCTAAGGCGTTCCACCGGCGATAGATAGATCGGACTGGTTCATTAGGAGAGGGTCCGACTGCGTCCACTCATTTCGTTGCAGAGACCAGAAGGGAATCCCAACGAGCTCTTACGGTGACAGTGGCGCTCCTGAACTGTTGGGAAGTTGTTGATCATGGCGGGAAGGCCCTTGTGACGTCCTGACTGATCGGTCAACTGACCCGTGGACAACCTTGGAATGCTTCCCGAGTTGGTTCTCCAAGCATCGTGATTGTGGACTCTCTCAAAGACTTCACCAAATAGTCTTAATTGCACCTCAAACTCCTATTCGAATCACAGATCGAATTGCCACTGACGATCCTGTCAATTCTCTTTGCTCATTTTGAGTATTCAAGACAGTAAACAAAATATCCGAAAGCTTTCTTGCCATATAGTCGTAACAATATTTCCTGACCATGTGTAACCCTGAAAAGGAACAGTATTTTCAGCCCATAAGCTGACACCACCACCATCACCACCAAGCTGCTTGGATTCAATCAGGCTAAATGGCTCGTTCTTCGTAGCTCACTTTACTTCAAATTACTCACTCATGGGTCCTCGCCTAACTCACGCTGAACTGCAAACTTGACAGCCTCCAGGACATCCTCACAAACTTTCCTAGGAGGATATTGCGGCGTCTTGTTATCTTGGTAGACACCCGTCTTGACCAAGATGGAGAACCAGTCAGTATCACTGATCTGGTTGTACTCATTGGTACCTCGGATATCGGACTCGGGCGTGTCGCCCACGAAATAAACGGTGGCTGGCGGTTGATCAATACCGTACGTCTCCTTGCGCCATTCGCGAAGCAGTCTTGTCGCGAAACCGAATGTTCCGAGGTGCGGTTTGCCAAATGCGACGGTAGTCAGCTCCTTACCAGTGAGTTCCTTGTAAAGAGCCTCTATAGACGTCCGCAGTGCGCCCATTCCCAGGCGCGAGTGCTCATGAGAGGTGGACCACACGATGTCGTTGTGGGAAAAGTAAATAGGAGGACCCTCGTCAAAGGTCTCAGAGCGAGTCCCTAGGCGTCCATTCTTCGACATCAGAAGATCGAGGATGATCTGCTGGTCACCAGCCCAGTCTCTGCTGTCAGCGAATACGAATATAGCATCGATGGTGGTCTCGTCGAAATTTCTATCGCGGGAATTGCGATACTCTTCCTCCGTCAATTTCCGGAACGGCGTTGTGTCATGCTTGGACTTAATGATATCACCGGGGGTAACCACGTCTTTGAAACCATAGTCCTCTGCGACAAGGCGGCATTTTTCCCCCTCGCCACCTACCACGAGGACGGTTTGATACGCCTCGGCCATTTCGCGCATCGGTGTGTGTCCACAGATGAATTGTCCAGGTGAGACCTCCATCTGTAACTGGCGACTGAGGTCAATGCAGCGTTCTTCCTCCGTCTTCCCGCCGCCATTGGTGACGAAGATATACGGGCTTGGGATGAAGTTAATATGTGCATGTCGGGGAGAGAGAGGCGAAGTGTTTACATCTTTACTCCATACGGATTGTCTCCATTGATGTATTTCATCGCACCGATCGATTCTGGAAGTGCCTTCCCTCCTTTCAGGAGAACACCATCGATATCGAAGGCGATAGCGAATTTGTCTGTACTGCTTGGGTCTGGTTCAACCTCGGGGGTGGCCCTGTCAGAGGCCGTTTCATCGATGCTTTTCCTGGCTCTTTCCAGCCGCGTGGCGGTTCCGTTTGCATCGCACGGTGCCTTCATATCTTCGGGAGGAGCGATAACCGTTGGACCGCTGTACAGATCACATGGCTTAGCGTCGGCGGATGATAGCCTCCGCACGCTAGTGGATGTTGTTGCTGCCATGGTATGAACTGAAGGGGAATCTTTTGATATCCATTTGCTTGTGAAAGTATAGACGCCTGCATGAAGGTAACCATACTTTATACGATGAAACTGAGTCACGAGATCCGTCAGCATGTGGACCACCAGGATGTCATCATGACGAAATGTATTTGGTTCGTCCGCATCCGCAAACAAATCTGGTTCGTTCCAGATTTTGTAGGATAAACTGTGGGATGCGATAAATTACAATGCTATATCTCAACAATCGGGGCTTGTATCCATCCAGCATAGGTGGCAAACTTTACATAATGTTCTGTATGCCCAGGTGTTCATCTTGGTACTTGAATGGAAGCAGAGAAACCTGCATCAGGGTATCACACTGCGTCGGCGCTTTGACATTACAACCGCTTTCAGTCATTTTTGCTTCTTGTTGTTGCTCGCTGTTTCTCTGATATGTCATATTGGAGGAATAAGAAGAAGCACACAAAATATGGGCTTCTTTCCATGTATGAAGAGATTGGACAATTCCGATTTGATTTCCATTCCATAGTATTATCTTTGTCTCAAAAGACATGCGGTATAGATCTCTAATCTATAATCAACATATTCTGGGCGCCTTAAAATGGAGACTTGATGAGCAGTTCGGTATATACAACATAGGCGGTGGAGCCTACGGTGGGTCTGTAGTTGATAAGATAGACATGCGGAGTCTTCGGACTTAACCAATCACGCGTAGCGTGGGATGTCACCCTCAATGACACTTACATCCTGTTATACACACGAACACAGTAGTCAGTCAATTACGACCTTATTGTCCAAGAAATCTTAGCAGAAACCTGGTCACATTGGGGTCAAGGTACACCGCTTTGCAGTTACTATTTACATAGCGCTGACGTCGATGTCTCCCTGTATGGAACATACATGGATTGAACATCGCACGCCAGTTACCCCAAGGAGATCATCTAAGAGCTAAACTCACATTCGAACTCATGTGCATCGATTTAGCCCCCGAAATGTGTTCCTAGTGGGTCAAAGACGGAGTTCAACGCAATCTCACCCTGGCCCTGGCCAATATGGTGCGGCGGCATTCACGATTCCAGACTGGTCACAAACCTCGAGGTTATCCTGGGTTTAAACTGGACGAAACGCATGTCACGGGCCCAGTGTCCTTCCTGAATCCAACCTCCGCACACTACGAACTGAGCCAGCAAGCAGAAGACACTCATGCTCCCCCACAAATCGAGCGTCTCTGGCGATCCCGCGACAACAGAAAAGGCCGGCATGCTATTCGCATCGACACAGAAGCCTTGCCCCATGTACCGGGACTCACAACACCACCACTGACGCAGTCAGTCTCAGCGGTAGCCAAGATCATTCTCCGGATGGTGACTTACGTCCCTTACTGGGACATATCATATCTGGTCGCCATGAGCTTCACTATTGGGTCTGCAGTATTCATCGTCAATGGGTTCTTCGTCTGGCTACCGTTGGTGGACCGAAAGACCGAATTTCATGGTGAAATAACGATTGCCGGTGGCTGGACGGGTTTCGTCGGTGCGACTATTTTTGAACTCGGTGGTGTATTGCTGCTTCTTGAAGCTTTTAATACCAATCATACTGGATGTTTTGGCTGGGCGCTTGAGAGTGTCCTCGAGAAGACTATCGAGGATGGGATTCCTCAACATGCGATGAAAGAGATCAAGCCGAAGATGTCAGAGTGTGAGCATCACCATGCGAATCGGAAATCGTTTCTCCGGGAAAAGCACCATCATGCCAGTAACAATGTCCACTCTCACCTAGATGACACTGGTTACGTTACTTCATCGACAGATGGCAGGTCCTTCCGATGGATTCCATCGATGTCAGAATTGCGAACGCATTATTTTCATGAAATTGGCTTTATAGCTTCTTTTATCTTATTTGTTAGCGCAACGGTCTTCTGGATTGGTGCAATAGTTGGCATCCCTGTCATCTTCACGCACATAGGTCAGGGACTCATTGATGGCCTCTACTGGGGTACTACTACACTTGGTGGGACAGGATTCACTGTGAGTTCATTACTGTACATGCTTGAGACGCAGTCAAAGTGGTATGTTCCTGCTTGGCATGTTCTGGGCTGGCATATTGGACTCTGGAATCTAATTGGCAGTGTTGGGTTTACTCTTTGTGCTGCGCTGGGCCCGGCGAGTAGCAACTCTGGCGCGGATTATCAGTCGTCTCTCGCTACATTTTGGGGCTCACTAGCTTTCATGATAGGATCCATGATCCAGTGGTATGAGAGTTTGCAGAAGCATCCTGTTGAGAAAAAGTGATGATGAGCTTCAATCAAGGCATTGCATGAGAATTATAAGTAGATTTATGCTCGTAATATCCTGGGAAGGGTTCCATATGTATTATAGAGTAAAGCTGAATAGGGCTTAGCGTTGTTTTGGGGTACAGTCCAAGAAACAACATTGAATGTTGGACGTTGAAACCATGTGTGCTTTCGACTTTCACTGCAGTAACTGTGTAGAGGTGGCATTATACCGCTAAGGACTGGAGAGTTCATAGTGGAAGCTGAGTGAAAGGTAACTCCCTATAGGAAGTTATCCATGATATGTACCTAGGTACATATATAGGTAGAGTACATAATCCAAATTAAGCGCCCTTGGCGACAAAAGCGCCTGCATGGAAGCATCCAACCCCTCGCTGATTCTGATCCTTTCCTCACCAAGTGCTCAATCTTCCATACTCCTGATATCATTACATTCTGCAAAGGCATGGAGATAGGAAGCCAATTTCAGAAGGTGCATCTCCTTGCATTTGGAGGCATGTCCTTCATCTACCAGGTCGGCCCTGGTATTGTGGTCAAAGTCCCACGCAACGATGATTTTGCGAGAGAACAATTTCTTAACGAAATTCAGATCTATAAAGCTTTCTCCCAACATGCAGCCTGCGAATTTATTGTGCAGTGTTTCTACTCTACGGACGGCGGGATCTTCCTTGAGCATATGAGAAGTGATTCTCCCGAGACCTATGGTTACATAAGTATCTCTATTGATCAGGTGAATAGATGGATGTCTTTCCGCGCGTATCCAACAGAATCACACGTTCGACCGCACAACCTGGCTGGTTACCCATGTGGATAGATTGGAACCGCTGTATCTACGACTCGCATGGATGAATGATGTTACCCAAGCCATCGCTTTCCTGGAATCGCTTAATCTCGCCCACGGTGATCTCCGACCAGGGAATATTGTCCTCGACGGCGACAGAATCAAGGTGACGGATTTTGACAATTCAGCAGCGTTTGGGACACCGGTCATGATCTGCCACGAGCCGTGGAGAAGGGAGCTGAGGGCGGACGAAGGTGATTATAACGTGCCTGGTTGTATAGGCGGGCTACTGGGACCTCGGACCGAGCAATTTGCCCTTGGCTCCATATACTATTTCATCAACTACGGCATGGAAGTGTATGGATTTAAGAGTCTCACGGACAATTCGCGTGACCGTTATCTGGCGCTCAGGGATTTACTGCAGGCCATGCAGTTACCAGACTTGGACTCTGATCTAATGATCGACGAACTGATTCATAAGTGCTGGCATAACCAGTTTCCCACCATTGCAAGCTTAGCCGTGGCTACGAAGGCATTGTTCACCCAGAGATGTAGCGGGGAAGAAAGCAACGCCGTCAAAGAGGGAACCAACATCAAGCAAGCGATAGACGGAGGCGAGTCAGATGGCAATAGCCCCATCGGCAAGACTGCCGGCAACCTAACCGGATGCGGCGCTTCAGAAAAGGAATTTTGTCAAGACTTGGAGAAACATGGACTCTTTGACTTCCTTCGCTCGAAGTGATAGTGGAGCCAGTGGTTGAAACTTCTCAAATAGGACAAATTTCTAATTTCTCAAGCGGGTTAATCTTCTGGTGATTCTCGGAGTAGCAATAGTCCGAAGACTTATAGATGAACTGACTTGCACTGTGTCTATCCGGAGGCATAAGAAAGCAAATTTCTTCTCATTAAAAGCCGGACGCAAGATTTTATGGCAGGCTTGGCCCAACATGGATAAGGGTCCATTTTCCCACCCGTAACAAAGAAAGCTTGGTGACGTGTATAAAAAAGGCTGTTGCATAGGCCACTGCAACCAGCAACGATGCTCCTCATCCAAAAGATAATATATACCACTGATAGTATGAGCACTGAGCCCCTGCATCCACCAAGCCCATTCCATTTCTTTCATAACAACGCAGAAATAGGCAAAAATAACCATCGCCTCAGGCTTGCGCTGCTGGAAGTATCCAAAGTACTGATCCGAAACTGTCAACAGCCAAATAAATATATCAGCAGTCTCGCAGTTATGCGATCCAAGTTCATCGACTGTGGCGAACGACATTGCCAAATCATCGGTTGAGTCGTGATAGCACTGCAGTTCACTGGGATCCTGAACTGTATCCTGCAAGAGCTTTTTCAAGACGAGAAGAAAGGGCGGCGTGGCAATGGTAGACCGCGCGTCCCGAGCCAGCTTCCTTCGACGGCCCATCTCAAACATTGGCGCCAGCGGTCCCGTTCTGAGGGAGTCATCTGCCGACGCCAAGATATGTACTGTGCCACGAAACAGGGTCAACCACTCGATATCTCGATCACTATTTGCCCAGAAACCGCGTCTGATCCGCGGCTTGGCACAGGAGATAAAGCAGGTCAGGACGGAAAAGACATATATGCTTTGGCAGTTTTCTTTATTGATGTCTGGGAGGATAGCGGACACCATCTGTAAGGCGGTGTTATGGTGGAGCTCTGCCTGGGAGACATAATAGTCGTGGAATTCGGGCTTTATATGAGCCAGATGCAGGGCGGAAAGTGCGATAATGGCGCGGAATACGAATGGCGATGAGAAGCTGACTTGCGGAATTCGAATCTGCCATACAGTTTGCAGAACCGGATTGCGTGAAACTGTAAAACAGGTTGATGTAGAGAAGTGGTGGAGTAAAGCCATCTCGGCCATGCCCATTGGGGTGTTCTCCCCTGAGGGGGCGGGACTTGGGGCGCTGGAAGTGCCGAGACACACCGATGGCCTGGGCGCTCTGACGCCCTCGCCGAAGAGACATTGTACTCCGTGTTTGAGGCAGTTGTTACAGTGCGGCCTAGTTTCATCGCACTTTTGAACGTGTCAAAACAATTAAGATAGATTATCTTCTTTGAACCACTCACCTTTACCTTGCGGGTTTTGCACGGTTGGCAGCCGTTTCTAGACTTTGTGTGCGACCGGCGAGGCCCCATCTTACACCCGCGTTGACGGGACGGAAAGATAGGTCGATGTAGATATATGGATAAAGAGAAAGGTTGTAGTGTTTAGATCTCAATATATATGTAAATGTCTTGAGAAAAGAGTCTTTCTTTTTGGCCAAAACCGAAATCCATGTCGAATGCCAAAACGCTCCCGCTAGTGCTAGCGCCAGCCCCACAAAAAGATGTTCACCTAAAAATATCCCATACTCTCTTCATACTTCCAAGTTGTTGCCTTTCTGGTATGCATCTTTTTAATTATTACTGATATCAATCAGTTCCTTACCACTCTGAGACTCAGTGTCACCCGTGGTCGACCGGGGAGTCAACAATGTCTTCGGAGGGAAGATGTTGAAAGTGATCATAGTCAAGAACATCAGAGCAGCATCAAACACATAAAGGTACACTTCCGTCGACATAAGCGGTCCATCTGTACCGGTAATATACTCAACGGCACGGAAGATAGACCGAATCATGATGAACAGACTAGCCGTGTAGAGGATAATCAAACACTTTACCCATGGCACCGTGATAGCAGACATGGAAACGCAATCCCGGCACTTCCTGAGCCGGTAATGGAACACGCCAGCAGTCACGACGAAGAATCCAAAGAAGGCAATTTGGATGAAAAGACCGACAATGATGATATTTTGTCCGAGGGCAATCTTGGACTGGGTCTTTGCGGATGAGAGGAAACCACCGCCAGCGCCCTGGGCGAGGAACGAAATGACGTCTCCGCAAACAAAGATTTTGGTCAGCCATTTGACTCGGATGACAGAGAGCGAATCATGGCCGGTGGAGATGATTGAGCGGCCCAGGGTCATGTAGATGGATGCGGCGAAGAATGCTGGTGCGAGTAGGAGCAAGAGTGATTGCATGACATATGGGATTGTTGTCCAATTAGGGGTCTCTTGTGAGCTAAGATAGCGACCAACATAGCCGACAGCTTCAACTATAAGCAAGTTAGCCTTATGGCTTTGTTCATAAATGGGGTATATACTTACAGATCCCTCCGATAATGAAATGAATGAAGAACCATGCTCGACTCCGGACCGTTTGGAAAATGTGCACCAAGGTGGTTAATATGAAGAGAACAACGAAGATAATCGCCGCAACTGCCGACGGGTCATAGTGGTAGAAAGTGTGTATAGAGTCATTGGCCATGGCTTTGGTAGTCTGAATTGAGTAAAGGAGAAGACGTAGTTGGATCGTAAGAATAGTAACTGAAAGCTATGTTGACTATGGGTAATAGAGTCCATGTAGAGATTGTCAGACGCTTTTATAGCTATGTATCAATGTCAAAATGTCTGCAAGATCTAGTGCTGAGCCCTTGAAATCTATTTTGGTAGTTCACGTACTCGGGTTGGAATCCGAGAAGAAGTAGATAGCCCTGTTTCTAGAAGCTTATTTTGGGTGTGGATCCGGATTGTGGCTTGGCGTGAATCTAGGGTCTCTAGGCTACCGATTAAATCCTACTTCCTGCTTCTGTATTTTCGTGTGCAGATCAATTTTGAAACCGTTTTGGACAATAAAGCCATGGATGTTTGGAGATCAAGGATCCGAACCCGAAGTCCGAGGAAGAGTACAACGTCGGTCTCTGATTGGTCAATAAACCTCGGATTCGTAACTTTATTCTTCGTATTCGGGTTCGGATTATCCAGTCCTTCATCGATGCACATACAGATGTTGTTCGGTGAGGATGATAAGCTTACAATTATGCAGGTGCCTAGATCCACGGTTTAATATGTCAATTGGTCAATTGTTCTGCCTGAATAAGACTCAAACCTGTTCAACTTATCGAGGATATAATAGGATATAATCGTGCCAAGCTCACCAACATCTACCCGTGTGCCCCAGCAGGCCCCTGGATCCCATATTTGCAAATTATATTGTAGGTATCTTTTGTATGACAACTCTATACAAAGGGTACTTAACCATAATATGAACATAACTTCTAAGTCTTAGACTAGCTAAAGAAAAATAAAATGGCTAAGCCTAATATGAGCTTACTTAAATCAACCTACTAAAACTAATTCTAAAAATACATATGTATTATATAGAAGTGGAAAGGCACTTTAAAAAAACCACGTATAAATATTGCATAAAGATACAGTATGTACCCTTACATTACACACTTGGAATTTCTTGCTATAGTTACTAGTATATAATTAGGACACCATTTACGACATATACATATCTTTTCATATCACTAAACCTTTTCAACGGTCGAGGAAATTGATGTTCAACTTACGTTATGTTTAACTCAACTCTATACACCAGACACCTAATTTTGTAATCCAGTGATAATCTGGGATCAACTGGGCCACACCAATGACAAGTCTACGTCGAGCACGCGATATGTATGATAGACTGGGCCCAGCATGGTCTGAACTACCACATGGTCTTCCTGAAGTTGCCTGGTGAATAAATCAACACTAATGTACTACTGACCTGTCTGTGAATTGACCGTGTTTCGACTCACTTGGCACGGCCGTCCATTGAGGATCAATATGTCGCTAATTCTGATGAAGTGGCAAGGAATCGGCACGACCTCAGATCCACACTGTGACCCATCGTCCTTATCCCAACTGGGCAGTAGTGGATTTCCGTCCTCTTTGAGGAGGTAGTGATGATTTCCCTCATCGTGACGGCCAGAATCTGAAGGCTGATTAGTCCCTTCATTATCGTGGCTTACTGGCTCAAAGGTGGTGCGACGAACCAGCTGTGGCTCATCTGATTGATTTTCAGGTTATTTGGTCAGTAGGGCTTTTAAACAGTGTTAGGTGAGTATCCAGCTCTTACCCTCCGGAAAAAATGATAATTCCCTTCATCATCGTAGTAGCTCATATCTAAAACTAGATTTCTGGCTGGGAAGAGTGGCTTAGGTGGAGTTGATTGTTACCTAGGTATGTCCGAAGGAGATGCCATGCTCTTCCCTTTTCCGTTTCGTCTCGTCTCTTCAACTTTTTTATTTTTTTATTTTTATTTTTCTTACACTAGTGTGTGATTAATATGCATGGTTGTGTTTTCATACAGCCATCCATTTTCGCCCACTCCATACAAAAATCATGTTCGCCGGCAGTTGATCTCTCTACATAATCTTTCAGGTATTAATATCTAAATATGTCAGTAATGCGATTGGCTCCAAGGTTGTAGATATTTTGAAGACGAACTTTGAAAGTTTTGTGGGATTATACCTCCACATCGTATTTTTCATGCATACGCGTGAAGCCCTGATAGGGTTACTTGGACACCAGATCAGATAGGGAGATTAGTCTGATCCTTTGCAAATGGGCCCTATAATGAAACGGTTGAAAAAGAAGCTGAAAACGAAAAAATTGTAGTCCATAAAAACCTTGGAATCATGTGTATACAATTTTGGAAGAACATTTAAACGCGCTCCACCCCTACACTGCTAGCAACTTTGTCGTCTTCCTGTTGCTCAGTCTGAATATTTCCATAAGCCTTGATTTCTGCCGCCATCTTCCTCGCCTGATCAACTGGGTCCCCGCCCCGAGCGAAGATCAAATCGATATCCTCAAGACGCAGGTTGCTAGTCTCGGGGTAATAGAAGTAGATCACAGGAACGAAAAGAAAGTTGGTGATCATGAAGATCAAGTACGCTTTCCATTGGATGCGATTGATAATCACAGGCGTGATCATGACAACGGTGAAGTTCCAAAGCCAGTTGGAGCTGACACCGATCGCTGTTTCCCTTAGTTCGGGCTTCCAGAGGCAGGATCTCAGGTACGTATACCCACGGTACCGAGTTGATGGACATGCCATGGATGAGCATATACAGGAAAAAGAACGCGACAGATGCTTCGGCGTATGTCTTTCCGTTTGGTTCGTTGACTTGGGACAGCAATGCCGCTACCATCATCATGCATATTCCTAAACCCAAAGAGCCGATCATCATTGTCTTCCGGCGACCCATGCTGTCCAGTTTGAATGCTGGTAGGAGAGAACCGAGCATGAACATGATTTGGATGCAGCCACCCAAGATCAGGGAGAGTTGGCTAGTTAGCCCAACATTTGTTCTCAGCACAGCTAATACCGGTTAGCATAGGTATTGATTCAGCAAAATATCGATACATACTAGGCACGAAGTATACAACCAAGTTGATTCCCCCAACCTGGTTCATGAGCTGAATGCCCCAAGCGAGAAGTACTCGCTGGCCAGTCTTCACTTCATCGTTCCGGAAGATCTTCCAGAAAGACTGCTTGCTCACAGAGTCTTCCAGTTCAATGGCGGACACGATTCCTTTATGCTCATTGACGATGAACTCGTCTTCTGGCGCACGATCGTACACAGCACAGAGGACGTCCATGGCTTCTTGTTCCTGTCCGTGGTTCATGAGCCATCGAGGAGACTCCGGTAGGCCGAAGACCAACACGATGACGAAAATGGCGAAAACCATCTGCATGGCAACAGGCAGCCGCCAGGCGATAGGTCCGCTAACAAAGGACATACCAAAGTCGAACCAATATGCCAAAACGATTCCGACGGCGGTGAAGAGAACTTCTGAGGAAATGAGACGACCTCTGGTTTTACCCTCGCACATCTCTGCCAGAAGAAAGAGTGATGAGCACTTGCTTGGGTTAAGACGACTTCACGGAATTATATCTGGCTTACCGGCCTGGTACATGGGAACAGTGCTGGTCTTCAAGCCGGTGCCCGCACCAGTCACAATTCTTCCAATGATCAAATGTGGCACATTGAAGGCTGTGGTCTGCAAGATAGCACCGACAATTACCACACCCATTGCAAGCCAAATAGCTCTTCGGCGGCCGAGTGTTTCGCCGATGCAGAAGTTAACTAGCCGTGTCAGTCAATGTCCATCCCAATCAGGTACTCCATACAACTCACTCAAACAACCAAGAAGACACCCCAAATTGTAGCAACTGACAATGATACCCTCTTCCGAGTCATTGGGGTAGCCGAACTGTTTCCTCCAGTCTTCATTGCCGATAATGCCACTAAACACACCTTGGTCATAACCAAACAAAACGAAAGCCACAAGGCAGCAAGACGTGACAGCGACCTGAAGGGATCGACCCCTTCCATACCAAGTGCGCATGATGGCGTAGAAGTCAAGATCACAATTCGGGGTGGGGTATAAAGGATGCAGTGCAAGGGGCTACAGAAAAAAAATCAACCACTTAGCCGGGGGTTTTCCGGCATGTTTATAGTCTGCAGAACAGGCCCCGCTACGTACAGGGCCTGGCACCTTCTGTCATAAGAGTTAACCCGCATCATAGGGGACGATCAAGCAGTCTCAACCAATGAAGCCAGGTTCCTGTGGACCCGGGAATTGGGATCTGGGGTATCTGGAGTTAGCCATTTACGCGGAGTTTGGGCGAAACTCGTCTGTGCGGAGGACGAGAATTGGCGCCACAGTCGGGAGCCGGAATCGGGCAAGCCAACCGCACGTCTTGCCGGTCGATGCCCGAGTTGTCTTCAGTGGCTCGGCAAGAGCCGACAGTTGGGTGGTTGCAACTTCCCATTTGGGATTTACGGAATATTGCTACTCCGAGATCATCCGGGCTACTGACCTCTTTAGGAAATTTGTCCAAATCGGGAAGTTGCAACCACTGACTCCACTATCGGTACTCGCCTTCGATGTTTAGGTCCTTTCTGAGTCTATGTACATGTATATAGTCTTGCAGTATGATGCAGTGGCTTAGGTTGATACTGCCATGTATATTGGTTGATATGGGGCTGAAGTCAACGACAACAAAGTCACCTTCGAAGATAATTATATATCGATCTCTCTATTTATCAAATTTCAATGGTGGTCTATCCCTACCTCTCCAGTATGATGAAACCTGAAGAATGTGAACAGTGAGAAATTTGCTTTAGGTGTATTTGTGGTTTAGGAGATAATATAGCTATAGGGAAGATTTAAAGCTGTTGCTGCTAGTTGATTCTTTATGAAAAAGAGTTCTAAACTAAGCACAAAGGGAAAGAGAAAAAGGATGAAGACGAGCGTCTTGTTAGGGACTAGTTAAGCTCCCAACCTTTGCGTGACCGCATCCCATTGAACCAGTCCTGCACATATTCCAACCCGGCATGAGGACCATAAATTTCGGTTTCCCACTGAGGCAACGGGGCATCAAGTCCAGTCTCTTGCAGACATGTTTCTCTTAACTGCTCGAGGCTTCCACCGCGGTCATAGATGGAGGACTCACTAACCTGGCTACGTTCCATCCGCATCTGGGCCCGCAATGCCTCGGTCTCAGCCGCATCTACAGTGAAATCGTCGTTGACAACGGTACCGTACGCAATACGAGCTCCCTCAACCGTGACAAGCTTCCGGTGTACTTCCAGGGCAACCTTTTCTGCCGGACGTGTCAAAGGTTCACCCAATCCACCCCCACCCCAGGTCACCCACTCGAGAAGATCACCCGGGTCGACGCGAATATGATCACACTTTGAAGGCAAAATTTCTGTGGGGGGGACTGTCCTCGGACTTGGAGTACCGGTAGAGCATTTTACGGGATCGTTGTCCTGGCTTTCCACCCTTCAACCCCCATGGCTTGGTGAACCACCGGTCATCGTGGAGACTGAACTCCCCACGAGCCAGGAAACGGTATAGCGTGCGCTGAGCATTACCACCGCGATAAAATCCGGCGCCACCACTGTCGGCGACGCTCTCATTAGCCTCGATACGCAACGGGTAGTTGAGCTCTATTATTTCTGTCGGAATGGACTTGATGGCGGGGAAGAGACAGTGGCAATCAGGGCCATCGCCGGCTTGCCGTGCAGGCACGCCTCCGAATCCAATCTGGTAGAGCTGGTACCACTCCCGTCCGGTTTGAAACCTGAGTAAAAGAAGTGAGGTGAGTCACTGAATCCCGCTGCAGCCTGGTAGGAGTCTTGCTTTTGGCCAATCAGAGCTTGTACAATGTCCAAGGTCCGACCGAGGAAGTGAGTTCGGCACGAGATTGGCGCAGGGCGAACAGGCTTGAGGACTGATCCTCGGGGATGTGCACATCAATCAAGTCATGGAAACCGTCATTGATAACCGTGCCCGGGGCAGCGGCTGCAATGAGGTAGTACCCAATGAACATCCTGAACATTGTCTCTGAGAGATAAAAGTTGATACTATGCTCGCTCTGTGGAGAAGTGCCACTCCAGTCAAATTGAAGCCGGTTGCCCTCTACTTTTTTCATGGAGCAGGTGAGTGCCCAAGGTCCAACACCATGACCATCATCATCGACGAAGTCAGTGAATTTGCTTTCCAGATCATCGAATTGGCGCTCGATAATCTTTGCGAATCCAGTTCGGTTCCGGTACAGCAGCTCTGAGCACGCAGCCAGGTATACTTCAGTGCCGAAACGGGTGGCCAACTCTCGAACTCTGGTGGCAGCCATAGAACAGGATGCTACAATGGCAGTCAGATCAGAGCGATACCATGCCGGTTGGCGAGAGTTTCGACAAAGAAGATCGACCAGATCTGTGTTCATCACACCACGGGTATAAAGCTTTATGCATGGAATCTGGACACCGTCATCGAAGACGGATGTCGCGTTGATTGACATGCTTCCGGGAACGATACCTCCAACATCTGTCAGATGGCCAAATTGCGATGCGAATCCAATGATCTGACCGTTGTGGAAAATAGGCAAAAAGGCGATGATGTCGTTGAGGTGGCTGATGGCGCCCTGCACTTGGTAGGTATCGTTGGTAATAAACACATCCCCCTCCTCGATTGTACCATCCCAAACATCGAGGAACTGGGTGATGAAACTGCCAAACTGACCAACCAGCATTTTGCCCTCACGGTCGGTGATGACATTGAATTCATCCTGCTGCTCTCGGATGGCAGGGGACATGCTGCATCGTAACATCATCTTGTCCATCTCGCCGCGAATGGAGGCCAGTGTCGAGGAGATCAGTGTAGGAATCAACGGAGTGCTCTTGACAAGCTCTTTGGCTGAGTCGGCAGTGTGTGTGGTAGCGGCGGTAGGCTTCTTTTCCAGAGGGTTGATCAAAATATTCCCTATGCTATCGATCTCACCATAGTAGCCAGGCAAGATGAGCGTGTTGCTGTCCATTTCGGAGATAATACATGGACCCGTTACTTGAATACCTTGCTTGCTAATCTTCTGACGATCCCACAGGGTTGCCAATTTCTCTTCGCCTTGGACGATGATATTCTGCTCACCAATCTTTGCGTCTGAAGGGGGGATTGTGGCTTTGCCAACTTGACGAATGTCAATACCAGGCGAGGCGTCTTCCAACACAACTCCCAGTCTCATCAATTCAAGCTCAAAGTCGGGTAAGCAGTAAGTGAACATTTGCTGGTGCTGCTGGTCGAACTTTTGCCGCAACACATCATGCCATTTATCAGTAGTCAGGGCCAAGTCTTCTTCAGTGAGCTCAATTGTTATCATCAAAGCTTGGCCTTTGTACCGGAGATCTGCTTGGTATGCAGTTTTCCATGACAAGGGCCACAGATCACCCGCCGTCCTCGACAAGGTATCCCGGCACTCTTGCTCCAGCGTTTGGTACTGTTCCCGCGCCTCGAAAATCGTGGTTCCGGAGACAATACGGATGAAGGTGGCGGATTGCTCGTGTCTAAGTTTAGTGGTCACATCACCCTGTGCACATAGAATTCCAGGCGAAGGCGGGATGATCACAGGCCAGGCCCCAAGAAGTTGACCCACGGCGTTTGCATGCAGAGGGCCGGCGCCACCGAAAGCGACCAGTGCAAATTCACGAGGATCATAGCCCTGCTCCACAGAGACAAGACGCAAGGCACCATACATTGTCTCATTGATGATTGTGATGATATCCTCGGCTGTTTGAATGACCGGAAGCTTCATCTGGTTCGCAATATCCTCGACAGCAGTTATAGCAGCCTGGACATCCAACGCGAACTCGCCACCCAGCAATGTTTTGGGCAAATACCCCAGGACCAGATTCGCATCCGTGACAGTGGCTTGCTTTCCGCCTTTTCCATAAGATGCAGGTCCGGGTGATGCGCCTGCGCTCTCGGGGCCTACCCGCAGGGTCTCCGTGAGCTCCATATAAGTTGTGATTGACCCTCCACCAGCCCCGACGGTCTTAATATCAACTGCGGGCGCCCGAACAGAAAGACTCTCTACAACAGTCTCTCGTCGGAGCTGAGGCTGGCCATTGTAAATTAGTGCGCAGTCGGTAGAAGTTCCTCCCATGTCCAAGGTAATCAGATTCTTGTACGGAGTACTCCGAGCCACAACATCTGCCACTCCCTTGACGCCTCCTGCAGGTCCCGACATGAGGATGTTGACTGGTAGCTCAGAAGCAAGAGTCAGACTGGTCAATCCACCATCGCTCTTGAGAACCCGAATGGCTTCACTTTCTGTCGCAAGCGCCTCAGACAGATTGTGCAGGTATTTCTCAACAACCGGCTTTACCAGCGTATTCGTGCAGGTTGTGACCGTCCGCTCATACTCTCCGACTTCACGCAAGACATCTGTAGAACAAATAATGGCGATACCGGCCCCCAGTTCCTCGCGGACTGTTTGTGCAACCACGCGTTCATGAGCCTCGTTGCTATGCGAGTTCAGCAGGGAGATAGCGACCGCTTCTGGTTTCTGTCGCGCCAGCTCTTTCAGGCTTTGTCGCAGATCCTCAACATCAACTGGCGTTACTGTTTCGCCCTGAACGGACATGCGTTCTTTACATTGAACGACTCGCTCAAGTGGAACTATAGGGTCGGGTGGAGTCCAGTGCAGCCACGCACCGAGTCCACCTGGGATCTGAGACCGACGCAAAGCCAATATATCCTTATGGCCAGCCGTCACAACTAGCGCGGTGCGGGCGCCCTTCCCTTCGAGGACTGCATTTGTTGCGGTCGTCGTGCCATGGTGAATGAATTGGAAAGTCCCCGACCAGCCGAACTGCTCATTGAGTAGTTCACGGGCCTTGGAAATACCCTGTTGGATCCCTATACTTTGGTCTGGGATGGTTGTTGGGACCTTTGCCCGCACAGTTTGTCCATGCGGGGTGAACACGTAAACATCTGTGAATGTCCCGCCAACATCAACTCCGAGTTGATAACCCTTCTCTGTGGCTTCTTGCATGTTGCAGTTTGGTGTGTTTGGGGAATAGATTTAGGGGCGATGAGGGATCAGGGGGTGATCCTAGAAAGGAGTTCGGAATCATTAAAACTCTTACGAATGATTGCCAAAGATTTGAACTTCGAATTCACCAATGCTATCGCATTTTGTGTGTGGGCTTACCAGCCCGCTGTCATAAAAGAGGGGATGAATTGTCGTTCTTTACCTTGTTCGATTCAGTGGGGCGCATATTGCCAATGAGGTTGTTCATGCATGGGTGTATATGCAACTAATATGCAACTAATATGCAACTAGACAGACTCTGCAACCTGGGGGCGGTTTTTCGGCGTTGGACTTGTATAGATTGAGTCTTCCATAACCATAGCAGTCAAGAACGAACTCTGCTGGGTATATATATACTCAAGACAAGAAGAGACATAGTCAAGGCAATAATCCCATGCCCACTCCGAACTAATCTGATCCCAGGTTTTGTTCCCTTCTAGAAATTCTATTGGATCTCGCGATAAATGTACTCGGTGTACAATCTCAATATAATCAAACGACTTCATCCTTCATAGACATTAAATCTTGTTTAGGTTCACATAGTCACATCAGTAGGGATAAAGCTATTTAATATAGTAGCATCCACAAGCTGTCAAGTTGTCAGCCAATAAAATGTTCTCGGAATGATCGCCAACCTCACAGACTAATGTCATTATTTTTAACCTGCCATCTCTCTAGGTAGAATGCACGAATAGTATGACAGTATTGGGTGGTTTCCAAGCATTTCCAAGCCTTTTTAGAGGCGAACAGCCGTTGGAATGTAATGGAAACACCCACATACCGCGATCCTAGATCGACATCCTATGGACCCTTTAGGACCGGAATGTGCGATCAGAACACCGATTGAGAGAAGATTGGATTTTATGACACTTGCCAGCCCCTGGGTATGACGCAGAAGTTCCCTTTGAATTGTAAACGCGTTTCACGTTCAGTGTCATAGTCATTCCAGTCATTCTTCCCCGCCATCCCATTACGGTGCGGCAATCATGGAATGAGAAGGGTGATAGGACGTATTAACTAACGTATATAAGAGTGGATAAAACGTTTCCCTGCCTACGCTTCGCAATCCCGCAATTCAATCTGATCAAAGTCTATAAGTTCCCGGATACCAAAATCCCAGTAACCATGCGTTCCCTCACCACATCATTTATCTCCCTATCCCTGCTATCAGGCACAGTCCACGCCAAAAGCATAGCTCGTGTCTGGACACACTTCTACCCAAACTGCCCTGGCGAGGCATTCAGCAATCTCGACACATACGAAAAATACCACGTATCCGGCCCATCCCAAAATATCACTCAGGGCAGCTGCAAAAGCTTCTCCGTCCCCTCCTACGAGAAGAACCTCGTCGACGCCATCTCCGTCGACGCCGAGCTCCTCTCTAACGACCACGACCTCCCTTTCCTCTCAGGCGGCAGCGGCTGCAACATCACCGTGCACGAGGTGCCTGAATGCATCGACCCGCCCCTAATCAGCAAAGAGATCCGAGATGGCGTTGCGATTAGTCAGTGCGCCTCGCGCCAGTTCGTCGCTTACAGCCAAGTCTGGGTGAATCTCGTTTGCGACAGCGACAGCCCTCTCCACGACGAGAACATCCCTACCCATGGTGCAAAGGAGAACAACAAGCAAGCAGACACGCACCAGTCCATTCCTACTGCTCAGCCTGATGCGCCTGTGCGCGCTGAAAAGCATACTACCATCGAGGATATCAAGAATATCCAGATGCCCGGGTCCAACTCGGATTCTTGGCGCGCGTCTCAGGCTACGCATAGCCAGCGTGAGCCCGTGCAGGAGGGTCGTGTCAATGAGGCTGGTCATGCGCAGAGTGATCAGATCGTGCATCATATCATGGAGTTGTTGAAGAATAAGACTTCGCATATCGTCACCGGCAAGCATCATGCCCACTCGAATGTTACGTTGCATCACAATGGTACTGCCCCCGGTAATCGTACTGTGATGACTCGTCGGCGTTTGTCGGTCTTGCGAAACAGGGCTGCCCGTCTTGTTTAGAGTTGGATTTGGAAATGTTGTATATCTGAGCGTTTGATTTGTGATGAATTGGAATCATTTGTGTATACCAGCTTAGTTAAAAGTCCACTTTTATATGTGAAACTTGCTCTATTACTTGATCTTATCATACTAACTAATGAAGTAGTATCTAAGGAATGAATAAGATACTCCTCGCTCTCACGGTTCAAAGTAGTGTAGATCAAAGGATTCAATGGATATGACCGACTCCAAGAAGCGACAGGGTCGTATATCTTTTTTCGGTGTCATCATCTGATTATAGCCACTTGACTTTCTGGTCTACTGACCAAGCGAAAAGATATTTGTGTTAATTGCAGACACATCACACTGTACAACAGCAAGACTCTCTATGGTACTTCCAACGTTGACGTAGCAAATTCATCAACAAGCCAGATTGCCAAGTTAATATTCTAACTTGTCTCTTCGCCGGCATCTTGAGCTGCCTGCTTCCTACGAGCAGCCTCCTTTCCAGCAAAGCTAAACAACATGCCAAGATCGTAGGTCACTTTCAAACATCCTGCAATAATGAAGGACACACCGAAATGGCCATTGCTCGATAAGATACCCGTCAACAGGGGACCCATGCTCTGGGCTGTAGTCTTCACAACATTCACCGCGCCCATAATAGCAGTGCGCTTGTCTGCCGGCAAAGCTGCAGCAAGGAATGCGGAGCGAGGCGCCACATCCATGTTCTGGGTGCAGGCTCGCAGAATCAGGAAGGTCAGTGCCAGGGGCAGGCTAGATGGGACGGAGATGAGAGCCAGACAGATCGCCGACGGCAAATGAGTGAATACCATAGTCTATCAAAAAGTCAGAAGCCGCTCAGCAGCCCGAGTAGGAAGAATCTCTTACCTTGACATTACCAATTCGTTTGGCGAGGGACGAGGCCACAAGCATGGATGCCGCAGAGATAATGTTCGTAGTGAAGAACATAGTGCCGAGTCCACCTGAAGGCAGATTGAACTTGCCCTTGAAGAAGTAGGTCATCCAGGACCTGACAAATTAGCATTGTAGCATATAAGAGTTAGAACCTCACTCACAGTGAAGCCAATCCAGACGCAAATGAGTCCACTCCAAAAAGGATGAAGAGACGGATAACCAGAGACCACAGGTCCTTCTCGATAGACGGAAACAGCCCCTTCTTCGTGGCCGGCTCGACATCCCGTTCGACAGGTTCTGACAGCAGTGGTCGGGTTTCAGAGCTCTGTTCCTGTGGCTCCTCTTTCTGAACCTCGATTTTGCCACTCAGGCCCAGATTCAAGATTAGCTTAACGACGCCAACGCCGGCATAGACGAAGAAAATGATGCGACAGGCGGGAATGAAGGCCCATCCGTGGATTGACTCGAGAGAATTAATGATCCAACCACAGACAAGCATTCCCATAGCCGAGCCAGCATTTCCAATCAAGGAATACCAAGCAAAAACATCACTCAAAAGCTCATGTGGTGTGAGATGAGCCAGAGTGGATTCCTCCACAGCACGGAACGGGCCAATTTCATTTCCACTACGGAATTAGCTCGGATGAAAATATAAGACAGAACAAAAAAGACGAACCTCGGACTGATGACACCGAAGACTGCAGCGGCCAGTAGAATCCAGAAATTTCCAAAAAGAGCGAAAATGACTCCGCTGCCAGCCATAAGGATTGATCCGAGCGACAACACCGCCTTGCGACCCATAGCATCGGCAAACAGAGTGAGGAAGAAGCTAATCACCACATCTCCGACCAGCGTGAGAGTCATAAACAAGCCAATGCGATCATCTGAAATCCCCATGGCCGATAGATACGATGCCAAAATCAAGGTCGAGCCGCCGTACGCGAAGAGCCGGACGAAGCGTTGCGCGCAAAGAAGCTTCACGTCGAGCGACGACCGCCACATGGTGGTTAGGCCCAGCTCTTCGAAAACATGGGCCATGTATCGCGCCGGCCGCGATTGATTCTCCATTATAAGATGGTTGAAGGAAGAAAGATGAAGGTGAAAACAACTTTTTAACTCCGAGCTTCGGAGTCGGGGTTCGGGGTTCGGGCCGGAGCTAAGCTTTCTTCGGGGAACTAAACGGTAGAAAATATATCTTACATCTCTCTTTGGAGGATAAACAGAATTATTATGTACAAATGTCTCTCACTGCTCAGTCTTGGGAGGCCATTTCACTCGTCGTTCTGCCCGCACATACAAGTTGGTAGGACGGATCAACTGGAACATGGGATCATACTCGACTGGCCCATCATTCTCTTTTGTGAACTTGTACCGGTACAACAATTTGGGTAAGAACACTTTGACTTCCTGCAAGGCAAAGTTGAACCCAATGCACATGCGGGGTCCAGCAGCGAAGGGAATATACGCAGTCTTATGGCGGTTCTTCACTTCCGCTGTATCCCAACGGTCTGGATCAAACCGTGCAGGGTTAGACCAGACAGCTGGGTTGTTGTGAATGTGGTGAAGGGCAGGGATGACGATAGAGTCTTCGGGGAGCTTGTATCCGCCTGGAAGAATCATATCGACCTTGGCAGTGCGCGCAGGCTGGTATGAGGGGTTATGACGGCGTTGAGTTTCTTTGATGAATTTGTCCAAGAACGTCAGACGATCAGTCAGATCCGCAGTCATTGGGGTGTCGGCATCGATGTCGTTGTCAATCAATTCCTGTAGGAGTCTCTCCTGCATGCCGGGATAGTTGACTAGGGAATAAAGCAGCCACGACAACAATGAGCTAGTAGTGGTAAAGCCAGCACCGGTGGCTACTACTAGTGCCTCCATCAGACTTGTCTTGGGCAATTTCTCGCCCTTGTTATCCGTGGCGCGAATAATATAATCTGCCTAATGTCAGCTCGAGCCTTCCAACTGCCAGGTATTTCACTCACCAATCATGTTCGAGGCCTGCAATGCGGCATCCTGTAACGGGAGATCCTCGACACCATTCTGAGAAGCATTTTGAATTGACTCGTTGACCATCTCAGCGATGCGATGACGAGCGTCCCGGAGGCGTTTCGGGTCACCGAAAGGCAACTTGGCGTACCAATCACCACGGGCGGTCACCTTCTTATTCAGCTCCAACGACTCGGCAATTCGGTAGACAAGTTCATGAGGTGGCGCATCCACGGCAGAGAAATGCTTAAAGTCCATACCCAGAACCAGCTTACCCACGGCTTGCGCACCGAGCTTAAGCATATACGGGTAGACATTCCAAGCCTCGCCGCGCTCGTCTAGCTCGTCAAACACATTGAATGCATCCTCGACGGTCTCTTGCATAGTGGGGGCATAGTGGCGCACTGCTTTTGGTCCTAACGCTGGCGGGAGAAACTTGTGTGCCGCGCGCCATTCGGGTGTATCGGTGTCACCTAAGAACACACCGGCCTGTTGGTTCTTAATCGGGTGTAAGGGGTGTGCCTCGTTGATTTTCTTAGTAAAGAAATCAGACTCTGAGAAAATAATGGCCGATAGTTCGGGGTCGTTGGTGTGGTAGACCGTGCGGCCCATGTTGGTGGTTTGAATAATGGGTCCATATTGGTCAAATAGACGCTGGTGGTTTCCCAGGTGGTCAGGATAGACCTCGAAGAAGTTCCCCACGAATGGAAGTCCCTTGGGACCAGGGATCTCCCGTACTTCCTTGCCGTCTATTGAGATGGCGATGGGCTCTTCATTGGCAAGGACCTCTGAAATAGTGGACAACACCGAGTCCTCTGACTGAAATCCAATTCCTACTTTGGTGTTAGAATGATATCAGGGACAATAAGATAAAGCCTTACCATTTGGCTCAACGATGGCAAATTGGCCAGCAATAAGCAGCTGAAGCCCTTGGTAGTCGACTGTTGTCTCTACCTCGATTGGGCGAGCAGAGGTGATAGCCTCACCCAGTAAGTAGAAATGTTTGGCAACCATTGTGAAATGAGAATGAAACAAGATGTCTTCCTCTCTTGAAGGGCCCGCTCACATTTATAAGGATCTAATTATCTGAGCCGTTTGAAACTGCATAGTTGACTCCACTATTTCATAAAAACGCGTCCCGATTCTTTTTCATTTCATAATAGAAGAAGATGTATATCTCTAAGAGCCTCGGCTCAAAATATTTCTCAGGATCCACAATAATATCACGCCAAAATAGGCAAAAAGTAGTGTATTCCGTACGGAATAGAGTTGAACGTCGTTTCGGGCTCACCGTGGCCGACGGCAGACGGCACTGACACGAATTGTGCCGTCTCGGCCCCACCGACAAGATTGAGGTTTTGCCTTTTATTTTGCTTTTTTTTTCTTCCTTTTTTCTCGAGATGCCGAGGCATTTTGAATCCCTGATTGCTGGTAGGCTGGTTTTATGTATTATGTACATATCGGAAGTGCTAAGTGGGCTGCAATAATTCCATGTTCCAATACGGAGCACTTTTCGTGATATTAAATTAAGACTCCGTCCTTTTGATTTCTGCAAAATCATTCATTCACAATGTCCGTTCCAGAAACAAAAGAGCTGAAGGCTGAGTGGAAGGCAGATGTTGAGCTGCCAGAGTATACATTGAAAGATGTAGCGGCACATAACACCAAGGGTGATACCTGGATGGTCATCCATGGACAGGGTAATAATCTTTTTTAAAGTTGATTCAATCGAAAAGTCCGTACTAACATTGCAACAGTCTTTGACCTCACAACATATCTGCAAGATCACCCAGGTGGTGCAGAGGCTCTCATCGAGGTAGCCGGCACCGATGCCACAGCAGCCTATGAGGATGTTGGGCATTCTGAAGACGCCCGCGAGATCATGCAGCCATTCCTGGTGGGCACTTTGAAGGATGCCCAGCAGTACGTCCGGCCCAAGGCAGTGCGTGTGGTGTCCCAAAAAGCACCCGTAGAGGCCGGCTCCTCATCATCGACCATCAAGACAATCGCTTGTGCTCTGGGTGGGCTGATCCCAGTCTTCTACGTCTTCAGCAGAAGCAACAATCTCACTACCAACCTGGGAGCCATCACCCAACTGATCCCTCACCAACTGAAGAACCTACGACTGCCTCATGGAGGCTTCGTCAACGGCTTCTTGGCCGCTTCTGCTATCTCCACAGCCGTCGGAGTAGTGGTAGCACGACAGGCCGGCAAATTCACCAAGATCGACTCTGGGTTCATGCGCTACCCACCTCATATGAAGTCAAAGAAGGTGATTCGTGCCGATCCGCATCTGACACGCGGTTTCCTCGAGCCGCAACAATACCAACGCCTGCCACTCGTTGAAAAGACCGAACTAGCAACGAATGTCTACCGTTTCGTCTTTGCACTGCCAACCGCCACAGATGTGTTGGGTCTACCCATCGGCCAACACGTCGCCATCAGAGCCGTTGTCGATGGAACGACCGTCACTCGCTCATACACCCCTACCTCCAACAACATCGACCGCGGCCGCATTGAACTCGTGATCAAATGCTACCCCGACGGTCTATTGAGCGGGAAATATCTGGCCGGCCTGACCGTGGGCGACGAAGTCGAGTTCCGCGGACCTAAGGGCTCTATGCGTTACACAAAGGGTCTATGTCGCAAGATCGGCATGGTGGCCGGCGGCACAGGCATCACACCCATGTACCAGCTTATCCGGGCGATCTGCGAGAACGACACCGATACGACGGAAGTTAGTCTGGTCTACGCGAACCGCAGCGAGGCTGACATTCTGTTGCGCGAGGAGCTGGAACGGTTCGCGCGCCAATACCCGAAAAACTTCAAGCTGTGGTATATGCTGGACTCTGCGCCCGAGGGCTGGACCTATGGATCGGGATACGTGGACCAGGCAGTTCTGGCGGAGCAGCTCCCTGCAGCATCGCCAGACACTAAGGTGATGCTATGTGGGCCGCCCGGAATGGTCAATGCCACTAAGAAGAATTTGGTGGCGCTGGGCTTTACCAAGCCAGGGGTTGTGGCGAAGATGACCGATCAAATCTTTTGTTTCTAGAAAATTGCCTAATATAGTAATAGCCGAGGTTAATGGAGAATCCAATTTTTTTGTTGAGTTGATGGGAATAACGGCTCCGGCCCCGTTGCCGAATTTGTTCTCGCGTCTGACACGAAAATTCTCCTCCGGCAGACCTCCGAGACAGTCCACTCACCGAGTGCTCATTCCCGAGACTTTGACTGGTTGGAGCTTATCTTCCAGGGGGAGCTGTGCCTCGGTACTCCATATAAATAGTATAAATTAATGTACATAAACACTATCTCGGGCTAAACGGGAAAAGTGGAATTCCAGATTCCCCTGGATTAGAGACAACTCCGATCAATTTGCATCATCCTTCGTAGCTTTGCGCTTTCTTCGACGCCTGCGTCTCCGCCGCTTCTTCGCCCTTGGCTTCTTTCGTTTTCGAATCATGAACCGAACCCGTTGTCCTAATCTTCCTTCTCTCGTCTCGAACCTAGTCCTCAAGTTCACTTCTGCCGAAATCCTCACAAGAGGCGTGATGATGGACTTGATATCCTTCGAGCCGGAGTATCGAGGAAGATATCGAGGAAGATCAGGTGATATGGTAACACTCTTCTTGCTCTTCGACGGTGCATTGTCAGTAGAAACAGGCTCGGGAGCTGGCGCAGGATCTTCCGGATCAAGTGGAACTTTGGCTGATCGTGGAGTCAATGGCCGGGATTGCAAACGACATAGATAAAGATAGTATAAGAGCAGTAGCAAGGTCCCGACACCGAGGATAGACCCCGCTATTGCGCCTCTGTTTCCATTTGATAGTCCGGTGCTTCTGGCCGAACGGGTATGCTCGGGTGCAGGAGTTGCTGCTCTATCGACCACGTGGATGACAGTCGTGAATGGAGTAGTCGTTGTCACTGTAGCCAAGTTCAACGTTGGCCAGGGCTTAGTATGTCCCAGAGTAATGACAGACACAAAAGTGGTGTCGGTCTCGACAAGTGTCTGGGTAACCTCGCGAATCGCAGGTGCCATTGCTCGACGCAAATTGAAGTGGCATGACGGGCTTAAGTGTCAATGGCAGCATCACTTATTTCGCGCCACAAACACGTCGAGTATGCATGAGCGGATCAAACGGGTCCTCTAATATATGTGATAAAGCAACCGAATTGGTGACTCTCGTATCTTCTGACTTAGTTATGCAGCTTACGCTGTGCAATCACATGAGTCTCATGGCGATTGGTGGAATGGTCTGCAAGTGTCGTTGCGAGGCCAGCTCACTGCATCTTGGCGCGGGGATTCTCATGAGCACGTTATTAGGACGAACACCTGTGTTGGCTTTTTTCCCCGCGAATACTACCAGGGGTCTCATGTCGCTTGGTTTATTTTACCAAAGCGCCGCCCACCCTTATTCATTAGACTGACATGCAGCTTTATCTCGGACCAATTTCCTGCCCGAAGAAGAATGAGGGCAGGAAATTGGTCGCCTCGCCCGCACGGATGAGCCCGTGCGATACTCGATATCAGGGAACTCGAATCTTCGACCTTCGGGGCGTACTCATAGTATTGAATATGTGTGGTATAAAATCTCTATAAAATTTACAACTTCGCGCGTGCAGGAGCGAAGTTCGACCCGGCGCCCTGGCTAATAGCCTCGACAATAGCATCAACGCTATTCAAAATCCAGGTATTCCCCTCATCGCTAGCTAACCACCGCGCAGCCTCTTCTCCCTCGACATCATTCACCCACGAGCCATCCTCAAGCGCCTTCCGCAACCCAAATACATGCGAGATGACCTGGGGTCCAACACCAGATTGAGCGCGCAAACACGAGACAGCAATAATAGACGTCAAAATCCGCCCGGCAGAGGCGCCAGTGCTACGCTCCGGATCAGACAACAGGGCACCGTAGTTGCTGTGCAGGATGTGCACCGGCAGGTCGGGGTGCGAATCGGCCAGTTTATCATATAGCTTCTTCTCGAATGGCCGGTAGATAGAATCCCAGAGTGCGTGGCCGCGGTCACTGATCGCGGAGATGTTCTCGGGGGTTGGTGCGCGGGTCGGGGTGCGGGAGAGCTGGCTGCCGACTGAGTCTGGGAGGCTGGCTCTGAAGGCGTTGAGGCAGTTTATAGTGCGTGGAATACCGTTAAAACTGATGCATTTTAGACCGACCTCGCGCATGAGCTCGGCGGTCTCGACTCGCTTGTCCGGGTTGGTGCTGGCTAGCTCGTAGAGGGCTGCCAAGGACTCGGGGGGAATTCATGGTCATTGTTGCCGCGGTCTGGTATTGATGTTAGATGGAATTCAACCTTAACTGAGGGGGTTGATTCACTGATAGTGCGACCCATGATGGCTGCGAGATCTTCTTGGATTGCGCGGTTTCTTGGATCTTTTGGTAGACCGAGGTTATGTTTGCTGGCGCGGGGACGGTGGATGGGCGGGCGGCAGGAGCATTAATTAATGCCTTAAGGCTGGTTGAAAGTCTAGACATGTCGAATGATGAGCTCTTGTGCCCTGGGTGTGGATGTCTTGCCATTAAAGATTGGTGTTGAAGGCCAACTCTCTTCCCGACCTCGGGAGCTTTGGAAACAAACGGAGCTCAGAAGTGAACACCGAAAATTACCGGGAGGGGAGTGTAATCTGACAGTAATTTGGCCGGATAGTTCCGGTAATATTACCAGTGGATCTTGGAAATCCGGGGATCGCGGGGAAACGAAACACCGGGAGGCTCTTGGAAGCTCTGCCATTGGCGAGAGGCCTTGGGGCTGAAGAGGAGCTCGGACCCAGAAATGCCAGCCGAAGGGGCTCTCCCTGGCTGTTTGTGGGCTATTTCTTTCAATTCTTTCCTCTTTTCCTCCCCATTCTACGTTGCGACAGATAGACCAGGAGAATAAGATCATTCGTGCGTCGCCAAGAAACAACCCAAGACATCATGGACCCACCGAAGTCAAGAGTGTTAGAGCTCGAAGAGGCGAAGTCAACTCCCCTCGATCAATATGGCGACCTCGCGCACCAGCAGAAATTGACCCGGAAGATACTATGGAAGTTGGATATACAGTCAGTTCAGGCGCTACAATCACCCCGCGCTCGCTAATACCTCTCCCAGTATTCTTCCTATTCTAGCACTCCTTTTCCTCATGTCATTTTTGGACAGAACCAATGTCGGTAACGCCAAGATTATCGGTTTAGAAGCGGACCTTTCTATTACAGACCACCAGTATGATGTCGGCTTGGCTGTGTTCTATCTCACCTATATTTGCAGGTGCGTTGTGTGCCATTGGATTACAACGCCAGAGGCTAATTGATATAAAAGCGAGCTGCCGAGTAATCTTGTTCTTAAGAAAGCATCGCCGAAGATTTGGCTGCCGTTCTTGACAGGTATTTGGGGCATAATCACCATGTGTCTAGGATTTGTGCAGAATTTTGCTGGTTTCGTTGCTGTCCGGGCTTTGTTGGGTATTGCGGAGGGGGGGTCTTCTCCCTGGCATGGTATGTTTCCAATATTATAACAGGATTGACGCTGGTCATGACTAACAAATACAAAAAGGTTTTATATTTATCTTCTTTCTATAAACGAGGCGATTTGGCTCTACGAATTGGCTTGTTCTACACAGCTGCTTCCCTGTCGGGCGCATTTGGAGGTACGTCCATCGGTTTTATATTGGTTCTTTGGCGAGTGCTAACAATTTAGGGCTTCTTGCTCGTGGGCTGGCTGAAATTGGGCCTGCGGGGGGCATAGAAGGTTGGCGCTGGATTTTGATAATCGAGGGCCTTCTGGTATGTTGAAGATGATGGTTATTAAAAGAAAGTGCTTGTCTGACTGTCGATCAGACATTTGTCTGTGGAGTGTTGAGTTTCTTCGCCCTTCCAAATAGCTTGCAATCAGCATCTTTCTTGACTCCGGAGGAAAAACAATTTGGAGAGAAAAGGCTGATGCTTGATAGTCCCGGATCACTGGAAGGGTAAGCTTTTCTGACCCGCCGGATGAGAAAGCTTGGCTAACACAAACAGATCCTTGGCATCTGAGGCTGAATCGTTCAAATGGTCCGAAGTGCGCCGAGGTGTGCTGGATCTACAAGTCTGGCTCTCTGCCTCAGCATACTTTGCCATTCTCTCTGGGCTATACTCCTTTGGCTTGTTTGTATGATTCTAATATTTTTGTGCCTGTCTGAAATCCACTGACTGTTTCTAGCTGCCAACAATTATCAAAAAACCTCGGTTTCGCCAAAGATGCCAACGAGGTTCAGTTATGGTCTGTGATACCTTATGCGGTCGCAGCCGTACTTACAGGTTTGTCCGCTTTGTTGCCTTTGATCAATATCATCAAATGCTCACTCATCCTTAGTCGTTGTTGCCATCGTCTCTGATCGTCTCCGTCTGCGAGGTGTGGTGATGCTCTTCACTCTCCCAATTGCAATCATAGGATATGCAGCCATCGCCAACATTGACTCCCCTCGGGTTCAATATGGCATGACCTTCCTCATGGCAACCGGCCAATACGCGAGTGTGCCGTGCATCTTGGTGTGGTTGTCGAACAACTCTGCGGGACATTACAAAAGAGCCACTACATCAGCGCTGCAGCTGGCAATTGCAAATGCTGGAGGATTTGTTTCGAGTAAGTCGCCCACAGGTCTTTTTTATTTTTTTTTATACAGATCGCTAACATCAGTACTATAGCTTTCAACTATCCATCTCGAGATGGGCCTCTCTTCCACCGTGGACACACCATTATCCTTGGGTTGTTAGTGTTCGCGTGGTTCATGTGAGTATATTTCTTGTTGATTCCAGAGCTATCGCTGATTTATATAGGATTCTGCTTAATGTGCTCTACTGCGCGAAGATTAATCGAGACAAAAGGAAGGGTAAGTATGATCAATACGCAGGATATAATGACGACCGTAACCCGGAGTTTATGATGGTTCTATGAATGATGAGAAATGATATCTACTAGATATAATGACATGTTCTACAGATATATGGATTACAATTTCAGGATGGTAATCATGGCACGTCGACCGTTATATTTCTTTTATAGGTTCAGCGTATGATTCTGCACAAACCATGTTATACCCACCATTGCCACCAATGATGAAGCTTCCAATCCTGCCTAGTTGCACCCCGCAAGTCATCTGTATTTATCACATCCACGCCTTCACGCACAAGTACATGCCAAATATGGTTCCGTAGTCCAACCGGCCAGGTAGGTGTGCCCCAGTACCGCACCTTTAGTCCCAACTTGTGAGCTGCACGTACTTGACTCTGAAGAATAGCAAGCTGAACATCCGACAGACGGCTAAGAGAGAAAGGCCCAATAGCCGTGCGGAAGTCTGCAGATGCATAATAGCTGTTGGATGGGTTATATGTGGAATCCATTGATTTGTTGTCATCTGCCGTTATTTCGGCAGGAAAGGTCAAGTTGTCAAGAGGTGCGTCGTAAAAGACATCACGGTAGGTCGTGTTCTCTAACAACTGATGTAAAGGTGCATCTCCGCTGGTGACAACAGTAATCGGCCCGTATACAACATCAGAGCCATTAAAGTGAGTCAAGTAGCCCTTCTCACGAAACGGGTTCAGCTGTTCGACAAGAAGAGGCCAGGTCCGATCACCTTCCGTTTTGCAGTCAATCAGCAAGGTCAGGCTCTGCTTTGGGTCATTGGAAAACAGTCCGACCATTTCCTGACTCATAACTTTCGGCCAGTTGTGAGAAGGGGGTTCATTATGTGTATCGAGCATCTTCAGCAGCGGGTCAAGATAGAGACTCTGCAGTGTCCCCCGGAGGACTGTGGAAGGTGAATGGCCGACTAGAATCTCGTTTCCCCATGGCCAGACGTCAACCTCGACGCTGATACATCCTGCACGAAGTGCTGATCGTAGGGGAACGTGACGCCAGTAGTCGTTGTGCGAGTGGCATGGTATGGGGATGACACCGTAAGTAGACCAGTCGGAAAGGCTTGAGGGGCGTTCACTGGGGAAATTGACCAACTCGACATTATATGGGAAGAGATAAAGAAAGCATTGCCATGCAACAGTGAGGATACCACTAACGTGAGACATTGTTAGCTCAACATGACGTGTCAAGTGTGGAGAGCATGATGCAAAAGCCAACAATTCACACTACACTTAAGAGCACGCACATAATGAAAATCAGTGCCCAGAGAGGTCGCCGTACAGCTCGGCAGAACATGGCTCTCTTTGAGCCTGGGTATGCAATGCAGTCCAGGTGAGAACATTTCCAGAAAGAGAATCGGGTCTGCTTGTTCAATACCATCATTTTGTCAGAGACTATGATAATTGCTTCATGCTCGGGAATGGACTCCAGAGCAGATGGATTAAATGCCATGGTGAAAGAGAAAAAGAGTGACAAGCTTTTCTAAGCACTGGGCATAGGTAAGCTTATTTTATGGTTAGACCCCTGCCCCACAGATCCAAGATGGATGCCGACGTCCTCCGAGTAATACTTCTGCCTAATTATGGGGCTGAAAACTCGTATAAATTTGTGAGACAATTCGAAAATATTTAGATTCCTCGCTATCTCTAGCTATTTATAAAAGAGAGGGGAACCAAAGCCCTTCGTCCAACTTGTCATCTTGGCTAGCGTACCTACATAGGGACTTGATTTTTCATTTCTTGGCTTTCTGATCTGACTACTATGGGAGTAGAGAGAGAATTCGACCCTCTCTACAAACAAGGGCTAGCTAATATACCTAGGTAGCTATATGGAGCCTGACAAACCAGGCGGCCGGTGGCATGTCACAGCGTTTTCCCTTTCTGTCTTAGTGCTCAGGCCCTAGCGCCTTTTGCTCACTGAGTCAGGGATATCCTCAGTTCGAACTCATTCACCGAGCTGAAGTTCTTTTGTAACCCCCTACTACGTGCGAAAGCGACAGCGAGAGTGAAGGCAGCTCGGATATCTCGTAGCCAAGCACCGCCGCAACAAACGAGCACTTATACAATTATGACCAATACATCGCCGCGCTCGAGGGAACGAGGGTTCCAGATGACCTCAGCTCTGCCACTGCACGATGTGCAGTAATTCGAAGGACTGCGCTGCTCCTATAATTTCACAATGAACCCAGTCATTATAGACCTGTGTAACTCGTCGCGATTTCCCGAGTTTGTTCGAGCACGCAACGCCCGGCTCGTTATGAGCAACGTCGTTCCTGACGGTCTAGAAATCACTGAAGCCCAGCCCTATTGTATCTGGAACCCGGATTTTGCCGAAGAGGATACTTATCGCCAAGTCGCTCAACGGTACCCCTCTATGCGCTATCAGGTCGGTCGGGCTTGTGCTGCTGCTGGCTATATCAACCTCTATCGGGAGCTTGACCAGCTTCCCGATGTCTCTATCGCCGAAGAGGCACGGGAGGGGAATACGGAAGGGGGGGATCAGATCTACCAGTTGATCATGTCCTCGCCGCTGAAATATGCCGTGATGGACGATTACGATCGCTCAATCAACTCAGATAAATCCACCAGCACCCGCCTTTCTGAATGGTGACACGCATGTTCGGTGGAAGCTAGAGTGGCGGTTTACGCTTGAAGAAGATTCTATTGAGGAATTTCCCCCCGAGGAGATTGACATTGAAGAGGATCGGTACATGGGCCCCGAATATAGCGAGCCAGATGAGTCTCGTTATGATGATGTTACCCCGCAAGAGGCCACACTACTTTGGGAGCCTCTGCCCCTCGATCCACCAACGCTGAAGAAGGACCTGTTACGACAGATGGCCGCCTATGAATGAAACGTTGGTAGATACAACCGAATCAGGAACACCCGATCTCAGAAGGAAATGGGCGAGACCGAAGCCCGTTGCGTTGTCCGTGGCATTTATCATAACAGGATGTTTGCTCGGTGGTGGCAGTGTAATCTCAGCGATGCTGATTGGTGCGATATTCAAGAGGCCATCAATGCCCGCCGTGTCATGATTAATGACATTGGAACATTCACCGAAGACACCCCCTATAAGCCTTGGCTTATATGGTGGCCCCTCAAACCGGAGTCATCTGCACTAAGTCATCTTGCCGAGAGATGCCCTTTTATGCACGTGCAGCTCGCCATTGCCGCTATCTATTGCGACTACCGTGGTCTGTATGAATCTCTCAATATTCGGCCCAGCGCTGGCCCCACCGAAGCCGCAGACCAAGTTGGCAATTCTTTCTACAGGGAGGATCTGGAAAAAGCGTGCAAAAGAGTTGGGAATAATTCCTGTTGATCAAAAACCTGTGATCTATTCCGGGGATGAGACTCATGCAACTTTAGCCCTTGATATGGAGCCCACTGGGAACGGGCATTATACTCGCCTCCGCGCGGACCTTATGGATCAGCGATTCGGAGGATACTTTAGACGCCGAATACCGTTTGGGGGCTATGTTGAGAGATATGTCTGGCTTTCATTCGAAACAATTCGTAAACTTGTTTGTGAATACGGACCGGATGACTATTTCGAAAGCAACGATACTCACTGGTTTGAGACGCACGAAATCTCGAAAGATGAGAATGGAAATGATATCATGTACGACAGCGATGAGAAACCGGAGGGTGACGATTCAAATCCCAAATAAACACACTTGGATATCTTATCCACGCGAATGCACAGCTGATACCACCAATCTATTGGAGAGATACATAAAGGAGACCTGATCTCCATCTGACTATGTACGTAACTAGCGCCTATCTAGGTATGTAGGTATATACGTTAATCCTGACTTTCATTCCATAATCTCAAGGGTATCCGCAATGGTGAACTTGGCATCCGTCTTGCTCTGCACCTCTTCTACCTCAACACCCGGCGCAAGTTCCGTCAGTGTGAGCTCTCCAGTAGCTCGGTCGACCTGGAAGACACACTGTACCTGTGTCAGCCTTGGTTTAAATTAACTGAGATCTTCGCACTTACCAGATCCGTGATGATAGTGCTGACAACATTGGCACCAGTCAACGGCAGACTGCACTTTTGTACAATCTTGGGAGATCCATCCTTAGCAACGTGGCTTGTAGCAACCACGATCTTGGTCTTCTCCGGGTTCGAGATCAAATCCATTGCTCCTCCCATACCCTTAAACACCTTGCCGGGAATCATATAATTGGCCAAATCACCGTTGGCACTTACTTGCAGAGCACCGAGAATAGACACATCTACATGACCTCCACGGATCATACCGAAGGACTCACTGCTATCGAATGTAGCAGCTCCAGGAACCAACGTCACGGTTTCTTTTCCGGCATTGATGATATCGCTGGTCTGAGTTAGTGAGAGTTCGGATCAACACGTCTCAGGAACAACTTACGGATCCAGTTCTTGCTCAGTTGGATAATCACCCTGGATTCAAATTTTTGGTTAGTCCAGCCTGTGGAAGGGATTTTGCAGAACTTACCATTCCCAAGATGCCATTCTCCGACTGAATCCAAACCTTCACATCTTTTGGCAGGAACGACGGTGCCAACGTGGGAATACCAACACCCAGATTCACGTAGAATCCCGGCTTAAGCTCCTTGGCCGCCCGGCGACCAATGAGTTCTCTTTGAATCCGAGCCTCATCTTTCCCAGAACCAGCTACAGTGGCCTCGCCCGAGCGCAGCTTCCTGATTTCAATGTGCTTGTCGTCCGTGGCAGGAACGATCCGATCCACGAAGATACCCGGTAGATCCACATCATTGGGGTCAATGGAGCCAACTGGGACAATATTCTCCGCTTCCACAATGGTCAGGGTTGCAGCCTTGGCCATGATAGGGCCAAATGCCTTGGTAGTATATCTAATCAATATCAGTTTCCAGTTTCCAGGACGTACTAGTACATATACTCACCGGAACACGCAGTTACCAGCCTCATCCGCTTTCCAGGCTCTGAGGATGGCTACATCTCCAGTCAAAGCTTCTTCCATGAGGTATGTCTTGCCGTTGAATTCCCGGGTCTCGCGCGGCTTGCCAGACTCCAGAACTTTACCGGACTCATCCATACGAACAGGGATCTTTCCCTCCTGAATAAAGGTGTCTTCGCTTGTCAGTGACAAACATAATCCGAGGAGATCTATACATACGGACTCCTGTTGGGGTAAAGAACGCCGGAATCCCAGCACCCCCAGCACGGAGACGTTCAGCCAAAGTACCTTGCGGACAAAGTTCAATAGCAATGTGTCCCGTCAAATATTTCTTCTCCAATGCCTTATTGTTCCCGAGGTATGAAAGTATCAGACGGTTGATCTGGCCATTCTGCGAGAGTGTCGAAAGGCCTCCCTTGCCCGCGGCGCCGGCATTGTTCGAAACGGCTGTCAGGGAGTGCAATTGATCAGCGCCTCGGCGGTGCATAGCATTGATGAGAGTTTCTATGCTATGTATCAGCTTCGCTATTCTCGCACTGGTTACTCGCCCACGTACCTGCAACTCCGCAAAGACCGAACCCAGAGCTAAGGATCGTCGATCCGCTCTTGATATCGGCGACAGCGGCATCGGCATCTTTGTATAGTTTCGAACCGCTGCGCACGACCTTAGGTGCGAGGGATTTTAATGGCGCGGTTATGGAGTATCTAGTGCTGGTGCTGGTACTGAATGGCTGCCAAGGGCGCACGCTGGCGCGGACTCCGAGGAAGAGTCGAGGTCGACAGGCAGTGAGCGCTTTGCGCGACAAAGTAGTAGAGATTCTAAGAGCCGTCATACTTTATGATTGTTTAGTCCAAAACAAAAAAAACAAAGCAAGAATGAAATCATCGCGCAGTTAAAACATTGTCGGCATCGGTTAGTCGGAGCTACTTCTGGATGCCGAGGGGCCACTTTCGGGAGGGCCCTCCGAGCTCAACTTCTGAGCTTCTCTGTATTCTGCTATTCTTCTAGGGAAAGAATAATTACGGTTTCAATCTCACAGCTCGATGTTGGTTTGTTTTTGGAATGAAAATGAAAGTAACCACGTCGTATTAATCTCACATAGAACACCAAAGGCGACCCGCCTAACTGGATATCAACTAAAGAAACCCTTAATCAGCCCGTCAATTGCTTCTTAAACCGACTGAGTTTCCCCTTAATACCATACTGCCTCCAACTACCACCTGTTTTGCCAAAGATACACTAGGGCCTTTAGTACAAGTGCCTTGCATTAATATGGTAGGTGAAGGAGTATCAAAATATTCCTTGGCGATATATACAGGCTGGTAAAATGGATATGTTCAAAAACGAAGGTTCGATCAATAAACGCAAGAAAAATAAACACTGGGGTATGCAAAATCCGCCTCCTGGTCCTACTAAAAATTGAAATCCGGGTTGGCAAAGTCAAGCCAATCCCAATTAAGCATGTCATCAAGAGGCACATCCGGAATTGACGCACCAAACGCGGTGCCCGCTCTGTTGACTGCATCGACGATCTGATTATCAGACATGGCAGAGAATTGCAATGGCTCGAACCACAGATCCTCGGGTGGTAGTGTTACTGGCAGCGGACCATTATCCAGGCATGTAGACGGAAATACCGGCTCGGGTGGATCGACCTTGGCTAAATTTCCTCGTGATTGTAGAGGCAAGGCTGGTGCACGACGGATCAACTCGCGCAGGAATCTCCCGTAAAGCACAGAGGCGCCGTTTCGGTGACATGGTGTTGCTCCGATTCTCTCTAGAACACCGGCAGTCTCTTCGATGAGATTTCGGACGCTCGGTGCCAGACTGGAGTTGCTGTCGCCGGGTGTTATGCTGAGGCTGAGGGCAGAGCATGCGGCGAAGGAGATCATTATGACGGTATTGTTTGGCATTGATTTCAGTCGAGATTCGCCCTGGATGGCTGCTCGCAGGACGTTCAATGCAGACGATAGACCAGCGGCTCGGAAGAATCTCTTGACTTCGATTGGGGCTGTTGGGTGATTGATGACACCACCGTATGTGGACAGCTGAGTATGCGTGACAAGAATCTCGACATATGGGGGTAGCGAGCGTGCTTTAGATGGTTAATATATAGCCAATCAATCTTAGGTATTAGACTTACTGTCTCCCTCCCCAATTGCCAAAGCCCATTTTGCATACCACCGCTCGTAGAAGGTTTGAATGGTTTTCTTAATCCTGTTATATGATCAGTATGTTAATGATATTCAGCAAAGGCATAATGACATACGACTGAGCAGCTTCCGAGCCGGTATCGACGATGCGATAGCTATCGCAGCTTGATTTAACTTTTTGGAAGAGTCCATCCTAAAACTGTTAGAATGGAATTTAATAGGATAATACGGGTATTGCAAGACAGGTTAGGATTGGTCTTGGGATTGCACCTACAAGGTCTCTTCGAAGAACTGCCATGGAATTCATAGGACCATCACGCGGGTCTGCAATGTTAGATAGGTGCCAACGATCGCAGTTTTCGATGAGTGTTGTTGGAGGCACGGTATAGCTTCGTCCACGGGCAAGACAAACACTGATCAAATTAGTTTCAGTTCGAGGGCCACTACTGGGAGAATCAAACATACCCTCTCTCAACGACATACAGCGCAATCCAAGCTCTTTCACGTCTTCGCAACAGTCTAAGGCCCCACTCTGAAGACGGATCAACATCATCAAATCCATCCATGTGTAAAGCCCTCTTGGCATCGATACATTCCGCTCGTGCCAGGCGATTCATGAGTTCTGGGTCGAAGCTTGAGGAAGGCGAGACAATCTTGTTCAAAGATAGGTCTAGAGCAACAGTGAGAGCCATGGCAATATAGGAGCAAGTATCATCATCCCCTAGTCTGTCACCGGGGGACATCCATGGAACGTTCGCCATAAAAGCCAGAATGATCTCAACAGACCTATGACGGTGTGTGATCACTCGCTTCGCGAGCCATTTGCAATGCCTCGACAGTCTCTTGGACAAAGCAGCAGCAGATGGCAGAAATAGGGCTGCACCTGCCATTATTGAAGTAAAAAGAAAGGCTGACTGGGACCGCACAAAGTACGGGGTGTGTACCAAAGGATCGAGGCCCCATCGAGTATGTGCGAGATTCTGGTAGAAGCTTGATTCGTCAATTATATATATATTTGACAGTAAAAAGGACAGCCCACTTACAATGAGAACAATGACTCCGACTCATCAAATGTGACCAATCCTAACTCAATAGGGTCAATTTCAGGTCCGATATCCAAGTTTGCTCTCGTAGGAACAAAAAAGGATTTGGCGCCCGGTTCTCCTTGAGAGGTGCTTTGCAGGAACGACGGGCCTTCTGACAACGGCACTGGAGACTTTGGCGCATGCCGCATCCCGGTTGGCAAAAGCTGAAGGTCTGAAGCTCTAGCAAGCAGCTGGAGGGGATTCTCTGCATCGTCAAGAGTAAGACTCTCATCCGCGTGAATATCACGTGGAGATGTCATGCGCGGGTGGTCTGATGCCTCTGAAAATCCATGCTTATGCTCATGCCCATTCTGCATTAACTGACCCGGAACCTGACCAAGGAGTTCCTGGAGGACTGAAATTGCCCTTTGGGCCTCATCGTCACTAGTAGAGTCGACCTTGGGCCGCTTGATTGCCTGCTCGATCTGATGTATCGCTTTCTCCAGGCCCTTGCGCTTGCTAGATCCCAGTCAGTATTTCATTCCACAACCACTTGGTTTGACTCACTTTTTAACACCCTTTTGTCGGCCGAGATGATGGTTGGGCACAATACACTCTGCATTAGTCTGTTTACATTTCTCACAGCTAGACTCGCCTGCCAGGCGGTTGCAACGAATCTTGCTCCGCCGACAGTTCAAGCATGCAGCTTGTTTTCCATGTGGGCTAGAGGCTGAACCTGCCGACTCGACCTCCATGAGTGAGTGTTTTGACCTCGGCCATGGGCACTAATGGGAGGAGCGGGAGTTGGGGGATAATGAGTAGAAGTAGTTTAGGCTTATGAGACACTTTATCGCTGCTCTCTTCAACAGCCCGGCCGGGCTAGCTCAATCGGTAGAGCGTAAGACTCTTAATCTTAAGGCTGCGGGTTCGACCCCCGCGTTCGGCTATTCCTAAAACAAAACTTGAGATTTCTTTTTTGCTTTCATTTTTTTGGGCTTTTTTCTTTTATGCTGGAAGATTTCACTTTCTTTTAAAAAAGGTTGAGCATAAATACCTAGGTACCTAAAGAACCACTGGGACAAGCCCGGTTTAAGTATTGATCGAATTGGGTTACTGCGACAAGCATTTTCAGCGCAGCGCAGTGGCTATTCGCCATTGCGAATATCCGTGAAAAAGCGTGCAGGGATGTTTCATTATTTCCATCCTTCCCGGATCGTCTGTTCCTCATCTTCTCTTTTCTTTACTGTTTCCATGAAATGAGGGAACTAGGAATATTCGGTTGCGACCGATCCTTTTCCAATACGGAATTTAAAATTGAGTGAAGATTCCAATGTTATGTCCCATTTGCAACCCGATTATATATCTCCCACTATCTAACATTATGTATAGATAGACAATAGTTAATAGACATGGAGAGTAACACTATCGGATTCATTCAACATATCTCATATGTTTACTCATTCGGTCGTCCTTATAAGAGGCATAATACATATCTGAGTGGTAGAAGGCAATTTGGGCGCCGATAAACCTACATGAACTTGCAGCAGCCACCCGTGGACATGCACCCAATATTCTACTAAGGCATCTTCAAGTCAGCAGTTTGCCCGAGATTTCTAGTATATAGCTAAAGGGCTGATAACTGGGCTGAGTTTGTCTATGCATCTTCACAGATGCGTCTGCCTCCCCCTGCTTAGCTCGAGATAGTATTAGAGACATAGTGTTACATGCTAACTTTTTTGATTTCTGTGGCGCTATGGATGTATACCGAGTAACGAGTGGGTGGTATCAATTAGATATTAGTAGCTAAATACAAGCTCCAAAACAGTAAGGCCGTTCGTCTTTTCGTGAGTTATTAATGGACAATGAATATAGATCGAATTCAACACAGCAAACGATCAAATATAAATTTTCAATCAAGCATAGCGAACGGGACCAGTCTCCTCATAATGCCCCGCTGGCAAAGCACCAGATGCCTGTGAAGCAGCATGAGGCTGAGCCTGAGACGCAGGAACCTGACTCATCCCAGGACCAGCAGCCGAAACACCTTCCGCAGACGCAGCCCGTGAAGGCGCATTGGTACTGGGAGGAGTAGCATCCAACAAGCGCGGACCAGACTGATCGGGCCTCTTGCTTGCCTTGACAAGCGCAGGTGCCGGACCCAAGACAGTCGGGTACTTGAAGCGGAAACCCCAGGCGAAGAACAAGCGCAGCTTCGTCCAGAAACTCATTGCATCCCACCTCTTCTGGAGGACCTCGGCGTCCTCTTTGCTGCGGGCGCGGTATCCCTTGCGGAAGCAAAACAGACAGAAAAGAGAAAGAGGGAGCCAAATGAAGGACCAGAAAAGAGGAAGACCACGACGGGTCTGCCAGCCCGTCATGAGACGACGGAATCGCACCCAGGCCTCGATCATGCCCAGGATGAAAACGATGCCGATCCAGCCCAGCGCGCAGATCAATACAATTGCGAGGTAGGAGATGCCGATGCCTGATCCCCACTTGCTGGTGAACCAGTTGTCATCGTCGTAGCCATAGCCATAGTAGTAGCCATTGGATGATCCGTCGCTGTTCCCTGGTCCGTCGGACAAGCCCGTGTAGTATCCGGAGTTGCCGTTATAGTCGCTGTCTGTATACCGACACCCAGCACCCGAGTACCGAGAGGTGGGGGTGTTGTAGGAGCTCAGAGAGCTCAGAGTTCTGCTGGGGATTTGGGTCGGTTCCACGAAGACCACTTCGTAGATGTAGGTGGTCGACTGGAAGGGCTCGCTGCCGTCGACCGAGGTTGAGGTTGTAACATGATCCCTGGGCAGCAAGGTCGCGATCTCATAGGGGAGGGGTGACCCTGACGGCAGTCGTGGTGGTCCATTGGGTAGAGCAGGCCGTCGGGGCCGAGTAAGTCAAGTTGACCTTGTAGACGGTACTATGATAGTTTCCATCATCATCCATAGTGTCGTGGTAGCCATAGTCATAGCTATCGTATAGGCCGCGTTCCTCGCCATAGCCAGTGGGATACAGCTTTTCGACAACAGTGTAGTCATAGACGGTGTCGGTGGAAGTCGCGGTGGACAGGGCCTCGGCTGGCAAAGTTGCAGTTGGAGAGATTTGATGTATCTCAGTGACCAAATCGGAATAGTAATCTGTATTAACCTCTTGCTCGTAGGTATCGGTCACAATCCAAGGGCGGCCTGAACGAATGGGCTCAAAACGAATGACAAGCAAAGAATAAACGAGTGTAAAGGCGCCATCTTGAATGGTCCTGGAGGTTTGCAGGGAAAACCATCAACGAGGCGTCCATGGCTTTATAAAAGCCCTAGCGCCTCTTGAAGACCCTTTTTACTTTCATTTGGGGGCGCTTTTTTGTCGCCTAAGCTATACTGGTTTATCCTCGGGTGGAAATTGCCTGCATTAGAGTAGGCAGATGCCCGGGTGTGATTGGTGATGTTCCTCAATTTGCCAGGGCTAAGTGGAGGGCTTAGCCTATTTAGGATCGACTAAGAGACCCTAGACTTTTCGCCTCATTGCGTTTACCGAATTGGTCTTTTTCCCTTTGTTAGGGAAAATGACACAGAATTTGACTAGCCTGATGTATGAGAGGAAAAAAAGGAAAGAAGGAAAAAAGAAAAAAGTTCGATTTCGCCTAATCACGTATAGAACAGCGCGGAAAGAAATACAAGCGTAACTTCGTGGATCATCAGAGTGTTGCAAGGTCGCCAGGAATCTATATGGGGGATTGACAGGTAAATCCGGAGTAGAGGGTGTGAGAGAGAGAGCCACTTGCTCAATTAGCAGCCCGTAAGGCTCGTAACCTTGCACCCAAGCCATCCTCAACCTCGGCATCCACCTGCTTGGGCTCTTTAACCTCCTCTTTGGGCACAGCATCCGCCTCGAGGTTCATGCGCATATCAACACCCGCATCATCTGCCAGTTGTTCCATAAGACGATCAACGTCGGCCTCACCCTCCGCACCGTATTCCTGCATAGATACACCCTGAGCGACATCCTCGATCGCACTGCTAGCAATCTTGAAGTCTTCCGACCGGGCGAGGAAGTTGTTAGCGTGGGAGACGAGATGTTCGAGGTTGACACTCCGCGAGGCAGCATCTAGGCCCCGTGATGCCAAAGCGAGCGTCCGGGATGTGTCGCGGGTGCTTTGGGCGGCCTTGAGTTCGTTGATGATGACATCTGCGCGTGCCGCTTCGGATTTGAGCGTTACTTGGCGTCGCTTCTCGCGCACGGCGGAGGCGGCGTGAATGCGAGCGATCTGGAACTCGCGGTTTTTCATCGCTTTGTCGGCTTTGGCCTTCTCGGACTTGAAGGTTGCCTCCGCTCGGACGGCTTCTTTCTTGAGTCTGTTGGAATGTAGCTGGGGAGATAAGATTAGCAATGGTTTCATGCACAGGTGGGGTGATGTACGCCGTGAGGAGGGGAAACAAAGTGTAGAGCAACTTACTTTGACATTTGTGCGGGCTTCGAAGATAGGGTCTTTGCGAACCATGATGTCGGTTAGGGATAGTATAGAGGAGAGTTTGTAGGTGTTGTGGAAGGCAGATGGATTTGGGGGCGCGTGGCAACGTCACTGACCGCATTCAGTGCATTCTTAGCGGCCCGAGGTTGGTTTATCTTAGGACAAGGCTAGAGTCACCGGTATGCCAAAATAATCTCTCTACTATTCTCTACCTTAACTTTGTAAACGGATTAAACCTACGGTGGCGATTTGGCGATTTAGGAGAATTACTACATCTACTATGTACGTTCCGGAAATAATTGCAAGATGAGCCAGTCGATTTTGCATTATAAAAAAAAACTAGTATACAGGCCAAAAAAAAGGGAACCCTCAGCGCTGTTTGCCCATGAGCAAAGATGAAAGAGCTTTGCTCGCGCTGGAACTCCGGAAACTCCGTGTACCTCGATGCATCTTTCCATTACTGCGTTGCCGACCGGATTTCATTGTGTTTGCCCGCTGGTGTCGTTTAGACAGGCTGAGACTATCGATTGCCCAGGCCATAGTTAATAACGACTCCCAACTCGGTCGAGCCTCCGAGGCGCCAGCCGACCAGGTCTGCGGGGAGAAAGTCTCACTAACCGCTAGCTGCAATGCTCTGCCCGTCGCATCTCGAAGTGGACGCGCCATGGCTGGGCTGCAAGCTAGTAGTCTGGAGAGAAGTCTCATCCGAAAGACCGGACGGTTGGACGCCTTCGAGGACGACAGACTCGGGGTCGAAATCAACCATAGAATCAAAGGGAAATGCTGATAGATCTCCTCCGTCGAGAACGTCAAAGGCAAACCCGTCTTCAGGGAAAGAAGGATTTGGCTCAGCGGGTGAATCACCGTGGAATAGGCGGCGGAAGTCATCGTCAGAAAGAGGAGCTGCAACGTCATTTGCAGTCTGAGGTTCGTTGGAGAGGTCGAAGAGGGGTAGGGCACTTCCAGCTCCTTCGAGGCCAGCGACGGACACTGCAGGTCACACAACACCGCTGCAGGATGTTGTGTCACGTCGGAGGCCTCAGCCAGAGTGGAAGGCTTGAGGGTGGGAGAGTAGTCGGTAACGGAGGGAGTGGGGAAAGGAATCCGCTCCATAGGAAGTTCGTCACCTTCTTGTTTGAAGAGGGTAGGTGTGAGGGTGGGAGATTCCACGGCGGGAGAGCTGGCTTTGGGAGTCACGCTGCGAGATCCACGGACCTCGGCGGACAGCTTAGCCACTTGTTGGCTCAAGCGGTTGTTCTCTGTTTCCATTTGCGATAGACGCTGGATCAGGAACTGGTTCTGTTGTTCCATTCGGATCTTCTCGGTCTCGAGCTTCTCCATCTCGAGGCGCTTGCGCTCGCGTGATGTTTGAGCAGCAGCGCGGTTCCGAAGAACCCGTTCTATCCGACGCTGCTCCTTTTCATCATCTGTCTTAGCGCGTTTTCTAGAGGCAGAGTTAGCGGGGTTCAACGTTCAAGAGACAAAGTGGGCAACATACCTGGGAGGGAGGTTTGTTTTCGGGGTTGGGAGTTCTTGTCCCCAAGACTTTCTCTTCTTGGTTGGCTTCTTCTCGTCGTCTTCCAACTTAACATCATCCTCCGGCTCCGGAGAGTCTAATGATGTATCCGCGCGGGGGAAACTGTGTACATCTCTGAGGATGGTGAGGTTGGGAGGGTATCCAACGGGTTGATAGTATCCGCCATAGTGACAGGGTCAAATGGATAACCGGTGCCGTACGTGAATAATAATTATAGTATAACAGACTTAGAATGACTTGAGTGAGAAGAAGTTCAAATCACAGAGGCCACGTTATCATCACGATCGGCACCGGAGACCAGACTCCGAAGAGGATTGAGTCAGAGTGGTGAGTCAGCGAAGAGAGAGAAAGAATGGAAAGGACAGCTGTTCAACTGCAAACGGGAGATGGGCGAGATGAGGTTTAAGTAGAGGCCAGCGTGGTCTGAAAGGGATGGACTCCGGGATGGAACAAAGGGGGGGAGAGGAACCTTGGAACCTGGGCACACACGTATGTCAGGTACAAGCAACACCATACATTTTAACATGTGCCACCAAGTACCTCAAAAGGGGGCTGAGTTCCTGTTACGAGACACGTAAATTACGTTAATTTCCCCCTGCATTCCGTGGTTCAGCCCCTGTCGATAGCCAATCATATGATTTGCCGCTTGAAACATCGCCACGGAGCTCCGTATGGAGTACGGAGGCGCACCTGGGCATATCCCACTCCTTGTCTCTTGAGTTCTATAATTGGGATACTGGCCCCCATACGGAGTACACTTGTATTGGATTGCATTGAGTAATATTTCCAGAGTACATGCATATTCAGCTTCTCATTCTTATATCTCGGGTAATACAAGATACATCCAGTCACTCCGAGTCGATCTATCTGAATCATGATACATCTGTCCCACAATACAAATGATCCGATATCATAGGGAGTCTCGAACAATCTAGCGTGGACCGAGTACTCCGTACTGATACGCTTCTTCTCCTGAATCTGAAGACGCCATCAGGATTGCCCGGAGAATGCTCCATTTAAACGCCAATCACAAATGTTTTGTGGTTCATGGCTGCCCCGCCCCGTTAATTCTCCGTGCCCCTGACTGAGAATGTGACGGTGATTATGTATATGTATGAACTAGGGGCCCCATTGTGCCATCTAGATTGGCGGAAATCATCCTGGGGTCGCTACGGAACCCCCTCGAACACCGCAGAACGTCTAGGTCGAGGGGCTGAAACGACTCCGTACATTGCCCCTCCGTTACTATTTAGGGTTGACCTCGGGAGTTTATAGGAGTAACTCCTCCCACGTGCTTTGCATGAACCGTTAATGAGTTTCGGTGAAAAAGATAATATAAATGTCTACCTCAATTCAATACACTATATTCAGTGATCGGTATTGTCATCCCATTTTGGAAACCCTCGACACCAGGGGAATTATATGCAGTCCCTCAGACAAAAGAGAAAAAAAACAAAAAACGCCATCCCATAGAAACGTGCTCATGACAATATCGTAAGCAAACATGTGCGGGGCGAGGATCAATTGACCTCATCTACATGGTGACATCCATCGTGTCATCGCCAGCATCGAGAGCATTCTGGACTTCCGGGTCTGGGACCACCACACCACGTCCTCGGCCAGCAAGCAGTTCGCGCCGCACTTCAGGTCCAATGTCCTTGTGTCCACGGACGAGAAGCAAATCGAGAAGTGCTTCACGCTGGTCCTCAGTGATGTCGTTACGATAACGCTGGGCAAAGACCAAAAGGGACTGGTGCCAGAGAACTGGCAGCTTGTATGACTTGGAACCGAGCCCCGAGGGTCCGTCGTTCATGGCATCCTCCGAAGGATCGACGGCACGGAAACGCATGAAGTGGAATACCAAGGCGTCAATAACCTTGTACGGCAGGGCGTACTTCTTCTCTAGGAAGACCCGGATGAACATGTTGACAGCACCGGTGCTCTCCAGGGAGGTCAATGACTGTTCCGCAGCCAGATCACACATGCGGAGCAGGGCAGCTGCGGAGTGCAGCACGGGAACGGAGACGCGGGCAATCACAGAAGAGACAATGTGGGCTTCACGCAAGGTGCAGGTGCCGGTGGACACGAGCGGGAACAAAAGTCCCTTGAAGAAGCACGCGGGCTTGTACAGGGCCTTGCGCAGCGCATTGTAGGTGTGGACGTTCAACTTCTTGGTTTCGTGGATCTCCTCGCGCACGCGCTCCAAAAGCACAGTGTTGATGAACTCCTGGGCAACTGCAGGCTTGGAAGAAATGAAGATACGGGTTACAGCGTAGACGGCGTTGCCGGTCCATGACTCAGGGCGAGTGATATCCAGAAGGGTCTGCCAGTTCGGTACAGAGGGAAGGATCTTGATGGGCTTGGGAAGCGGGCCAGACTTGTAGCGAGAAAGAATCATGCCGACCCTAGAACAAGTTAGCTTAGCCTCACAAGGAACCATCGGAAAACATACTTCTCATATACTTCCACGGCCTTGGCAGGAATCTGGACTGCATCCTCCGGGACACCACCACCTTGGATGTATTGACCATAGGGCCCTTCGCCAGCCTGCTTCGCCTCGTGCTCGGCAATCTTCTCGAGAATCAAATCGGCAAGGTTGGTAGGGCCAGCGGAGCTGGGATCCTTGGGGTGGAATATGGGGTCCTCCTCGTGAGGCATGAATTTGTTGAACATGTCTAGATCATTGGGATCGACCTCCTTGTAAAATATTAGAAGCGACTTCATTATTCAAGGATTCGGGTGTCTTACAACTTGCTCGACTTCTTCATCAACCCAATCGTCAGCCTCAAACTTCCCCTCATCGTCGGAGAAAGGCTCCTCCTCATCCTCGAATCGGGTATCAAATTCAAATGCATTCGACTTGGGCCGTGCTGAGTTCTTGAGTTGCTCAGCGGCATCCTCGTCGGCCAATTCCTGTCCAATCTGCAGAATCTTGCGCGACATTTTCGCATCGACGAAACGCTGTCCATTTTCGCCATCCTCATCGTTTTCGTCGGCTTTGCCTTTGCCTTTCTTGCTGCTCTGTGTCCGAAGGTGCCCCGCGGAAGTAATATCTTCAGCGAGTGGGTTGTGTCTGCGTGCCGCAGCAGCAGCGCGAGAGCTTGATACCTTTGGCATGGCTGGTAATTCTTCAGATATACCGAAGAAACTGTAATAAGTATTTTGGGCTGGCTTATCGAAGTACACACGACGATCAAATTGTGTGGTCATATTTTTTTTTCTGCCAGGCGGTGCCCCCCAATCTTCTCACCGCCTGTACCCCACACCGCCTCTAATCACGCATTTTCTGCAATCCATCAATTGACCGCCTTCATTTCCCAAGGAGATTCTTGTCCAGCGCGCATGCGATTGACCCTTTTTCTGCACAAAGGAAGCTTGCTGCCTATTGATGAATATAGGAGTCACCAGCATACTATAAGAGTTTAATTGGTGGAGCCACAGGCTGTCAGCAATCTGGGTCTTTCGCGTATATACGCTGGAACAGCTTGACAGCAGACAGACAAGCTTCAAAT